AAGTCTGTTCATGTTGACACCTTGAGCTGACAGGCCAATCCCCATGTATCTGGTCACAGAAAACAGCATTTATTTGATGTAAAAGTCTGTATTGGAGGAAGTTAAATTTGCTCACCCTAAACATTTAGGGTGCACTCAGTAACTTTATCCTAATTACAATTGTTTTATCCTTAAAGGAGTAGTTCACTTTTAAACAAACTTTTGCTGATAATTTACTCACCCCCATGACATCCAAGATATCCATGTCGTTCTTTCTTCAGTCGAAAAGAAATTAAGGTTTTTTATGAAAACATTCCAGGATTTTTCTCCATATAATGGACTTCAATGGGAACCAAACGGTTCAAGGTCCAAAAGACACTTTCAGTGCAAACTGCAAACTGTTCAAAAGGCTTTAAACAATTCCAGACGATGAATAAGGGTCTTATCAAGCGAAACGATCGCTCATTTAATAAATAAATAACAAAGTTTAAGTTTTATAAGCTCAAATGGTCGCCTTGCTCTGTTCTATGCGACTCTCCTGTTCAAACTCTTTCATCAAAATGAACAAATCTTTTATTGTTACATTTGGTTCATTCAACGAATGAAATGAACGAGTTGACTCTAAAAAGATTTGTTTATTTTGATGAAGAAGTTTGAACAGGAGAGTCACGAACGTGCGTCACAGAGCAAGGTGAGCATTTGAGCTTATAAAACTTAAACTTTGTTATTTATTTATTAAACGAGCGATCGCTTTACTTGATAAGGCCATTATTCATTGTCGGGAATCGTTTAAAGCCCTTTGAACAGTTTGTAGTTTGCACTGAAAGTGTCTTTTGGACCTTGAACCGTTTGGTTCCCACTGAAGTCCATTATATGGAGAAAAATCCTGGAATGTTTTCATTAAAAACCTTAATTTCTTTTCAACTGAAGAAAGAAAGACATGGACATCTTGGATGACATGGGGGTGAGTAAATTATCAGCAAAAGTTTTTTTTTTTAAAGTGAACTACTCCTTTAAAAAAATGAACAGTATGACTGAAAGATTTTGAAAATCATACTTATGTGAGACTGAATGTGTTATTTTGGTGATATTTTATTAATATTTTCTTTTTATTTAATATTTATATAAAATATTCTTTTTTTATTTTTACATTTTACATCTTCATTATAATGTAGTTAGTTTTAGTAATTTTGACGTTTTTAAATTTCTTATTAGTTTGCGTCTTTTAATTCAAATATCTATTTTTTTCCAGTTTTAATTATTTCATACATCAAGTTAAACAACATGAGAAATGTTGGGAACTTCGCCAACTAGCTGATACAAAAAAAGTTTCATTTAATTTAAGTCAACTATAATAACCCTGGACTGAATAAAACTTGTTTTATTTTACATGGTGCAGGTCACCTCTTGAGGGCTGCCATGTTAAGATCACATGACCAGATCACATGACCAGAACGACCATACTAATTTTATCTCAGTAAACCTCTCATTATCTGACATTTTCACTCACAGAATAAATTAATCATGGCTGACTTCTAACAGCATTTCTAAAAAGAAATTATTAAATGAAGACTTTTGCATTATGCTATATATATAAAACTGTTATACAACCCATTGCCACATCAACAAAAATTACTGAGTGCACATTTAAACATTTCCCAGGAAAAAGTGACATGAAAATACTGAATCCTTTACATACCCATCTCGTCCTTTGCTGATAATTTTCACCTCAAAGTAATAGACCCCGCAAGCAGCTGGAATAGGGTGTGTTGCGCGGACAGATGCCGCATCTTTCGGGGTCTTTCCATGACCTGGATGACATAAACACAATAATTTACAACTGCAAGTGGTGTCACTCACAAGGAGAACTAGCAAAAAAATAGCAAAGTAATCAATATTTTTGCTGTGAGAGCCGTATGCTTCAGGCCGATGATATTATGCCTAGCAACAGCAACTAACTGCACAATTGCTTTTTTATATAATGTAAATATATGCATTTCTCTATATTTGTGAATTTGCATTTATTATTGTCAACAATTGCCCCTTGAAATTGACCCCTCATTCACCCATTGTGAATGTTCAGTTGCTATTAATTGAAATAAATTCTCAAACAAACATGGAAGTTAATTCTAAAACCTAGTTGTAAATAATGCTCAAAATAAAACATGTACACAAGAAAATAATTGTATGATATACTATATATAGCCAATCTCTCTAATGCCATTAAGGAAGCTTTTTATGTGTGTGTTCATCAAAACCACTTCATATTAGCTGCAATATTTAACAACACTCACCTCTAAGACAGCAAATAAATATATTTAAAAGCTATAGGTCCCTAAAGTGTCTGAAGAGGCATTAAACCCATGATTAACACACAACTAGACAGGCACTCAATAGAATAGAATTCACCACTTAGGTTTACTTGATTATCCATGCATCATTTTCCCCCCCAGAATAATCATGTTAAAATGTATGAATCAAATATGAACCAACATACTTTTGGGGAATGTTACTTGTACATCTCTCAATCCTCTTTGTACTGCATTTCATTATCTGTTCTACAGACTGAGTATTAATCACAAAACTAAGCATTTAAATATCATCTTATAACGACATATTCCTGGGTCATATAGTACTATGACAACTGATATTTATATTAAATTGTATGCAAGTAGGCTGCTATCCTGTTATTAAAAGTCTCATTGATTTACAAGCTATCAGAATTTCTTATGTTTTGGAACAAGTTAGCATTTTACTCTCTGGCCATATAAATAATAACATCTGCAACAAACTGCATATTTTTGATTAGATTGGCCCTCTGAATAAAAAGTGTGTGTGAGCTCTGAATTCTCACTTATATCATACTATAGCTATGGGCCATTAAAATCCTAATGTATCAAATATAAGACAAAACATAAAACACATACAAAAAAATGCTTGTCTAAAGATTTACTTAACTTCCATTTCCAAAATATTTTTTTATAATTATTATTTAATATATCAGGCTTATTTCATATGTTAATATGGGGCATTTTTGTCACTAGTGGTAACATTTCAGTCTTGAATCCCTGATATTAAGATTCATAAGGTTATGTAGTGTCTACATTTAAGACATCTTGGGCCTACTGGTAATTTAAGGCAGTCTTCCTGAAACCTACCTGTCGTCAACTCTGGCTGGCCTAATTAATTCTGTGGGCCTACCTTTATGACTCAGCTGAGGGAAATGGCAGACACCTCACAGAATTAAAAAAACGTATTTAATAACTAATTGTGTTAATACAATTATACATATATTACAGCTTTTCTTTATCTGATGAATTTCTTGTATACTCGCGATGGCAGAAATCCTGCCTCTGCAGATAAACGCAAACACACACACGCACACAAAGGCCTTGCTCGAGCTTATGCGACAGGCTCGATCAGTACCTACATCAGCATGTGCGTATTAAGACATGGCCTTTTAAACACAGAACATGTTGTCAAAGGAGTTGACAATGACTGCATTTCAGCAGCGAAACTCTATAGAGTAGGAGCTTCCGGAAATGACTGAAGCATCTTTATAGCTCGCTGCTGAAACTCACCACCATCTCATTGCTGATTACAATAAACGAACTTTACACTTTTAAACTTAACACCTTAATCATTCATTTTTAAAGGCTATATGCTATATCTGTATACACACTGATATGCATAAAACATCATATAAAAGCAGTAGTTCGATTAATATACAATTCTGACTGCTCAGGAATGGTGCTAAATAATGCTAAAGGGAGGCTATTTTTATTCAAACATGTCGTCTAGCAGTTAGTATTACCAACCAAAGTTTCTTGTTAACTCTCGTATAATAATATCGACTAAATGCGCACGATGATCACTCAAGATCATCCCAATTTTGAAAATATTGTTAGCTGCTTTTGTGAATAACAATGGGTTTGATTTGCACACAGTACGAGTACGCAGAAGCTAATACAAGTGTCTTTTTAATATCACTGATCATCAGATGTGAAACCTGACCCGAGCTAACATGGCTAATGCCTTTAACATTTAAGTTAGCTAGTAAACAACTTGGTGTTTGTGTCCATCTGCTGCGGTTAGCATTGGTTACCTTTGTAATGCACCCGGAGGTTGTTTTGAGACAGGCCGATGTAGCTGAATTTGTCTTTGGGGCTCCAGGATCTGGGCAGCGGGGTCTCCTGCTCGTTTACGGCCGGGTAAAGGCGTCTAAGCCGCTGGTTGAGCTCTTTTTCCTGCTCATTGAGAGCCAAGTCTCCGTGAACGACAACCGACATCAGAAACCCACAGCCCGATGACGGTCCTGACATCGCGATCCGATTTCTGCCGTCGATGCCAACAGCTTGCCAGCTATCTTTAGCTGGACAGCTTTTTAACAGTGTCCAGTGGCTAAAGCGACCACTGTCAGACACCGCAGGAGAATAGCCGCTGAGATTTCGGGGTTGTTTTATTCGGTTCTGACGCCTGGCTAGCCAGCCAGCTAACTGCGATTAGCCCGCAACCTCTCTGCCTCTCTGATGCGAGTTAGCAAGACGCTAGAGAATTAATCACGCCAATACAGCGAAACGGCAACTTACACAAACATAATGACATCCAGAAAGTTGATCCTTGTTATTTAGGACGACATCCAGCCTATCGGACAGACTAAATTAGGTAAAAGCAGCAGAAAGACAGCTGCAAAAGGGAACCCCGATCTTTTGTTTGTTGTTAGTGTGAAATACAGCGTTCTGATTGGCTCTCTCAAGGTCCAGTCATACTTCCTCGAGGACTTGGTACATGACTAGACACAAGCTACCAATAACATGCCCTTCTTTCTCACTTGACTTGTTATCGACGATAGTTGAAATGGCTGGGACAATGAGAATATACATTTACCAATTGTAATGTTTCGTTTAATCAATCATTTTTCATGTCATGGGACAACGCAGTTGTGGTGCAGATTAGGACCCCCATACATCTCATTTTCAGGTTGGGACTTTTTTAGTGACTTCCATTGAGCTAAAGAAATTTAAAATCCCCTAGCCATTAATCTAACCCTAACATATTCCTGCTTTTTATTTTTATTTATTTATTATTAAATAATGTATTATTTTAAATATAGCCTAATGTGTCGCTGCTAAGCATATAGGCTACATAACCTCACAACTTCAAACACAAACATCAGTTCTTCTTTATTTTACATAAGGCTACTTCATTGACCATACCACATGAATTAACAATTACATTTTTATTATTATTATTTTTTATTTAGTTGTTTTACAGTCCAAAAGATTTGTGGTTAAACAGTGTCAGTGCATTTAATCTAGTTGGGGCAGCATCAAAGGTTTTACAAAACAGAATATGAAATATATTTATATACAAAATATGTGACTAATAGTCTTTCCCAAACAAATGCATGTGTAGAAGTGGAATGTATAATTTATCATGATCTGAAGGTTTGATGCTTTATACAAACTGTATAAAGTGCAATCTCCAACATTATTGTGATATACATTAATGTTTCATTCATACGTTTGTCACAAATTGTAAAAACATATGCATGTTAGTTTCTTCATTCTTCGTGCATTTCTGTTCCAAATGAAAAATGGCAACATCAAACTAATTTTTTATTAAAATATGTGGCCTACCCATGATTCAGTGTATGATGTTATATTGCAAACACTGATGACTTGCGTATAAAAAAGTTAATTGTTTTTACAAAGAAAATGTGCATCAGCAAGCCTATAGAGTTATTGAACTGACCATTTCAGCCACGAAAAGGCACATTCAACAATCATATACAGATATATCATATATGGTGAATATATTGTTGGTGTGGATACCAGTTTTAAGTATTCTAATATTACTTTGATTTGTATGATGCAAAATTAAATCTGTACACTTTTATTGTTTGTATTTTCAGTTCACTGTAGCCTAAATTGGTTATCCATTAGCAGGAGAATTCAGTTTCCACAAACCGACAGGACCATATAAGCACATCCAATCTTCAAATATAACAGTTACACTTATTGCTTTGGTCATTATGGTGGCACACATTCCCAAAACTCACGACACAGGCATTGGCAAAGGCCGTACACCATAACAATGAGAAGACTGACAGGTACCAGACTGACCATCAACACCCCTGTTGTGGTATGCTGCATGATAAGCAGGTAGACACCTAGAGGCAGCGAGCTGAAGTACAGCAGCCCCAGCAACCAGACCAGGACACGCGCTGAGGTCTGGCACAACAGGGCCGCACAGTTCCACACTGTCCATCTATTGGTAACAGAGGCCATTGAGTCCAGGCTAGAAGAGCGGTAATCCCTCCCCGGAGCTGGAATAGCAGACTCCTGCCGAGCCTCCATAATGGTGATCACCACGTAATTGGAACGAATCGAGGTGGGGGAAGCTGAAGCAGAGTGTCCCACCAGGGAGTTGAGGCATCTGGGACTGAGAAGAATCTCGCCTTGGGTTTCATTCTGGTTCGGGTGTTTCCGTGCCTGGACGGACAGCAGCGCCGACACCAGGTTATACTCGTCCGGTAGACTATCCACAGCTTCTCTGGGAAGGTCCGTGATGTATCGGCAGAACGGACAGACCACTGCGTTGGGAGAGGATTCGCCCAAATCGAGGATTTTTGCAAGGCACTTGGCACACAGACAATGACAGCACTCGAGGACCTTGGGCCGTCGACTTGACAGGCTGTAAGCACAGTAGCAGATCTTGCATTCCAGTTCCTCTGTGGTGAAGCAACCCTCCACATCCTCCGGGAGCTGTCCCATCATGTCTCCTTCCTCTCAACGTTTTCTCATCGGCTGGTTGTAATCAAAGCTGTGTGGGAACATGGTTGCGAGGCTGCTGCTGGGTCAGTCCTGGTGTCTGGATGGTGTCCTATGCAGAACGGGGCATTGCCTTCACTGTGCCACAGAGGCTCTGGACGGGTTTGTGCCGAGGAACCTTTCATGCACTGTGTGGAAGGGTGGGGAGAGGCCACTACCGAAAAGATAACTGTTAACACAGCAGTAGAGAACAAACACTGCAGCAACAAAGCAGGCCCTGTAAAACCAGGGCTGGAATTTTCTAGCCAGGGCTTTTGTTGCCACTGAAATTCAGTCCAATTAGTAGCTCCACACTTTCTGGTACACTGTGCTGATTTCGCTTGCTCAATGCAACACTACTCCAAAAAAAGAAAGATATTTGTTTCTGTAATTCTATTTCTGAAATTACTTTATGTTCAGAATAAACAAAAATATAAAGCATTTTAAACTTATTTTAAACTTAAAATAAACTTTTAAACTTGTAATTTTGAATACCAGCCAGGTCAGCAATGGCTACAGTTCACTGTGCAACATTTAAAATTAGGTCATTGCTGTTCACTGAGCCTGTCTCTCATTGTCAGGTATTACTGTGCAATGAGAATTCACTGAAAATTGATTGACATTTCTTCCATATATATATATATATATATATATATATATATATATATATATACATACTTTGCTATATTCTGCTTTATTGGACTAGAGCACAATGTGACTAGCGAGGTAACAAAGGGACTCAGTACCAAGTACAGCCAAAATCATATAACTGCTACTTATTAAAGTAGTTTTGACTTAAGGCTGTCAGGAATAATATGTGTTTAAGCAAAAATATCTGTTTACTAAGATTTGATCAGCCGACAAGTCAAGAACAATATTCATCTGTGTTCTATAGTGCAATAATGAGCAATGACATATTTTAAAGACCTTTCAGTCAAACCATTTTCACAACTACTGTTATGATCTCTCACCTTACAGCCAAGATAACATCTTTTATGAATGTCATCAGTGTTAGCAGCTGTCAATTATGTTAACTTTTAACCAAGTGCATGCATGTAAAAAAAGATAAAGATCAATAAGTTCACAAACATTGCTTTAACTCATCAAAAATACATTTAGCAGTTTTCAACTTTTGTTGAAACTTAAACATCTTAAAAATGTAAGGAAGCAACTTTACAGTGTGTACACTCACTCTAGCATTACAACTTTAAACCGCAGAAACAACATTTAGACATTAATAATAATAATGCAATTTTATAGCATTATATAGACTATTTTTATATTATTATTATTATATTTACACGTGGCTAGTTAGTTAGTAGCTAACTACTTCTACAATCAATTTACAGAAATGTAGCTACACTACTCCCTAGTGGTTAAAGAGTTTATTGAGATCATTCATATTTTATATTTTAGAAGAAAAATACAATTTTATATGACCGGAAAAGTTGCATAGTTATAAAGAAGAAGCTTTAGAATGGTGCATGGCCGGTGATGAACTAGGCTAAAGGAAGAAGTAGTAGGCTAGTAGTAGTAGTAGTAGTAGAAGAAGAAGAAGAAGAAGAAGCAGAAGCAGAAGAAGAAGAAGAAGAAGAAAACAATGCACACATTTCATTGTATAGAATGAAATCAAGGAAAACGCTCATTTGGCTTAATTTCGAGCAATAAGACGGATAAATAGGTAACCTAGAGCAGGTATAATTCACACAGCCGATTTAACGATGACGTAAGAGTTCCCAACAGCAACCTGGGGCTGCCTCTGGGTGACGTCAGCGACTAAACAACAACAAAATAAATATCAGCTGGCAGTGCGCGTGAGGAGCGGGGAGCGGGCTCGCGAATCGTCTGCTATGGCTAATCAGAGTGGATGCGTGGATGCTTCAGAGGTGGAGCCGGTGGGCAAGAGCGCCGACTGCGAGACTTCTTCCAGACCACTCAACTCAGGTGGAAGAGAGATGGCGGTGAAAGAGGAAGAGCAACCTACCGGAGTCCGACACCCTGCAGGCAATTATGCGTGTCGAATATCAAAGCTGATTAACTGGAAAAGACCATTATGGACTTCCGCTTTCTTCGTAACTACAAATATAGCGTTTTGGTGAGACACATGACGCAGCGTATTTTGCTTATTCACACATACGCTATTATTATTATTATATCACTTGAATGCAGAATGCATGCATGCATGCAAATATCGCATATTCTCATTTAAGACAGCATGATATTGGAGTTAAAAATATATAGGCCTATATGTTGCATTAATAATTATGGGTCAGTCTTTATCTCTTCCCAATGCACTACATTAAATCGAATTAAATCAGCAGGCCTAACAATGTTTTTGCTTAAGGCATTCTCCCTTGACCAGCTTCTCTGTATCTGTGTTCGCAATGAACGTGGCTACAGTTGCATTGCTATACTGTAGGTGCCCGTATTTCAGGCATATCTTTTGTGCAATTGTTTACTTTGCATAACATAAATAAATAGTTGAAGACAAACTTGTAAATTTTCTATTCAAAATTGTATTTGCATTTCCCTGCATGCACAAAATCTGTAAATGTATGCTTACATCAGATTTAAAGAAATCTTGTTGTTGAAAGTGGATAAATAGCCTAGTGTATTTGGGTTAATATGACTTAAGTAGTAATTTGGTGTTCCTTTTTGGAATTAGGAACACCTTCGAAGCGCATGATTTTACATAAGAGACTTGTTAACAGAAATAATACACGAGTGTGTTCTAATTATTTAATGTTAGATTAACATTATAATTGTTTAATTTTAAAAGTATGATGACAAATATTAGATGTAGATAATCTCACGGCATTTATCTTAAAAAAAAACAAGCATTATACACATATGTGATAGATATCTGTTGACTTTAGCAGTGCAGGTGTTTATATGTTTATTTTTCCATGCAGGTTTGTTTCCCTCAGTCCCTGTCGAATGTTCAGCTTTATCTCCATATGTGTAGCTCTGTTAGTGATAATACAGCTAATGAGAGATGTGGCTCTTTCCAGATCAAGAGGTATGGGTTTGTTTCATCCCATAATGCTCTAACTTGTCACTTTACTCTGAAGCAATATTCGACTGATGTTTATTTTTCCTCTTTATAGGAGCTGCTCTATGGAAGAGTATGACAAGCAGGTAAAGTTAGAGCATGCACACCGAGTTTCAAATTCTGACCTAATATGCACAAGAGTTCAAAGGTTTTAAATGTTTTTGAAAGAAGTCTCCTACACTCACGTGGCTGCCTTTATTTGGTCAAAAATACAGTCAATATAGTTATACAGTTTAAATATATATATATACAGTTATATATATTAAATACTAATATATATACTATATATTCCTGTAAAGGCAAAGCTGAATTGTATGATCAATGTTGAAAACCGTTATATTTATATTCTTCTGGAAACCCTGATACACATTTTCAGGATGTGTTATATGTACAAAATTTCTTTGAACAGAATGTAATTTTGTAACATAAATAACTTGATCAATTTACTGTGTTCTGAATATAAGTAATTCATTTTTTTTGGTAACACATTACAATAAGGTTTAATTGGTAAACATTTGTCAACTAGATGAGTTTACATGATCTAATCATGAACTTGTACAGCATTTTTTTTTTTAAAAATGCCCCTTACTGCTACAGTCCAGCCTGTAACCACTAGAGGGTGTCCTATGACTCTCATTGGCATTATTGATGACATACAGCAATCCATATAGCCTGTCATGTGAGCTTAGAAATGTCATTGATATCCAGCGCTGTTGTGTGATCAAGACTAATGAAGAAATCTAACAAAGTACTCCTGAGGAACGCTCGACACTGTTGACCTTTTTCAATTCATATATGAGTCAGTTTGAAGAGTGTGCATGTCAACAAACATTATATAATCAATATTTTCATCAAATCTTCGCATGTGAGAACATTGAAAAGTCAGCCTAAATTTGTTAAAGTATTGGATTAGTGGAAGGCTTGATGAATTTATCCAATACTGCTTATCATTGCCCTTTGGCTTTCCATTATTTTAATCTGGGTTGCGCCATGCTGTACTCTGACCGTACTTGCTCTGTCATTGTTTGCATGCTTATGGTGAAAACAAATGCAATGGCACCATTGTGCCCCAGCGGGTTAGATGCCAGTGCAGTAATCATCAGTGTGGTGTTTATGTGCGGCGGGCCTCATTAAAACCTTGAGTACTTGACCAACAGCTGCTGAACTGCCTCAGCTTGTTCATTTCTGCTGGCTGCTGTTGATTTGAGTCCTGTTTCAACAGTTGTCTTCGCCTGGATCTTCACACTGATCTCTATGCCCCCCACCCCCCACCCCCCATTACCTATGGGATCAAAACGCTTTATGCATTTCTGTAAGAATTGATATGATCAATAAGTCATGACAAAATGTTTTTCAATTACTTTAACTCATCAAAAACTTAACCTATTACAAACTCATTAAGTTATGCAACTTGGCAAGATTTAAAAAAAAAAAAAAAAGTTAGTTGAAATGAAGGCCATTTGATACTTCAAAATGTAAGGCAGCAATAGGGGGAACATTTTTACACTGATGTATTTTCATAGACGTTAAAGTGTGATTGTATTTTCACATTAAGAGCTTTAAGAAGAGTCTGTTATTTTTGTCTTTTTATATTCCAACAGAAGTTAAGTAATATAAATGTTTTGTTCAGTGGTAGCATATGTCATGTTGTGAAACTTGAGTTTATGTTTCAGCCTGTGCATGGTTGAGTAGAATGACACAGCCATTTGTGCATCCAGGAGTGATCTTGCATTTCCTCACCATTCTTATTGGAAGGAAATTGGAGTGTCCTAACCAATAAGCCAATCACATCACAGTATACTAACTAAAAAAGGGTGTGGTTAGAGACTCAGCTGCCCATTGGAGGAAGACGGTTATGACGTGATTACTGTTATTAGCTGTTTGTTGACCGGTCACGTTGCTTTCATCACAGTCAAATGACCAAATTATAATAAGATAAATAAATAAGTGATATAAATAATAAAAGACTGTTACTATCTTTATATACTGGGGAGACGGGCAAGTTTTTTACACTTTACTCCACTGAATATTTCTCTGAGAATTTTAATTTTTAAATGTCAGTTTCTGTACATATTGTATATCTTGAACTCTTACAAAAAATGTTTTTGAATATATCCACCATTATTTACTAGGAAAAGCTGGCATGGTGGAACACAGCCTATTATAGACTTTTAAGCAACAACAACAAAGTTGTGAAAAGACAAAATGTCTTTTGTCAAAATGTTTTGACAAAATGTCAAAATGTACACAATTGTTCAATAAATGTTTTAAGTCATAAATTGTATACCTTTCAAAACACATGTAAAAAAAAAAAAAAAAATCATGACAATTTGCTCCGAATGGACATTTGTGAAAATATAATATACCATTTAAAACCAACAAAAGTGTGACCACCTGCCCCAAATGAATATTTGTGGGAAAATATAATTAATTAATCAATTGTATAACCAGTATATAGTATTTACATAACATATAGTTCTATATTAATTTGCAATATAATTAATTCATAAATAAGATTATCATAAATCAATGGGAAGAACATATAGTTTTTGTGACGTCTTTCCAGTAAAAATGATACCCATGGCATGTACCAGTATGGAGATGATTTTTCAGAGTCATTCAAAATACTCTTTAGAATGTCTCATTCTGTGAAAAGGGGGTATTAAGGGGGTATTATGTTTGTACGTGTGTGTGTTCATGCCCCAGCGTTGTCTGTATGATGCCTGCTTGTGGAATGCTATGTGACTCTGGTATTTTTAGACCTGACTGGTTGAAATAGTGAAGCTCAGGCCTTGATCAACATAAACACTAGCTTGTGTGGCTTCATGCGACACTTCATTTGTGACTCTGTCTGAACTCTGGAACTTATCACTGACACACTCACCTTCTAACTTACCTTCTGAAGGCTTTTCATGTTGAAATCTAGAGCTTTTGAGATGACCGCTGAAGATCATGGATCAGCACTGAGGTAAAAAAAAAACTGTATTGAAGAAACTGGTACAAACTAGACAGAGTGGTTGTTAACTTTGAATATGAAGCATTAGTGTTATGTGCATTAGACTTGGCTAGTCTTGTATATCTCTGATAACTTAGTGTTATAATATCAAGTAATACTTGTCTTTGAAGAACCTTGCTTAAATCTTACTTACATCACACTTGGTTGTCATGTTTCTGATATGAGCTTCTTCAGAATTTTTATAAATGTCAGTCATCATGTATCAGATGCATCAGGGGTTGTGCGGTCTCCATGGCCTTTTATTTTGGAACATTTGCTAGGGGGAATTTCATGTTGATTGTTACAAGGACTGCAGAGGGATTGATACGTGCATGTATGCCACACAGCAATGGAACCTGTCAGTCATGTGTGATAAGGTTTAAGTTGACAGACTCACAGACAGGCTTATTAGCATTGTTAAAATACTGCAGTTGGCAATGCCTGTGTTTCTGCTGCCCTTATTTTACAAATTAAGAGACACTGGATTTTAACTGCCATTCCTCAGCTGTTTGTTTTGGGCTATTTTAGTGCCCTGTCACTGGGCCTTTTTGAGTGTCAGACAAGTAGCTTTCTGTGTTGTTTTAGCGATTAGCATGGGAGTCAGTTAGTCCAGCGGTTTGGTTTTCAGAATCCAGAGTCACCTGTTGTTGGCATTTAGAGGCTTTTCTACAGATTGTCTTTGGTTTTAATAGATTTAAGACTTGCTTGAGACAGCAAGTGTTAACTTTTTTTGGTTTTCACAGTAATAGCAGCCTATTTAGCAGCGTATTTACCAGTGGCAAACATGCCATGCGATTTAAAATAGTGTTAACTGTCAAACACCCCATGCCGTCGTCAATCCACAAGCAGATTTCTCGAAAGATGTAACAGATGTTATCTTATGAAACGTCTTCACACTTTTATAAGTGTCATGTGAGTATTAGACCTCATTGATCGCTACTTATCAGCTCTGGTCTGGGTTGGGCAAGCCTGAGCTGCGCTTTCTCTGGCACATTGGTTTGTATCTGCCACATGGTCGATGGTGAAATGCTAATGTGAGCTCTGTTGCCTCATAGTCACATGCACCCCATGCGCCCTGTTTAATAGGAAACCTCCGGTGGGGAAACATGTCTCCGCAATGTTGGAGGTGACAGGTTAATGACCTTTTGGAGGAAACACAGCTCGAGCTGATCTGTAGGAGGCAGCCTAATTGCTTAGGTTAGCAAAATATAGCATATTTTTGCTAACATTTGGGGTCGATCAGTTTAAAAAGTTTTGACACATTTACCTACTCTAGGTGGTGTTGTTTGGTTTGTTTTGGTCATGGGAAATGAGCATCAGCTGTCAGGGGACAAAAGTAAGGGCACATAACCAGAGATTAAAGGCATTAAAGGGGTCATGGGATGCAAGATTTACTTTTATAAGATTTACTTTTATATGTTTGCATATAAATGTGTCTTTGCCGTGTGTGGAGTCTGTGGACACAACCACCCTACAATGGAAAAAATCCATTCACTTTTTATCCGTAAAAAGCCTAAATACTTGGAAATAGGCTCATTTTACAACTCCCCCAGAGTAACCAGATATATAATATATATATATATAGATATATAATAAAAGATATATAATATATACTATGGAAGTCAATGAAACCAGAAACTGTCTGGTTACTGATATTGCGTTGGATGTAGACGAAATGTCAAAAGCGTCAGCATATGATGCCTTGGGATGAGAATGGGCTGAAACAGAGAACGGGCTGATATAACATCAAATGTGATTTAATGTCATCAAAGAGTCTAACTTTGACCCCAGAAGACTCAAAGAATCATCAATGTGTAAATAGTCATTTTTATGTGATTAAATATATGTTTGTTAATGTAAGCTGTCAGTTAAGGACCCATACATCTATTAATATGTAATCATATATATTTTTAGAATATCCGAATCTATGAATGGCAACGTGAGGTGAACCCTCAAATACACAAAGCATTTCGATGTGCAATAATTTTCTTATATATAAATCAGTTTTTTTCAGGTTTTCATCTCATGAACCTATTTTGGTAGATAGTGAGAAGAAGTCTGCAATCATCACTCAGACTGTGAACTATTTCAAACATGCAGCGTTCACTCCAATAGTGTTAGATTTTGTCTTCAAAAGCATACGCACTGAATAGCTAATGTAATCGGTTTATTAAAGACCTGATTTTGTAAAATTCAGACTTGGACTGTGTGGAAAAATGTATTTATGTCAAAACTTGTCGCATTTATATGTTCAGATTGTGCAGCATCACACATTTTTCATCTGATTGACATGACTAAGCCTTAAGAAATATAAATTATTTAAACTATTTAATGAATGAATGAATTATGAAGTGCTTTGTTCAGAAAGGGTCAGTCTATACTTTTGGTTGAGCATGAATGATCATCTATGTTACTGGTCTTTTAATTGTAGCTGGGAGGTCATTGATTCTGTCCAGGAGGGCAAGTCTGGATCTGAATCTCCTTTTACAGACTTCTGGACAAGCCTCAAGCTGTTCATTGAGGAGACTTCCTCTTTTAAGCAGCAGAATCCAGGCAAGGTATGGATGGATTTGAGTAGTTGACGCATAACACATTCTTTTTTGACACCCACATCAAGATTGTATCAATGTGTAAGGAAAACTGTATCTTGGGTATCATGTAACAAGTCTCAGTTTCTTCTAATTATTTTCCCAATTTTGCCTTAATTTCTTTATTTTAATGGTAATAATAATAATTAATATTAATCAGTATTAATCAATAATAATATTATGATTTATATACAATTTCATATGATTTAATTAATATTTATATATTCACTCAGAAAAAAAAGGTTTCAAAAGCTGTAACTGCTACTTGGTCAGTACCCTGTACTGGTTCCAATATGTACCATTTAGGTACTAATATGCACTCTTTGTGTACAAAGGGTACCACCCCAGTGACAGCTTTTGCAACTGTCATTTAATAAAAAAAATAATACTTACATTTTTCAAAGTATTCCATGTAGTATGTTGTGTAGTATTTCCATACAGTACATATTTCATGCTTATCCATTTGCAATGAACTGAGACATTGTGAATTTGTGTGTCATTGCAGTTCTGTCTGCTGGTGTGCAGTATGTGTTCTTTTCTGGCAATACTTGGACGTTACATTCCAGGGGTTGTTATTTCATACATCTTAGGTAAGTGGTCATTTAGAGCTGCCTATACTGTACACAAAAAAAGACAACCAATAGTTTTTTGTCCTACCTTTAATTTAAGTTTATGTTCAAGTGATTGTAAGCATGCGTCATGGCTAAGTAGAGCGGCCCCTATCCTGGATATACCTCAAGCACACCCGAGAACATCCGACAGTCTGTTTGTCATGTGATAGTGGATTCCTAGTAATGGAACCAGGACGAGATTCTCTCTCAGTTTCTGGTTTCTCTTTCTTCCTAGCAGTCAGCAGGTTCATAAACACTGGTAAGTGTGACACCTACATTAATAGTTTGTACATCTGTTTACTGCAGTGCTGGGCATTTTTCTCTGGCCTTTGATGTCGTCACATGAGTTTGGGATGTGGTTGGAACCAGTTCTGCAGAAACTGGACTTTGGAGTGGGCGAGTTCATTCAGAAAATTAAGGAGAATCATGGTTAGTCTCAAATACATTCACACACAAAATGTCTTTACATATCTGAATTTTACGTTATTTCCAGTAGAGCTCGTCACCATATGCTGCCTCACAGGCATCTTAACTAGACTTTGCTTTACTAAAAACCAATGAGCCATGTAGGCGGGATCCTAAACTTCATGGAAACTGTTATTGTTAACTAAAATTAAAAGCTATTAAAAATAATTTAGTTATTGTTCATTTAAATAAAGCTGAAATAGGCTAAAATACAAATCATAGATTAAAATCTTAAAAAACTTGATCATAAAATTAGTAATGTTCCCTTGGCAATTAACTAAAATAAAATCAGTTCTAAAATCATCAATCCTAAAACTAAAATAAAAACATATTAAAGCTATACATATTACATATAAATATTTAACAAAAAATCAAATGACAAAATATTAATAAATACTATTATAGTAGTATTTGTATAATACTAATATAACACTGCATGGAAACTCATAAGTAACCGATATGGATCGATTTGGAGCATCTCCTTGCACCACAAATATAGTTCAATGGAGTTTGGCATTTGCATGTTGCTAAGCTAACAGAGCGTTACACTAATAAACATATAAAACATAGCACAATATGTTTGTTTTTTCAACTACACAGGAGTATTTTTTTATTCTTTTCTGTTCAAATGAAATATTTATTTCAAGTAGTGCTGTGAAATGGATTATATACATATCAATATATCTATATACTGTATATATATACACTCAACTAAAGGATTTTTAGGAACACCTGTTGTAGGGCATTTGCTTCAATGCATTTAGGGGTGTGGTCCTGGTCAAGACAATCTCCTGAACTCCAAACTGAATGTCAGAATGGGAAAGAAAGGTGATTTAAGCAATTTTGAGGATGGCATGGTTGTTGTTACCAGACGGGCCGGTCTGAGTATTTCACAATCTGCTCGGTTACTGGGATTTTCACACACAACCATTTCTAGGGTTTACAAAGAATGGTGTGAAAAGGGAAAAACACCCAGTATGTGGCAGTCCTGTGGGCGAAAATGCCTTGTTGATGCTAGAGGTCAGAGGAGAATGGGCCAACTGATTCAAGCTCATAGAAGAGCAACTTTGACTGAAATAACCACTCGTTTTTGTGAAGCCTCAACACGCACAACCTAGAGGCGGATGGGCTACAACAGTAAAAGACCCCACCGGGTACCACTCATCTCCACTACAAATAGGAAAAGAGGCAACAATTTGCAAGAGCTCACCAAAGTTGGACAGTTAAAGACTGGAAAAATGTTGCCTGATCTGATGAGTCTCGATTTCTCTTAAGACATTCAGACGGGTAGAGTTTGAATTTGGCGTAAACAGAATGAAAACCTGGATCCATCATGTCACAAACCTTGAATCATTTCAAATTGGTTTCTTGAACATGACAATGAGTTCACTGTACTAAAATGGATCTCAACCCAATAGAGCATCTTTGGGATGTGGTAGAACGGGAGCTTCGTGTCCTGGATGTGAATCCCACAAATCCTATCAATATGGGCCAACATTTTTAAAGAATGCTTTCAGCACCTTGTTGAATCAATGCCGTGTAGAATTAACGCAGTTCTGAAGACGAAAGGGGGTCAAACACAGTATTAGTAGGGTGTTCCTAATAATCCTTTAGGTGTATATATATATGTGTATATATATATATATATATATATATATATACACACACACACACACACACACTCATGTGTATATATATATATATAGTATATTGACAAACTTTTATGTGGTAAATCGTGATTAATCATGATTAATTTAAAGTCATTTCTGAATTGCATTCATCATATTATTTCCCTTCTCCAGAGAAAAGGATACTCCAGTCACAAGCCGAGAGAGAGAACATTGAAGCAGATCTGTCCGCACTTTTCCCCAAGGTCAGTGCACTGTCACACCTATGCTTATCATGTGCCACTGAACACTCTGAGAGTTTCATGATATGGCAATATTATAATATACATTTCCTGTTTATGTGTGAGCTGATATTGAGAGATCTATTACAGATGGACTCCACTGTGTGCAAAGAGCTGTCTATATCAGACACAGAGGTCTCTGAAGTAACGTGGACAGACAATGGCACTTTCAACCTTTCAGAGGGAAACACACCTCAGACAGAGAACTCTGAGGGTAAGCTCTCTTATCTTTTACAGAAATGTCTGAAGTAAGGAATAATTGACGACTGGCCGTCATATTATTAGAAAAATAATGCACACCCAATGTGATGATGCGGCGTGAAGCGTAGTGGCCGTTACACCTCGGGTGTGCACCCGGACCTACGGTTACTACTCCCTCGAAACATTGTTCAGATTATGTATTTCAAGACATTTGTCTTAAAAACGGGTCTGGAAGAAGGCTCTGTTGCCGAAACGCATAGATCTCCTTTTAACTGGTTTTAATGATTTAGCCCAGTTCATTAAAGGCTGTTAACTTTACCACGTGAATGCCTTGGAGTATTTCGTCTACATAATTAGATGTTTACTTCCAGTTCATCCAATGACCACCAGTGGTTATGTAAAGGCACCCGTATTGCACTCTCTGCTTCTGTTTTCTGAAAAAAACCAATACATTATATTTCAAAATATAATACAATACAGTTATTTTAATTTATTAAATTATTAATAAATTATTATTAATAAAATGTAAGCCAGACCTCTTGTTTAGAAAGTCATTATTCATGTGTTATAGCTGTTTTTTTAAAGGATTATCTATTATATTCTTCTAATGAAATTATATGTCTAGAACAACATATAATTTTTAATAGAATCACATTTAACTATGTTTTTGAGATGTTGAATAGCCTTGAGTTTTTTAAAAAGTGATTGTTTTTCTATATTATTTATTTGCTTTATTTCATTCAGACTCAGACCCGCGAAGTGACGAGGAAGTCTTCGCCGGTGGACTACCAGAGTTTCCCTCCATGGACAATGGCGTAGTGACAAACGGAGAGGACGATGAAGACCTGAGCATTGGAATGCCCACCCCTCCAGCCCATCCCAGCAGGGTTGGGTCCACACAGTCAGAGGAAGAACCTGTGGTCCAGGCCCTGGAGGTTGTGCAGAGGCTGGCAGGAGAGGTAATTACGGCAGCTGTCACAGCGGCCATGCAGGAACGCCTGGAGGCGGCGGTAGCGCCTGCGCTGGTCCAGGCCCTGGAGGAGGAGTCAGACAGCGAGGCAGAGGACTTTGAGTTGTTGGACCAATCAGAGCTGGAACAGCTGGAAGGTGAACTGGGGCTGGACCAGGCGAGCCGTGCAGATCCGTCTAAACCTAGCCAACCTTCTTCAGGCTTACTGTCCAAACTTCTGGGGCGCCACTGATCTTATTCAGAGGGGCGTCCGCTTCCCTCTGTGATGGGATGTGGGTGGGAGGATAAATGTCAGGTTTACAGGGCAAGGTCCAGAGTAAAAACAAAGTCAGTCTTTGGAAGGGAGGTTAATTGTGTATTTCACGGGGAATGCAATAGTGGCTGGTTTTGGCATAGCTCCATCTCAGTTGGTCATTTGAGGAAATTATTTTCACAATGTTTCCTGTCAACTTCCAACCCGCCAATGACCAGAGGGTTATGGACCAGAGTAATGTCATTAGTTTAGCTGTTAAAAGGCTGGCAGATGCAGGATACTCCATATTTTGCTGCCAAATATTTGTCTCTATTCAACTTAAAACGCTTCATGGCCAAAAAGAAAGGGTCTCCCACTAACTGACAATCAGGACAGCCCTTAAATGACAGAAACACCTTGAAGTGAAGTACACATCTGGTGAATATGTATTTGAAATCTTTTGTTTTCTAATTTTCTTTTTTTTATTGTATTTTTTTATGAAGGATTTTTGAAAAGCCGGTGGTCTTAGTGAAATCCTTTGCATGGATTGGATAATCATGTTTGTTTCGATTTGCACCTTTTTTAGAGTGAACCAACTAGGCACTAGAGCAGATAGTCATCAAAGTTGAACAGATTATGTTTTATATTCATATAAACATTCATCAAATACTGCTTAAAGAGATGGTTTACCTAAAAATTAGTATTCTGCCATCAGTGGTGTTTAATATTGTTTTGGACCCCTTTGACTTTCATTTTATAGATCAAATCAAAACATTCTTCAAAATATCTTCTTTTGTGTTCCACAAAGAGGTTTAGAATGACATGAGGGTGAGTAAATAAGGATAATTTTTGGGTGAACTGTCTCTTTAATATACACAAATAACCTTAACATTCATTTTCAGTCAAAATTAACATGGAAAATGTATTTAATCCCAAAGAACATTGTAGAGAGAAGACAATAGCACTTTTAGTCAATCATACAAATCAAATTGTCTCTTTGAGGATCATTATTTGTTTTTTCTGTGATAAGAAAGTTGTCTTTTGTCAATTTACCCATTATTCATAATTGCCTTTACATCAATGTAAGTACAGAGACACATATAACCAAGACTGTTTCTGTTCACAGTGTGGTGCTTGGTGTGTATCTAAATTTAGTGTTTCTAACAAACTACTGATGTATTATGAGTTTTGTTTTGAGATGTATCAACCGCTTTCTATAGTAACGTAGCTTAATATGAATTTCTAGCCACTCACTATGACTGCTATCCTAAAATGACTCTAATCAGGTGTCAGTTTGATCATTTTTTAAAATTTAAATATATTATTTATACCTATATATCTCTACTAGATAGCTGCCACGCACATATGATCGCCTTATATGCCTGTGCAAGTTTGTCTGTCAGAGCGGAAGAGAATAATCAAAATATAGATAGAAACAATCTCAAGAATGTAATTAAAACCATATGAATCAAAGATAGGGGTTTCTCTCTTTTTTTCTGAATGAGGTGGAGTAAAAAACATCTGACGTGACTTCAAAACATAAAGGGTGTGCGAATTTCACATTAAAAACCGGGGACTTTTCCCCTTTCATATATATTTTTGGAAAAACTATAATTATGTTAATTAAATTACAATAATAAACACTAATGAGCTCAGACTCAGTGTATAGGTTATTGTCACCAAATGCATGATTAACCAGATAATAACTGTATTCTCTCTGGTATTTTCAATGTTTGCAGGTTTACCAGGTAAAGGGGAGGCACTGTCCTTCTCATAAAAATGACACCATGTGATTTACTCATACTCCACCTGTAAAGCACGCCATCCATACATCACCCTTTCCTCAAGTCGGCAGTACAAAATAATGTAATGTTTCAATGATTTATGCTTGGTAACTAACATCATGTGGGATTTTATAATGAGCATACGCTACAAACAGCACAAAAATGAAAGCATTTCATGATTAAAGCAGATAAAAAGAACAACACCAATGTTTTCAATTGCATTCATGATTTAGAGTAAACTAACACATTGTCTGACTGCAATATGAGTGACTGTATGGTTATAGCTAAACATACTGAAACGATTAAAAAGAAACCTCTTCCATAATTTTGCGTCTGGTGGTCCTTTAAAGGTTCAGGCCCAGCAGGAGATGTTTTTTTACTACCGCTGCATTTCTTTATGAAGTGAGTAGCTTAATGTGGTGTGATTTGTGTCTTAGGGCCAAAATAATAATCAAACAAGCCACAAAAAGTTGCTACACACATTCATTTATTCTAAATGTGAGAAAGAGAAACAACAAAAGACTGCACAGACAGGCCTACTTTTCTTATCACAATATCTAAATCTATACAGATAAGTTGCACAAACAGATTATTTGAATCGATTTAAATCGATAAATATAGCAGTATGTAATGAAATTTGAAAAGTGGTTTACAATATGAAATTATACATGGCACATTCCTGGTGTGTAAATTAAATGGTGCCATCCAATATTTGGCTGTTTGTTACTTTTCTTTTTCATGAAAACAAGCTTGAATTCTTCCGAGTAAGGTCTGTAGTTTTTCATAAAATGCTGTTTACAAATCGTGTTGCTGGCTTGGGAAATGCAAGGCAGAAATATAGTTATTTTACATATGGCTACATCTCAGTCAGAGAAACAACATGCATTTCCTCACATTGACTGCAGACATGAAACTGCCCACTGTTTTCAACAAGATATCTATTGTTTTAGCATGTGAATTTGAGCTTGAAAAGTGTGTTTGTGATATGTTTTTTTTTTTCTTCAAATAAATGCTATCTAATGCAATGATGCATTGTGCATTTTTAGGAGTGACTTGTGTAGCTAAATGCTTTTGGGAGCCATTATGTGTGGAGGGAAAGGAATAGTGCTCTGGCCTTTAACCCTTGTGCTGCATTGGGGACATTTTTGGTCATTTGCAGTATAATTTCTTTGACTATTTTGGCAAGCAAATGGTATGTAATTTGGCAAAATTGTGACTTTTTGGATAAATGTAATCAGTTTGATCCCATTTTGTAAAATATGTATAACACACACTGTGTAGATCACTCAGCACCATTATGACCAAAAATGGCCCATTGAAACCCATTAAAACGTTGTTTAAAGCATTAATACATGAATCATGATTTATGTTGAAACATCCTTTCATTTTGAAGCAAAAGCATTATATTTGCATTATATAGTTTATTCCACCAGATGAAGTCACTACATACATAGGTATTCCAACGCATTCTCATCCCAAAGCGCCATATAGGACGCTTTTGCAAAAGCGTAAATATCCAACGCACATGGCACCCTTTAACGTGAAATGGGACGCAGATATATTTGGGCAGAAGGCGCCCCCTAGTGGTCTAACCCTTACCCTACACCTTACCTAAACTTAACCCTAACCGAAGCGTCTCATTAGACGTTAAAGGGTGCCATGTGCGTTGGATATTTACGCTTTTGCAAAAGCGTCCTATATGGCGCTTTGGGATATTTTCCTGGCTTCCACTAGGGGCACTACTAACTGTTTTATGAAGCATATTCAATGGCTCAATGATCTAAAATGATGCTTCTGAGTATGTGTGGATGTCTGAGAGCAATTTGTGTCTGCGTTGACAAAAGTGTGTTTGTGTGTGTGTAGGGCCTAAATAAAATACATGATGTTTAGGTGAGTGACAAATAACAATATCCTGAAGGTCATATTTTACCCTTTCTGTCTACTCTCTCTCTCCCTCTCTCTCTCTCTCTCTCTGTGTGTGTCAGTGGTGTAGGATGTGTGTGTAGGGTTGTGTGTGTTTGTGCATTTATCAAGAGAATGTGCTTTTCACTGCATTGTTTTCTTTCGGTTTGATTTACACGTTTTTTTACCCACAGACATGAACCTTTGACACAGCTTTGTTTTTTTTAGCAGTCTATGTTTCAAAGTTAATTGATAATTTCTGACATGCGGAGAGTCACAAACACAGCCATGCAGTCAGTCCTTAGACAATAATAACACCTTTCATCTTGCAGCAACACAAATATGTAGCTGTGAGGGATCCAAAACAAAGTCTGCCTTTCATACAAGTGCAGTTGATGCAAAAGTTATAAAGCTATGCATATCTTTGGTGTGACAATTCGACAAGATGAAGAAAAGCTAGTGGATGTGCAGACATCCATGACAATCCAGGTTCGGGTGTTGCAGTTTCTGCTCTAACATAAAAAAAAAGAAAAATCTCCACCACCAGCCCATTCTCACTCCCAAGGCGTCACCTAACTGACGCCTTGGGAAGCATTTGGACATGCTTCAATATCTGACGCTTTAGGCGCCCTTTAGCGTCAGTTAGATGACGCCCTAGGATCGCGTGTACCCTACCCCCACCCCACACCTAAACCTAACCGCGTCCTCTAACTGACGCTTTCCTTTAGCGTCAGTAAGATGACGCTGTAGGATCGCGTCATGTAAGTGACGCTAAAGGGCGCCTAAAACGTCAAATATTGAAGCATGGTCAAAGGTGACGCCTTGGGGTAAGAATGCGCTCAAAATGTGGCATTTACATCTATAAGGAGCATGCATTGCAATTCGGCAGCTCCTTCAAATGAGCAGAAGAATGACCCGAAGAATGACTCCCTTTCGATCGCCGTGGCCTCTCGACGGAGGCCATCGCCCCTCCCTTCCGAACGGCGTTCACCCATCTCTCAGGATCGACTGACCCATGTTCAAATGCTGTTCACATGGAACCCTTCTCCAGTTCGGCCTTCAAAGCTCTCGTTTGAATATTTGCTACCAACAAGATCTGCACGCGCGGCCAGCCTCCTTCTGCCTTCGACATATGGGCCCGACGCTCCAGCGCCATCCATTTGTTACACATTTTTTGTTACCATTTGTGAGTTGTTACACACTCCTTGGTGGATTCTGACTTCCATGGCCACCGTCCTGCTGTCTATATCTACCAACACCTTTTCTGGGGTCTGATGAGTGTCGGCATCGGGCGCCTTAACTCGGTATTCGGTTCATCCCGCAGTGCCAGTCCTGCTTACCAAAAGCGGCCCACTGGGCGTCTCGCATTCCACACCCGGCTCCACCGGAAGCCACCAAGCCGGGCTTCAAGTTCTTACCCATTTAAAGTTTGAGAATAGGTTGAGATCGTTTCGGCCCCAAGGCCTCTAGTCACTCGCGTTACCGGAACTGTGTGGTGAGCGGCAGCTATCCTGAGGGAAACTTCGGAGGGAACCAGGTTTGATTAGTCTTTAGCCCCATACCCAGGTCGGACAAGCGATTTGTACATCAGGACCGCTGCGGGCCTCCATCAGAGTTTCCTCTGGCTTTGCCTTGCCCGGGCATAGTTCACCATCTTTCGGGTACCATCGCACATGCTATCGCTCCACCACCCCGACGGACCGGGTGAGATGGGCCGGTGGTGTGCTGACCACCTTGACCTATCATGCCACACATCATGTCAAGTCCTGTCAGAAAAACATATTCCACTAAAGTTTGTGAAATCATTTGATGTTCAAAATTTTGTAGATATTCCTAGTTAATGACAGCAAAGGGCAAGTTTTTTTTGTGTGTGTTCTAAGTGATTTTAAAGTCTTCTCTGTGGCGCCAGCTGTTCTAAAATTCTGAGCGCACGTCGCATTCTTCTACATGTTGTATGTTGAAATTATGAGGCCATATCATGTTTGTGTGCTCAGCTGCTTCCAGGTTGGATTGCAGGTTTATGTGCTATGTAAAACACCTGTTTTCAGCAAGCCTGAAGTTTAATTATATGTGTAACTGGACGTGCTGATCCGGCTGTCCCTTCATCGTGATAAATGGATCTTAGTGGACACCATTCAACATTCAATCGCATTATTCGCATATACTGTACAGTATATTATACAGAGTTGTCATTTCTGAGTCAAAAGCAGCCACATTTGTGTGCTGTTTTGAAGGAATCACCTGCAATGTTATATGACAGGCCATAATTCTGATCTATGATGTTCTGGTCATAAAAAGCAGTAATCTCTGATCTTTTATAGCTTTCTTTAACCTTTTGGCCTTCAGTTGCCATTGGTTTCTTATGACAGTGGTTGACACTTTCTGCTTTTCCTGAGGAATCTTCAGTGAGTGTGAAGAAACTGCCAGATAACACCTTCAAAAAGCTGCTGACAGGAATCCGCTTGTTGGGGAGAGTTTAATTTTGTTTTTTAAACAACAAAGGGCTGTTTTTTAATAGCTTACATTACACAGTTTCTACTTCACCATGAACATCTCGACTTAAGTCTTCATTCCACCTGAATGAGGTATATGATGCAGGCGATTTAACAATATTGTGTACATCGTTCTATAAAAATAAAATGCAAAAAAAAAAATTATTAATGTATGTTCAGAAGAAATTCGGTGGTGAAAAAGTTTTATGGTGACAAAATTACTAATGTGATAAACATGTCTTATAATCGATTCTCATTGTAATGCACTACAAAATAAAACAAAACCCATGAAAACAATTAAGTAGAATTTGCATATTCTGCCGATTTCTAGTCCACAAAATGTATTTTTGTTGTTGTAACATTAGTAACAGGTTAGTCATATTAAATAATATTTTTGCCAAGAACAAAACTAATTTAGATGTTACCATAACATATAAACTGATCTACTGTATGTTAAATTATCTACACAAACTGGTTATGTACGTAAAAATGATAATGCTTTATCTAATCAAAAAAAAAAAAAAAAATCGTGGCAACAGATTACAAGCAATAATATTAATTAAATCTAACAAATTAGAATTGAGTAATAATTAATCAAATTAATTCCTTAAAAGTTAACCATTTAAAATGACTAAAACTTACAACAACAACCAAAAAAAAAAAAAAAAACCTAAACTGAAGTCACCATTATGGTGATTGGTGTGGCTTTCTCCTTCAGTGATTCTGCATGTTAACATCAGGTGTCTTCAATGTTGGCAATATAAAATAAAGAGTTCTTAATTAATCTTTGACGTCTGTCTGTTAGTGAGATATTTTTCTTAAATATTTTTGGTGTTAACTTTACTCATTTTAAATGGTTAACCTTTAAGGAATAATTTGATTAATTATTACTCAATTCTAATTTGTTAAATTTAATTAATAATATTGCTTGTAATCTGTTGCCACAAGTCTATTAATTAGATAAAGCATATTCATTTTTACAGTGTATATGGCAGAATGGGGAAAAAATCTAGGTTTGTGTGTTTTTTTTTTTTTCTCGATTTTTTTTCCATGTCTGTCTCTGGTAAATGTGGCACCTCATTCATCAATCAGTAAAAAAGGTATATCCTTGATTATTTCTGCATCCCTCCGGCTCTTTCTTCCAAGCTGGATCTTGCTGTTTTTCTTAATTACAGGACTCTCATTGGTCAATGAGCTGATTTTGCAAGAGCCAATCCCAATAAGGCTAACAGCAAGCTCCTGACATGCCCTTTTGTTCTTAATGATCATGGAGCTGCTTAAAAACGTAGCCATCCACCACAGAGGGCTTGAAGGGGAGTGCAAGGGGTTTGCGTGAAGAGCTCAGTCCGCTCCTTCAGAGCCCACCAGCAGTTTATGAGTATTTTCAAACATTTCTTCTGGAACAGGTAAGTGCTTTTGACAAGTTCCTTTTTCTCATGCAGTTGCTGATAGTGCGAGTTTCCAAAATACTCTTATTAAATTAATGTTAGTACGAGACCACTGAAATTAGATGTTTTGCTGGAGGATTGTCATATCTGTTTTACTGATATGAAGATTTATATTTAAAATAATTATATCTGGTCATATTAAAGAAATCATGCATGTTTTAAAAGTTAAAATAGTTAAATAGTGTATCATTTAAGAATAAACTCTTGAAAAACCCTGTCTTGCTCTACTTTGAATGTTCCTGGTCACTCTCTCAAGTGATAATTTGTGTTTTCAGTACTCAATAATCAAGAAAAATGGCCAGACTTACGCTATCTGCTATGATCTGTGGAATGGCTCTTGCAACTGTCTTTATGTCAGGTGAGAATCCATGTTGATCAAAATAAAAATATTCTGTTATCCTTAATATTTTGCACAGTTAAATGTCAGCTCACGTCTGACATAATAATGTCAAAACGTAAATCACTGTAGCATTAGAAAGCATGAACCAAATGAATAAGAAAGCTCTGAAACAAAACGGTTACTGTAATAAAGTATTTTGCAAGCATAATTTCTAAGAAAACAAATGATCATTGTGTATTGTTACTCCTTTTGTAAACACTTTTGTGAAGGCAACCGTTTCCATAGATAAAAAGGCTGGCCTTGCAATTATCAGCCAACTGTACTTTTTTCCATGAGCTATAAACATCTTAAGAGACCAACTCGAGGTGCAGATATATGCCACAAATGTTGCACGTACAGAACATTTTACATCCTTCATTTTATTTTACAGCTATGGTAATTATAGCAGCAGCCTCTGGTCTGGTTCCCCAATCCCTTTGTAGTTTAACAGGTACACTTGCAGGGGGTCCCGGAAGTTTAAGCCCCGTTTTAAAGCACTTAGTGCTCTCAGAGTGCCAAGGCAGAGCAGTAATCACTAGAATAAGACAAATCCTTCACTGACGGGAAAAGTGCCTGCTGTGCACCTACAGGAGCATATTAGTCAGTTATCGGTTGGCATTTTCCTTATTTTCAGAAGTGTGACGTTGGTTTCATATTAGTTCAATTCTGTTTTTTTTCTTCTTTTCTTTTGCAATGTGTGACAGACTCTCTGAATGCTGGTCCTGTAGGACGGAATAAAGAGGGTGAGTTTTTTTTTTTTTTTATCAGCTGTGTTTATGGCAGCGATATCAATACTCTAATGTGAGATAAAGCTATTAAACATTATTACATTTGTACACTTAAATTGGCATTGTTTCAGTGTTTTATAGCTTTTCTTCATCTTGGCTCTAAAATAGAACATCCTTCTTCTAAATTGATATAATTGTTAATCTTAACACATACGTCATGTGACACACTGGCAAAGTATAGAATCAAAGGAATCTTAATATTGAAATCAAATCACCACAATGAATTTTCCTCTCTTTCACATTAATACTTCTCGTACACTGTGAGTCAAAAGGTTTTTCTGCTCATTATTTATAAATAGTGAAGTCATCAAAACTATAAAATAACAAAAATGGAATTATGGGAATTATGTCCAGACATAATATTATGTCTGTCTGTACATACATGTATGAATCTAAACTATCTTATTTGTAAGATATAATGTATAATTCATATTTTTAAGCAAGGACATCAAACATTACAATAAAGACTGAAAATATTAAAAAATATTTTAAATTATTTCTAAACTTTGAAGAATCCTGAAAAAAGAGAGTGACATCACACTGTAAAAAATATTGTTGGTTTAACTTTTAACTTTAAAAATAAGTAACCTGGTTGCCTTAAAATTTTAGGTTCAAGGAGTAGTTGAAGGAGATTGATTTAATCATCAGAAACTCAAAATATTATGTTATCTGAACTACATAAATTATTTAAGTTGATTTGACAAAAGAAAAAATGTTGTGATTACAAATCATGATTTACAGTGCAGCCAAAAAAATATGAATCATAATATAACTATAATAATATGACAGGATTCTTTAGCACCAAATCAGTATTAAAATGATTTCTGAAGGATCATGTGACACTAATTTCTGAAGTAATGATGCTGAATTTTTTTTTATTAGAATAGAAAATAACTCATAATATTTCACAAAATATTACAGTTTTTATGTTTTTAATAGACTTTCAAAAACAATAAAATGTCTTACCAACCCCAAACTTTTTAATGGTAGTGTATGAAAAAAATACGTATGTTGGTGCAATTTCTATTTAAATTCTGTGTTTAAGCCTTTAGTGTTAACGTGTTTAAGACTTTGGATAAAAACAATTTAAAACCACGAGAAAAAGTACATTTAATCAAGTGTGTAAACTTTTAACTGATAGTTTAAGTTTTTATCGTGCCATTATGCAAAACCAACATTGGTTTTGCCTAAAAATGAAGCACCCATAAAAAGTTTAATCTATAATTCAAAATTGGTATACATGCATAAAAACCCCTTTCATTTACAAAATGAAACGTCACGACACACACACACAACAATAGACATTATATTGAGATTGTATATGTTGAAACTTGCTTTTGTCATGTGCCTTGTTCAATTATAGAGGCCGTTTCTGAGGTGAAGACAGACAGCATGTCATCACTGAAGAAGCTGGTCCGCAACAGGAGGAATGTTGCCTATTACAGAAGCCAGCCTGATTTCTGGGGCTGGTATAAATACTTCATGGAGACCAACAACCAGGAAGGAGTGAGTAACAAAAGAAGAGATTAACAGACATGGTCACAGTCTTTTGGAATATATTTCTTTTAAAAAAGTTTATTGAGAGATGTTTACAGAAAATTGTGACAAGTATAAATCAATAAGCCCAATCTTGTTTCTGTGTGATTACCTCTAAAGATCGAGGACATGGATCGCATGTACCGAGTTTACCTGCAAAACAAACACAGAGTAGAAGAGGGCCGCTCTTACAACCATTACCTCACGCACCTGAGCGAAATTTATAAAGCCTGTGCGCTCTCCAACGACCCGGACTGCATTGCAGAATCCACCAGCAAACCCAAAGCCAAGATTGTCATGCCTGTTCCTGTGAGGCAAGCTTCTGTGACGGTGTGCAACCCTTACCTCGACCCATACTGTCTCTATGCCGTTAGGCCAAAAGCTGCAGAAGAGGAGCCTTCACCCGCTCCAGCGAAGGTCCCTGCTCCGATTCTGTCCCATCTACTGCCTCTGCCTCTGAAAACCCCATTGGCTCACTACTACGCTCCGGTCCTGGAGCCTTTCCTGTCGGCAGAGCAAAGAGCAGAGCTGTTGCGTATCTGCAACCCTTCGGACACTGAGTGTCTGCAGTACCACCTGCGTGCTGCTTATGGCTACAGGCCCTCGATCGGCCCTCTGCCCTCGTACGCTCACCTTGGATGTGATCCTACCAAAGATCCTTACTGTCAGCCCAAGCTGGTGGCCAGATCCCCCTCAGGTTTGTATCACCTGTACCCCTCCTGTAACCCCGCCACTGACCCCCTTTGCGTCACCAATGTAGTTGCACCTGCAGCCCAAACTGCAGAGAATTCGGAAACCCCAAAAGAGAAGTTTTGCAATCCTTTGTTTGAAGAGGGCTGCAACCCCCTTACAGCTGCCAAGCTAACTGGACTCAGTGCGCCCGTTTTGGAGTACGCTCCAAAAGATGAGCCTGCGCCTCTCAATCTGGCCTGCGACCCTCGCTACGACCCATATTGTCTAATGGGTGGAGCCGCTGCTCTCAGGAAACCCCCTCCAGTTCTCCCGGAGTTCCAGACTCGTCACCATCTGGGCGTCCGTGGCAAGACCAAGGAAGGTTATGACTGCTACATGTTCTACGATAAGGACTGCACCCCGGTGGACAACCAAGACCTGAGGGCCAGTGCGGCTAGTTCTAAACCATTTTGCCATCCGTACGACCCCAACTGTGGGAGGTTGGCCGCTAATCCGTCCACTCAAGCAGAGGCAGCGAAGACGGTTAAAGATGGCATAATTGAGCCCCATCCGGACTGTGACCCAGAAATCGATTACAACTGCCGCCTGCGCAGGGCAGAATCCAAAGATAAAGAACACAAAGATGAGCCGGCCCAGCAAGAACAAGGTCAAGGCAACCCTCTCCCTGAGTATCCAGTGCCACGATTCGAGGACTTCCTGAGAGGATATATGGGTGGCTACAAGAAATGAGAAGAAAAAATGGAGCAGAACTTACAAAATCATGCTTATGCAAATTTAGCACAAGTTTAGGCCTATGCAAAAGAAGCAGTTCAGGGTCACTCAAGAATCGTTTTTGCATTGATGTTTTAGAAACTATTGATTAACATTATATTTTAAGTTCTGAAATGTCATGCTGAGAAACAAATTAATAGATTTGAGGGTTTTAGTTATTGATAATAGTATGTATTTATGTATTAAATAGTGTAGGATTAGGGTACGTGAATATGACTTCAACACTTAAATCTGTATGTTACATTTTCTTTAGTTTTGTTATCAGATCCCTTTTATATATATATATATATATATATATATATATATATATATATATATAATGTAGCTTCAACCACTTTGATGAAAACTATGTCTTTCTCACCATTTTTATGCTTCATTATTTCAATTAAAAATAAATTACTTGAAATAAAACATTGGTGTTTTTCAATTCTTCTTGAAGTATGCATTAAAAACATATTGTAACATCAGTATACGGCTAAAAATAGCAATCTTGCATTCAAAAATGTGCATTTGAAAAAAAAGATACTAAGTTCAAGTTAACTGTATGATTTATATAAAAGTCACAACACCTGATATGATATATTGGTACATCTCTTATATGACAAAAATTGAAAATATTGACTTGTTAATGTTATTTGAAATATGCCCCTGCAGAATCAACACATGTAAAGATAAAATGTCAGGCTATAAAAAAGGGAGCAAGAAAACAGATGAAAGAGAAAAACTTAAATAAGTAAGTATTACAAGTATACATTATTGCGCTTCAATCTATAGGCCTGCTGTAGACAGCAAAAAAATTTCTTTGTTGAATAGAAATGTAGTTCATTGTAAAACCATGATTTAAATCACCCACAACAGCATTTGGTCAAAATATCCCTTAGGCAAATGAAAAGTGCCAGAGGGATCTTGATGACTGTTTTAAAAGAGTTTAGCATGCCAGCACAGTAACATTAATGACTACTCACACAGCAGTGAACATGTTAAAATATGCATATACTGCACTGCAAATAGATGGAATCTACATTACCTAAAAAGGGAACTGATGAAGCACACAAAACATAAAAATACCCTGGATTATCCAACGCTCTCTCCAAGGGACGCATGACAGACTTTATTGACACAATTCATTCTGACAGGCAACTTATGTAATGTAAAAGTACTAGAAATCAGTGAGGATATATTACCCAGATGCAGACTCAGCAGCAGCATTGCATGTTCATACCACTGGCATGTCTGTTGTGGTTCTTTCCTTACTGTCTAATTGGCCTTAGGTGGGCTTTGAGAGGGGACTGAGAAAAGGCTCTGAGACTTTGAACTGTTGCTTAATGCCTCAGTCAGCATGAGTCCGGATTGTGCTGACTGCACCTCTCCATGGCCTGCATACCTGCGGGACCAGCTGAATGTCATTAAGTGGATGGGAAAGAGCCCTGAATGGTAATGAGGGTAAATATGTCCTGTGCATAAGCAAACAGAAATTAGCAGTGTACTTCTGTGTGCTGTAATCAGAAGTGCTGCAGAGTTTCTCATTTTATTGTGGTCAATAAGTGTGTTTGTGTTTGAAACACTGTATTCTCTGGCCTTGAACAGAATTTTCGATTACTTTGATGGCACTTCTGCAAAATGAAAACGTGGTCATTGAAAAATGTTTGAATGCATATGAAAGTATTTTGTAAACATGCACACTTAGTCTCTGTGTTAGTGGTGTTGTACTGAATAAAACTGACCATAGATAAATCAGTAGAGAATGTTGCTTTCATATACATATAATTGGAAAAAGTATATATATATATATATATATATATATATATATATATGCAAAGTTCATAGGGCCTGTGATCTTGTCAAATAATGCACTGACATCATTGCTGTTTGGTGCAGTTGCACATATGACAAATAAAGTTTGACTTTGACTATATTTAGCCCTAAAGGAGCTGCGTCTGACAATGATTTTCAAACCAGATGTTACATGCACCTTAAAATTACACGAAGGTCATATATCTACCTAGAAATGTCCATTTTAAGTTGGCTCATGTACTGAAGGTGACCTTTTGCCAAAATGAGAGATGCCCTAGTTATATGAACAGTTTTAACTATGTTAATCTCTCTGGATGACATACTTACAGTACAAAAACTGTTGACAGTTTCTTTGTACAGATCTTCAAATGAAAAAGTGTCTGTGCCATGCAGGCAAACCTGCTGGGGAAAGAGCATAAATATCAAAGACTTCAGTTTATTTAAACATTTGAAGAGTTCAGATGCAAAAGCCTCTAAGTGCCATTTGAAATTTTCTAGAATGATCATTTTTATCAAGCTTGTATATTTAAGTTCAGTAATTTCACTTGAATTGCAATGAGGATTACCTATTAATTGTCATTTAAGTGAAATTACTGAACTTGAATATACAAGCTTGATAAAAATGACCATTTTAGAAGAAAATTTCAAATGGCACTTAGAGGCTTTTGCATCTGAACTCTTCATTTATAGATGTTTCTTTAAAAAATGCTAAAATGTATTCATGGCTAAATTGATAAAGTTAAATTTTAGTGTGATCAAACCTTGTGCTCACGGAGGAGGGAGAAGAAGAGAAGATTGGCAGCATTGTTGTGCATAAGATACCATGTCCAACCTCCTCATACAGGCTCTGAAGCATGTGATGACATGGTGCAAAGGCTTGATAACCCATGAGGAACATTTTCAACTGTCAGGTTATTCTCAAAGATTTTATTTAAGATATAGGCCTAGTTGTAGTTTTGTTGCTCTTCTGGAATATTTTGACAGTCTGAATCACTGTAACACGACCTGCAAAACTACATACTGATTTTCTGAATTCCTAAATTTAATTTCTTACTGGGACTAGTGGAACAGTAAAAGCTTTAAACTATGCACTTATATTATGCATTTAAAAAATAGGGAATATTATGGAAATATGCATTCTGCATTCCAATGATATCAGACCGATATATATATATTGTGATGTTTCGAACTATGCATTTTTGACCCTGTGGGCTTTTTAAAGCACTATTTTCACACTCATGAAGTGTTCACACTGATTAAGTGTAAAGCCCGGGACACACCAAGCCGACATAAAAGAACTAGCTGCGCTTGAACACACCAAAAAGACTAAAGGCGACCGTCAACTAGTGCGGGTTGCCATTTGAGAACACACAAGGAACGAGTGGAATGCACAATGAAAGGCTACAAGCACACTGTAAGTTGATGAGTTGATTTATCCGCGTTTTGGTCTGGACACAGTTTCGGCAGAATTCTAATGTTCTTCCGTTATTCAGCCTGAGGGTGGCGCTCTGATGATGATTGACAGACTTTATTACATACGGGTCACGACAAACGATGATTGACAGACTATAGGTGCGTTCCATTCGACAGGGTCCCTGCATTGTTCACTGCTCCCTACTCCCTGAACACGGTCAGTTGAAGTGGACTTCACTGACTTCCTGTGAAGTGATGTATCGATGTTCCCTTATTCCCTATGCCGTTTGCAGTGCCCTTCGAACTGAACATGTTCGTTCCCTTCGAATTGAAATCTCACTTAAGATGGCGAAATACCCTGTGAAGTCCACTTCGCAGTCCACTTACGGTCGAATGGAACGCACCTTATATCAACTGTTAAACAACAGATTGGAGATTAAAATAAAATCCGATTTGTCTAATTTTAATTCTCGATATAGTGTTGAAATGGCAACTAGTAGATACACAAAGTTTGTCATGCTGGCATGTGTGGAAGTAGCCTAGTAATAACTAGCCCAGCGTTACGTTTTACCCCGCGGCCCGCGCTATATCGACTTAAAGCTATTTGTTCATGAGCATGTTTAAACTAAAGGGTTTATGCATTCATTAATTTGATGCCTACTCCACATAGGACGAACAGACATGCCCAGTTACCTGATGCACTCATAGCTGAAGTGGACTGATGTTGTTTGTCAAAATAAGCAGGCCCAATAGCATGCTGCAGTTCCATTTTTCACCACAGATTTTCATTGAAAATTCGTGGGGCGCTGTTGAGCTAGGTAGGGCTCCGATACCGGCGGCCCTCGCTTACATGAAGAATCCATGCTCTAGGCTACGTAGTACGCATATCCTTAAAAAAAAAACTTAAAATAATCTTGAAAATCCGAAAAATATTTGTTGCTGAAATATTTGAAGCGCATATTTCAAAGTTGCCTAGAATAACTGGCTGTAGCATTGTGGCACATGTAGGCTAACTTTTCCTAAATAGCCTAGCTATCTGTAAACATATGGTATGTTTGTGCTTTAGGGGTCAAAAAGTTACATAGGCTACAGCACCTTAAAAGTCTGGGTCTGTTACAAGAGTAAAACAAAAACAATAAAACAAAATCTCATAAAAGACATAATTTGAAAAAGTCAATTATTGCAATAGCCTACGTAATTTCTTACTAAATCAGAGCTGTGATACATCATACCTAAAATACGTAAAAACAACACCGTGTAAAAAAAGAAGGTGGATAAATCTCAAAGGTAAGGAAACGGGTTCCAGGAAGTAAGCCAGCTGTGGATGAATGGATTCAGTAGCCTATGGATTTGTGGATGATGAAGCGGGCAGCAGAGCTGTCACATGATCCAGTGAGGCTGCGATCTGAACGATCCAGAAGCGCAATGCTCTGCACTCCCTCTCCATCTCATCTGATGCTCGGACTTTGTGATTGGTAAGTAGGCTAGCTCCTGCGTTTTACCTGCTGTCTTTCTCGATTCTTATCGTTGGTCAAATGTTGAAATGCTTTTTCGTGTAAACTGTTTCCTAAGGTTTTTTTTTAAAAAGAGATGCTAGTTTTTTAATTCCATTTGATGTCTTAAAATTAATTTTGACGTCGGGTTAATTTCAAACTAAGAATTATTTAGGCTATTCGATGAGAATTGCCTAGCCTTAGCCTATACATACAACTTGTTTTCAATATACACGATTTGGTTCCGAAGTTTGCAGATCTAGGCTACCTCTTTCTTCTTTCATTTTTATTGATAGCCTAGACTTTAAAGTTTCCAGCTGGAATATAAAGGGGGTTTTCAGTCTGATGCTAAATGAGAACATTTTAAATTCGAACTGTTTTCTCTTTAAAAACATGTGTTCTCAGAAACCAATACTTATTTAAAGAACATTTATTGGGAGACGATCAACTTTTTGAATTTGAAATGCATAATAATGGATGCCTTTTGTCACTTTCGTTATGTAAATGTGCTGCATTTCACAGTTTTTTTCATTGTATCCATGCACATTTCTTGCTATGACTGGTCTTGACATTATCAAAATAATATATGAAATTGTCTATAAGAGGATGCTGAAAATATGACTTAAAAAGACTAAACTTCCAATAAAGTTTGACACGCGAAAAAATATTTTATCTCATGACTTTGCAATAGGGATATTTTATGTGATCAGCATAATCTAAATTGGCTTTCATTTTATCCAGCCAATTGCAATATTTCTTACATTCGTTTTGTACAAGCTCAGAGCCCAAAGCATGATAATCAGTCTATGTCAACCAGCTCTCAACCAGATACTCACAGTCTTCCTGCAAAACCGTTTTCTTTAATCAATATTTTTCTTTTAGAGTCGAGAATGATAGTGCTGAAGAAGTATGTTTTTCTGAAAAAGAATTATTTACTATTCAGGCTGTGTCAGTCAAGGGACAGGTGGGGGAAGCCAGCCGTGAAATATCCTTTCCCCAAGTAAAGGCTTATCTCTCATTGGGAATTCTAGGAGGGATGGGAGTTTCAAGCATGGACAGAATTCCTGAGCCCCACATTCTACACATATGAATACAGATGAGATAATGAAGACACAAGTAGGCTATGTTAATTTATGTAACATATCACCACAGTTTTAATGGCAAGATAAGTTGTTACAAAGTATTTTCATATGCTTCTAACTAGATAAATAATTCTACCTGTGGTATCCCATGTCTCTCCCAGCAAAGTTTTATATTGAATGACACCTACCTAGACTCTTTCTCTCTAGTTAAATTGAGAATAAAAAAGTGAGTGGGAGGAAGACGATTGCATGAACAACTTCATTTTGTTTTGTTCTTTCAGAAGCACAGTATTAGGCTTTACACCGAATCAACTTTACTGTCTGGTTTTCTGTCTTTCACAATGCATAATTTTGATTTAATTCCTCTGGTTTGTTTAGAAGTTCATTGTTGACAATGAAGAGATAAATGAGTCTGCTTGTACGCAGAATATGCCATCGTCCTCAGATTTCATTGACTTTTTTTTTTTTTTTAAAGAACTACTTATTCAAAAGTACTGCAGTAATTGTAACAACAGACCATAACCCATTTAAAAGTGTTTGTCTCCCATAAATCTTTTCATAGCAGCCAATTTGTAGTTTCTGGCCTTTTCAAAATATTTAGCTAATATTATCATGTATGAATGTGTCTTTGATGTCTTTGAGGGGAAAAACAGGAGTAAGCTAAAGTGAAAATAAATATTTTAAAACATCTGATGGCACAAATATGACTTCAGGGAATGTTTCGGATCTATTTCATCACCCTGGCGTCATCCTTACTTTTCATGTAAAAGTAAATGTATTTCCACCTTGAATTGACCCTTGTATTGTCTAAGCAGTGCACCTGTCTTGTCAGCTGCAGCTCATTGTGTACCTGCTAATTAGTCACTGCTCTAGTGACCCACTTTCACATGCCTGGTTGAATTTACTCTACAGTATATTTGGGATCATTCAACAGAGGGAGAAAGGAATGAATAAGTGTCCTTAATGCCAGAGGTATAGGTTTGTAATTATAGCAAACAAAAAAAATGCTTTTGCTTTTGCATAAGAACATTATAAACATCAAACATTATATTATAAACATCATTATCTCATAAATGTAGATGTGAATATTCAGTGAAGTGTGCTGTATGGATGATCTGTTGCGATGTTTTCTTACATTGGTTTTTTCATGTCTGAGCTTTCATGCAGAAACTGTAATCTGGACTATCAGCAACAGCTGTATATAGGGTTATACAGCAATAAAGAGATATAAAACACACCAAGTTTAGAATCAGAAGCTGCTTGAGATAATTACACTAATACTGCCCTACAAAGGCAAAGTGCACTAACTACGCAAACAAAGAAACGGAGAAAAAGGCCTTTAAAGTTTTTATACCAGCCAGTCAAACATGTTATGGGTATTATGTGGTAATGCATCTCCAAAACGGGACATAATTTAACCCAGATATTTTTTCACAAGACAGAACACATGTCATAAAGCCCATTACAAGTCTTAACTCATTTTTGACCAAATATGTAGTTACTGCACTTATAAGTAGTTACTGCCTTTGTAGGGCAGAATATTATCCCTCTTATTACAAGGCTATGCTCGCCAAATAAATATGTGGACATATTGATCGGTTAAAATTTTCTACACTGTAAATATTTGTATTACATAATAAGGCTCCTTAACTGTCAGTTAAAAGCATTGTTTGTTTTAATTTATAACCTCAGTTGTCAGTTGCATTGAAAATGACTTTTTATTCACGTTTCTGTAATATTGCAGTGTTCATCTTGTTGCTAGTTGCAGATTGTTTTGTACACTGCAATCGACCACTTTTTTGAGTGCACTGACCAACAAATAGGAGCAGTGTGAAGTATACTGTGTGAGGAGTCGAGAGTGTTTGAATGGGATAATAGAATTACAGACTGTGCATGGAGCTGGTGAAGTAATGGGATTTGAATGAGAATATAAATGTCATGTCCAGTCACAATGCCAGAGCTCTGCCATGCGAATGAGGTGAGGTTATTGTTAACACAGGGAAGAAGAAGGTTTTCATGCATCAGTGATTCGGTCGAAATGATGTTGTGTATTAAGAGGAGGATGCTGATGTTGCTGAGGTTCAGTCAGAGGGTTGACTCACTGTCTCACAGATGAAATGAGTTCTGTGTCGGTCTGCTGATTTCCAGTTCTTTTGTTTCTAGTATGTGAATGGTAGATTATAGAAGGAATCTGAAGTTGTAGTATTCTTTCTAAAAAATTACTTGTTTTAACATTTAAAGACCACATTCATTTTTTAAAGACTTTTGTTTGAAGTTGGGGCAAAAATAATGAGGTTTATTATTATTATTAATATCTAGACTTTAGTTTATGCCACAGTCATGAACTTGATTTGCTAATAGTCAGACGTAGTCAGTATTAAAGATGGAATACACTACATGACTTTTAAAATCGAAACAGATTTTTAAAAAGTAGACATCATAGAATTAAAGAGAGAAAATCTGGCGTCATGTAATAAATGACTGATTATCACATTTGTTTAGTCTTTAATTTCATGTTAGGTGAACCCTGGTCTCAGCCTCAGACGTCAATCCCTGCGGACCGTTGGCTGAACGTCTGATGCATGTGGCACTCAAAATGAGAAACACTTTGGAAGTTTCGAATTCGTCATCTGATTTCCGGGAATCATGTGTCTCACATTTTTTAATGGTCCGCCAGGAAACAAAGCCGTCATGGCACCAAACCCCCTCAAGAAAGCCAATCGTGTTTACAATTGTGACAATGAGAGCATATCAACTAAACTCTGGAAGTGTCTGAAGATCACAGCACCATCACAACATTCTTTAATGAATTGCAAGCCGTTGCAAGACATTGACTTTACATTTTCACGCCTCTAAACATGACGCTGAATAAATTGACTGTGATTGGTTGCTTTCCGTGTTGGTCAGACATCCCTTTTGCTGAAAGCTGGTATGGAGTCCAGACCTTCTGCCATCAGTCTGAAGGTCTGGCAACGCTAGCTGAATTCTTGACAACTCAATGATTTTTCACTATTGGTTATTTTTACATTTAATGCATGTGAAGGAATGCTGTTCGAGATTCCTGAAGAAGCATTTTGTTATCATTTGAAGCAAAAGACAGGAGAGGCCTAAAATGTGAAACTTTTTTTTGTGTGAACTTCACACTTCTCAGCATTCACACCCTGTAGTGATCCTCACAGCTCATCCTGAATAGTGTCTTCTCTGGTGTCAACCACAGTGCTGCCATATCCAGGCAGATGTATAGTCTCTGTGTACATGAAAAGAGTGTTTAAAAAATCTGACAGACTCAAGAGATGTATAAATAGCTCAGCAAAAGATCTAATTTATTCTTGGTCCATTTATAGCAACTACAGAAAATTAGCAGTGGTGAGGAAGATTTGAAAATGCACAAGAAGCAATTAGACAGCTTGAGTTTGGTGTGGTATTTGATGTGGTTGTATTAGTGCTTGTGTGTGGTAAGGTTTTGGGAAGAAGGTGAGAATGGATGGAGTTGAGTAGATACAGAATCTGAAAATAACTTTCTTGATCATAAACTTTTATGTCTGTTGCCATGGAGATAGGAAATGGCCAGGTAATGAATCAGAGTCAGTATCTGTTTAAACCCCACTGAAAACTCATTATTTCACCGATACATGTACTTTGAATTAGCCAGTATACTTTTATAATTAAAATATAAATGAATGTTATTTTATAAAGTGTTATTGTCGCAAACCTGTTGTGTTTCTGTTTAATTTTAAAGGACTTTTAGTTTGTTATCGTCATTTCCTGTGTTTCCTTTCTGTTTTTCTGTTTCTTATTGTTTCGTTGATTTTGTTATGATATTTGCTATGTTGACACGTGCAATAAAGACAGGCTTGAAGTGAACTAGTTGGTATGAAGGAAACCATCCCCAGCCGACAGATCACCAAAGACACAATACTAAGTTATCATTTATTAAGATGGAAAAAGTAATCAAATTAATGGTTTCAGGGTGCCTCAAGGCCAAAATAATAAATTAAATCATCACAAACAAAGAAACTTGGTCAACAGAAGGTTTTTGGATCTGTCGACGGGAGGAGGAATCCAGAGCTCTTCACGCCACAAGGCCAACACATTGAACCCTCTTCCATTGGCACAGCAGACGCCTGGGCATCCAACACCTTTGCCCATGGACTTTCTGTTGAGGGAACCCATCCATGGGCAAAGGTGTTGGAGGGTAGAAAAGCTGAGGGAGGGTAGAACCCGTCCATAGGCCGTGGTCGAGGCCGTGGTCTCAAACTACATTTCCCATCATCCTGTTCTGTTACTCATTGTTCATTGCACACAGTTTATGTGTATATACTCTGTCTGTTTCCGTGATTGTCACAGAGTCCTTGTTTTATGTCATACACTTCCGATGTTTGTTATCTGTCCGGTTCTTATATGTTTCTTGTGTTTTGGGTTGCCTTGTTGGATTTTTGACCTTTGCCTGAACCTGAACTGGTTGTTACGAATTACCCAAATAATGGCTGCTGGGGTTTCCAGCTCTTCCTGCTCCGCCTGGTGGTCTCATCCACTGGTTGAGACTATCTATACACTCATTTAAAAACGTAATTATTTATTAAACCCTAGATTAAACCTGTTTCTGTGAACAGTACTATGTAGTGTATTATGTTATACCTTAATATTTGTGTTTCTGTCCTGTCTCCGTGTTGTAACATCTTGTGGAGCTGTGTTTTCTGTTGTATCTAATGATGATGTTGAGATCTTATTGTTTCTTACTGTTGTTTGTTATTTGTTTAATCCTGCTATCCGACTCTGTCTTGGCTAGGTCTTACTTGTAAAAGAGGTTTTAACCTCAATGTGACTTTCCTAGTTAAATAAAGGTTAATAAGTGCCTCATTAGGCCTAATAACCGTTCTTTCTTTTGGGAGACAAAAACCTCCCTTTATATTGTGCACTTTGATCTTTGCAGATCTCGTATTCCCAAACAGTTATATTACACACTAAATGAAACGTTATATCTGAAAAAGCATAATTTGGCACTTTAATATTTGTTTATATGTGTGTGTGTTTCAGGACATCCTGAGAAGGATGACTGGGAAAACTCAAACCAGCAATATAACAAACAAGACAGATCCTCGCTCTCTGAATTCCAGGGTGTTCATTGGTAACCTTAACACTGCTGTGGTCAAGAAAACTGACATTGAGCTAATTTTTGCCAAGTATGGTAAGATCACCGGCTGCTCTCTGCACAAGGGGTTTGCTTTCGTCCAGTATGCCTGCGAGAGGAACGCTCGCTCAGCTGTGGTTGGTGAGAACACCAGGGTGCTTGCTGGACAGACTTTGGGTAAGTGATATTTATTTCCCTTTATATTTATGTAAATGATTTGGATTGAAACATATTTGGATGACAATGAGCATCTGCAGGCACAGAGACAGACAGTTGATCTTAGGTCATGGTCATTCCCATGGTAAATATTCATCATCTTTTAATAAAAATTAAACTACTGCTGTCACTGTTGGGGCTGTGGCTTGAGTTGAACTCCAATGGGTGATGTCAAGTGTTTTTTTGGCCAAAACATTTTTTTTTTCACATGAGCAAACATCTCCTCACTATCCACTATATAGACCATTTCACAAGATGCAAACAACACTGGTCCAGAAGCACTTCCTGTTTCAGTTTTTTAACACTACATTAAAGCTGGGATAAAATACAACCAACAGAACATTTAAAACTGAATCAAAAAGTTAAACAAACATCTTTAAGATGTTTTTTTTTTACATGTGAATTAAAGAAAACAGTTACAAACTGAAACAGGAAGTGCTTCTGGACCAGTGTTGTTTACATCTTGTGAAATGGTCTATAGCTGTCTGTCCCCTGAACACACTGTAAAAATCTCTGCAGACACCCCAGGCTCCACAAACGGCAACAAAAACAAACTGTAGCAACCTGCGCCCTGAAACATAACAAACTATAGCCAATAACCGACAAGAACGATTTGAGGGGTCTGAGGGGTCTGGGGGGTTAGAGCACAGATGAGGAGGAGGGAGGGTCTAGCTAGCCTCCGTTTTGTTTGACAAAAGAAGTGATGTCACCTGACATCGCTTAGAGCACCTTTAAGACTATTAAGTCTTTTTTTAAGTCTTTTTTTATTTATTTATTTTTTTATAAAAAGACCACACCTCAGACCACTTCATTTTACCTCTTTGCAGAACTGGGCATCTGTAGCCAGCAAAGCTTTTGTTGAATTTCAGGAGTATTTTGATAAAAAAAGATTTAAATGGCTTAAATTATGAAAAGATTCAAATGGCTTTGGATGTTTGTTTGTTTTAAATAAGGTTTATTATAGTATATTATAAAATATAATTGATTATAGTCAATACAAAGTAATTGTTCACCTTTCCTTCCTCTAATTTCTTTTCATTTATTTATTTGTATCTTTTGTGATAATAATACTCATCACCAACACATAAAAAAGCACATACATAATAACAATAAGCAATAAGTGGAAAGTGGAGTTTTTCAAATCTCCCAGACTCCTTTCCATGGTACAAACTTCTTTTACATCTTAAAAAAAAAAAAAAAAAAAACTCATCAGGCTCTTATAACCACACATAACCTAAGCAAATAATTCAAGTAATATAACATCAAAAGAAAAAGAAAAATACTACTTCTATCCTACAAATGATGATGATAAATAAGTAAATTAATGAATATTTTGGGCAATTTTCAGTGGGTCAGTTTGGGAGATCAATATGCCTCATTTTAATGCACATCGCTAAAAAGGCTGTGTTACCAGAGCAGCATAGTTTCTTTGAAAATAAACATTATTCTTTATAATGAAATTGAATTGAAACAATTTGAATAATTTCAAGAACTTGCACATGTGATTTTTTTTACAGTGTTTTATTGCCCCCCTATGTTGGCAAGAGGAAGTACTGGTAAGAAGAAGAAAAAAATATCACTTTACAGAATACAAAATAGGCCAATGTCAGCCACTAGATGGCAATATATAGGCCTATCTGTCAGAATATATATGTGTGGATACCATCGGAACGGGAATGGCAAAGAATCAGAAAATAAACATACTCTAGAAGAATACTACAACCTTATACAGTACACTGAATCATCTATTTGTGCATATAAAAACACTTCCATTTATAAACCTATATAGTGTAAACCTCAAAGTCCCATGACATGCTTCTTTTGTAGGCATTGATATAGGTCTTAGTGGTCCCGTATCTGAAATCCTTTACACCGATTAAAATTTCTAGACACGGGGAACCATACACAGGCTAGGGTTACTCATATTAATGTTAAAAAAACTTCAGAAAGTGAAAATTTCATGTCACGGGACCTTTAAGATTTATATAAGCTTCAAAAAGAGTCAGACAGGACTATAGTTTCTTTGACAATATTTGAAACTCCCACCTCAATACCCCATTCTTCAAAATTATTTGATTACACTTGCCTTAAATAAAAGCTTTGATTATATCAATGTCACAATGAGTATGTTTGTACTCCTGTCACTATAATTAGTTTTTCTATATCTGAAACCTTCTGACAGATATGAAGGCATCACAATGTCTTCAATTTCAAAGCCTGTCTTTAATTCAAAGGAAAAAAGCATATTCCTGCATTAATAACCTCCGGGCTTATAAAGTCAATAGCATTTTCAAATGACTGACAACAGCTGCGGGATGCTGTTCTTTTGATGTATACGATCCAATATCAGATAAACAATCTGAGACAAGAAACTGCATCAATCGTTTACATGTATTGTAAAAGCTTATTTTCTTATACAACACATATGGTAGATATATATTTTTTTAAATCATTTTTATATGCAAAACAGGATGATTCCTGCACTATTTAATGGGTCCTGATTATTACTTATTGTTTATATATTTTTTTAAAATATGCTTATCAACACCCCCATTATGCATCAGTGGTACGGTCTGGAATGGTGCATGCCTGTGTGCTGAACTCTATTCAGTCAGTCTCTTACAGTGACACTACAGTGAAGTAAGTTCAAGGGAAAGGAATCATTTATCTATCAAAATATAGTATACACAACCTTGGACATGTACAGAAGAACAATACAAAAAGGGAAGCGCCACAATCAGAGATGTGAGTATTTTACAGACAAATAATGCCTCTTATTTCTGTTTTTAATACTTGATTTGCAACAAACATTTATAATTATAAGACTTTTCCAATTTTGTTCATTAAATGGATGAAATGGTGATAATTACATTATGTATTGTATCCAATGATATTATAGTTTTTTCCTGTTTGATATCAAATTTGTTTAATTATTAACACATACAATTAAAATCATTAGTTTGTTATTAATCCAGGAGAACTCGGGGGAAATTGTACCTTGCACCGGGGACAGTTGCTGTGGACATAAAACTAAACATAAATCTGCTAAATGACAAGTAACCAAATAAATGGACTTTCGTATTCTGTATAAACTGAGAATGTGCATTTGTTTCCTTAAGGAGCAATTTCTGATCTGAAATTACTTGTAAGAAATGCTTTATTTGTTGCAACCTATTGTAGTTATTACACTTTAAAAATATTAAGCTATAGTATAAAATATAGTATATATAATATAATATAAAAAAAACAGTTAATAACAATGTTGCCACATGAAACATAATTTAAGGTTAAAAAACATTGTTAACCTTTTGGTCAATTCTGAAAGGGGGAAATACATAAAAACTAAATTGCATCTGTTAAAAAATGTTGTGACCTGTTTGAAATGATAACCTGTCTTTATTCCTTCTAAGGGTTTGATATGTGTTCTCCATACTGAAGTATAGCACATCTATTTTAGTAGCTGAGCATGATTTTGGTCTTAAGTTTTTCTCCTTGACCAGGCAAAATAGCCAAAAATTAGATTAGAAAAATCCTGAAAGCTGTTAAATTTACATTCAAGTTGCATATATGTTCATGATGAGCATCCATGTTTTGCATGTGTCTAATCAAATTCGGCTCATCAAAGTTACAAAGCAAAGTTTGTAGCTGTGCACACACAAGACTCCAGGGATAATGAGCGGCACTGAAAATGGATGTGATGTCCTGAAGTGAACAAACCATTCCAGACAATTGCGTACATCAGTCACTGAGTTACATCACACCACAAAGGAATTAAAAAAAAAAAGAAAATGAAAGAAATATTTAATAAGTAGGTCATGAAAGCACTCAGTAGTTAAAGAGATGCAACAAATGAGGTGTCTGAATGATATTCATATAGGCTATAGCTAAAGAGAAAAATTAGTTATGTGTTTATAATGTCTGATAAATTATTTTCTTTGGAAATAAATAAAGTCCTTGAAGTTCTTTCTTGCTCAGTCTGGTATATCCCGAGTGACTGTTTACTGAGATTTATCAGAAGAGATTTTTCATTTGGCATTTAGGCAAGTTTAGACACAAGTCTTCAGTTATGTCTTCAAATAAATCACTCAAAAAAACTTTTCTTTAAGCCGACAGGCGTTCACATTGACATTAGCCGAGGTCATCACTAAGAGAAACGCCAATATTCTCTCTATTGGACGCTAAGCCTGACAGACCTTTAGGAGAGAAGCGTACTGAGTAGAAGAGGCCCATTGGTAAACTGAGATTAAAGTATTGATATGGCTCCATGTCTGAAATATGGGGGTATTGTAGATGGTCGGCACATATCGAGTGAAATGTCTGGTGTTTTGTGGGATTATTGGTACAGTAAGATGAGTCAGCCTGTTCATATTGCCTCCCAAGAAACCATTATTAAGATCTCAGAAAATCATTATCATGAATTTAAAGGCACTTGAATCACTTGCTTCCACATTAAAGCAGTCAAAGAGGCTCAATGAGTTTGTTCCTGTAACTCAAACACAAATCAGTGTCAGGTGTTCGATTTCCCAGGAAATGCATGGACTAAAAAAAATGATGGCCTTATTGCAAAAAAAGTGTCTGCCAAATGCATTTGTGTAAATCAAAAGAAATGATCCTTATCATTAGTGTAATGCCAGGTTCATTGTGATCAAACTTATGATGACTTCCTTTTGAACATCAATCACAAAAGAAATTTTCACCCCATTCAATTCACAAAGGCAGATTACTTCACCACAAAAGTATATGAGAACCTAAAAATACTACAGTAAAATAACATTATCATTGAACAAACCTTCTGATATTTGCTTGAATATTTTATTGAAGTCAAACTTATCTTTTTTTTGTTTTAAAAATCGAAGAAAAACAATGAAATTAATATTATTTTAAAAAGCGAATGAATAAATAGGCCTAAATATATGTGTTTAACATGTATACAAGTTAATACGAGTCAGAAATCAGATCTGAAATAAAAATTGAAAAAAGAAAATAATAATTCTGTCATCAATTATTCAACATCATGTTCCAAAACTATGACTATTTTTTATTTCTTTTCAGAAATGGTTATCCCCACAATCTTTTTGTCCCATGAGTGAGATTAAATGATGACAGAATTTTATTTTTTGGATGAACTACCCTTTTAAGTTTCTTTAACATTTTAGAAACTGACATCAAACTCACAATTATATCCTTTGAACCTCAAACACTTTAAGAACATAACATACTTTTTATACGTGTTCACATCAAACTAACTTATGTTAATGTCAACCTTGTGGACCCTCTGCTCTCATCACAGAAGGTTAGAAGTAATTAGTGACTAGGATGAAACAAAGCTGATCTTAGTCAATTGTTTTTCTCCTCAGGCTTTTCTGTTACTATATGAAGAGTTCAGATGCAAAAGCCTCTAAGTGCCATTTGACATTTTCTTCTAAAATGATCATTTTTATCAAGCTTGTATATTTAAGTTCAGTAATTTCACTTAAATGGCAATGAAGATTACCTATTAATTGTCATTTAAGTGAAATTACTGAACTTAAATATACAAGCTTGATAAAAATGGTCATTTTAGAAGAAAATTTCAAATGGCATTTAGAGGCTTTTGCATCTGAACTCTTCATTTGTATGTCCTCCAATATGGTGGAGTGTATTTTCCAGTATTCTGTATTCCTCATAGTGACACTCTCATTCAAACGTTTTGAAACTTCAATCTCATATATTCTGAGCGTGACCATTTAAAAGGTCTGTATGTTTCCATTATGAATTTGGCTCAGTGATCTAAAGTCTGAAAGTGTACTACTTTTCCTCTCAGATTTAGTGCTTTGTTTTGTGCTTCATCAAAGTGAAGGCTTAAATTGCTTGTAAATGTCTTAAACCCCCAAATTGTGATTTAGTCAGGCACTCAGGCAGCCGTCCTTCTGGATAACGTGCCGGATGACCTTGAAAGGCACTCAGGAGTGATTGTGCATCTGTGTGTGTGTGGCGTGAGGCTGTTCCTCTGATAGCATCTCTCTTTCTGATGAGACAGATGAGAGCCATCAGTTATTTATTCTATGGCATAATGCCTCTTTCAGAGGGCGCCGAGGCTTTTCTGTCCATTATGTTCACCGCCCATTTTTATAAATTTATTTGAAGGAGACTACCGGTATGGATAAAAAGGAAGCGTATGCTGTTTTTTTGTTCTTCACAATGTCCTTTGCTCTTCCCACAGACATTAACATGGCTGGAGAGCCTCGTCCTTACAGGCCAAAAGTTGGATCCAAGCGTCCCTTCTCCTTATACAGGTGAGACAACCAAAAATGAATTATAGTCCCCCCCATTGTAATTAGTAGACATGGAAAGATTGAAATGACATTTTAATCATCTTTTCCTTTTTTTTTCTTTTTTAAGTGGCTATGAATTTGATTATGATTTCTACAGGAATGATTTCTATGCCAGGTATGTACATGCAATTACTTAATTTAAAGATACCAATAATTTAGGTTGTATTTCAGTTGTTGATTTGGTAAGGTCTTTACTACAGGAGATTTGTAATATGTTTTTGTTAATTACATTTTTAGTTAAGATCCTCCTTGTCTCGTTTAACCTTTTCTGTGCTATGAAAAAGTGAGGTAAGGTGAAGAGAAAAATAAAAGCAGTAGAAAAGTAGAGAAAGAGCTTCCCCTAATGTCCATAATTAATGTCATTTTATTGGTTTGACTTCGATCCTTTGCTCAGGCTAATGATGAGCACTCCTCTCCTGTGAGACATTAGCTGAATGTCAGAAAGCTGCTGGGTCGTTAACCAAGCAGTGCGAGACACGCCGGTCATCTGTCCTCTGACATTTTCATGTGTTTGCTTTCACTCCTCATTTGGCAGAGCTGAGTTTTATACATCTCCACGGAAAATATATGTGTGCTAACGAACAAAATCCCTTCTGTGCAGTTAGTTAAAAACCTAATTATGCTTATCAAATATTAACTCCGGAGACAGGGACTAAGTCACCTTGCTTACTTAAAGGTACAATATGCAAGATTTTTGCTGTAAAATATCCAAAAACCATTAGGCCAATGTTATGTATTTTGTTTAGTTGATTACTTACAATATCCCAGATGTTTCCAACTATTTGTAAATTGTGAGAAAATTGCGATTTTTAACCAAGGAAACGAGGCGTGTGAGCAAGGTTGAGGAGTCGCCAGTCAATAACATCATATCCGCGTTACCTCCGGTTTCCGCCAGGTTTGACCTTGTGCTGCAATAGTAACCATGGCGACAGACGTGGACAACTGGGTCGGTTATGCCCGTTATGCGTGCTCAACAGCGTGAGCGTCTCTAGAAGGGTTTTGTTCAAATATTATGGACCATGGCAAAAAGAATTTGAGATAAAAAGAGGACTAAAACGAAGATCAACATCTTTCGAGATGCGAGAGCTCCACGTCCGCGACTAACTTCAACTTGACAGAGATGCGTGTGTTGCATGTTACTTTAGCAATCAGGTGAGCAAATTAATGTATATAAAACTAATCAATGTTATGTAGTTCAACATGATGCAAAGTTAGAATATGATCTGTATGTTATTTTCTGTTAATCTAGCTTAGTCCCATTCAGTCAACAAACAACCTAACTAACATTCAACACACTCAAATGCAGTTTAAACTGTACGTGAAACTGTTAGAGCAAGTGAAGCAGCGCTGCGTTACCTCAAGTTTAATTCCTCTAATAAACTGACCTGTGTGAGTAATTCATCGTGTAGTTTGGTAGAATTAAATAGAATTAAACTTATTCCTTTATATCCGCGGTACTCGCTTTGCGTGGTATACGTCTAGCAATCACGCCCTCAAGTTTAAAAACATCAATGTATTCACTCATTCATAAAAGATCCATCAGCTTGACAACAAGATCCATAATTCCACTTAATGCGGAATATACGTCATTTATACACGCCTTTTTTTATTGTAAGAGGTTAGCGACCTCTGGTGGCGAAACAATCTTGCATATTGTACCTTTACTTACAGCCCATTCTCACTCCCAAGGCGTCACCTAACTGACGCCTTGGGAAGCATTTGGACATGCTTCAATATCTGACGCTTTAGGCGCCCTTTAGCGTCAGTTAGATGACGCCCTAGGATCGCGTGTACCCTACCCCCACCCCACACCTAAACCTAACCGCGTCCTCTAACTGACGCTTTCCTTTAGAGTCAGTTAGATGACGCCGTAGGATCGCGTCATGTAAGTGACGCTAAAGGGCGCCTAAAACGTCAAATATTGAAGCATGGTCAAAGGTGACGCCTTGGGGTGAGAATGCGTTGTTACTTAATGAAAATCTATCCATGCCATGATATGTCAGTTTCCATATTGGTACAACAGAATTATTGGATTACAGCTGGTCATTTTAAATGGGGTCCAGAAGACTTAGATCATTAGTGAACATCTATTTTTTTGTTAATTATTAAAAGGTACACTGACTGTAACTTTTTTAATTAAAAATAAAGTTGCTTGACTGACTTTTTTCCCCCAAATATTAAAAATAAATAATTAGTTAATATATAATAAATCATTCTTCCAAAACGTGTTTTTTCTCTTACCCTGATTCACTATGGTGAGACAGCCATAAGTGTTTACATTTTACACATGACAGGACCTATTATTATTATTATGTTTATTATTATTATAATTATTATCTTTATTAGCTGGAAATTGTGAAGCACTTGGCTTTGCTTGTCACATCTGTAAATAGAGAAAAAATGTCCGGCTACTATGACGTGTGTATGGAGTGGGAGTGGCATACAGTTGTCAAGCAAGAAATGTTGTAATAAAACAAGAATCAACATTGGCTTTGCTTTTTCAGGGATGGCGAGAAATGAGGGATTCGAAATGTCGTAAAACTGATGCAGAGATTGCATTTTTATTACTCAACCGGTGATTAAAGTTTATTAGAGATAAATACACAGATAAATTGCCATATGTAGCTCTCAGAGTTCACTGTAAAGCATTATCTATTGTATAAGGACAAATTCCTCCACCCAGTTACACATAACTGAAGCACTGAAGGATTCTTCAATGTGTATATGAAGAGTTCAGATGCAAAAGCATCTAAGTGCCATTTGAAATTTTCTTCTAAAATTATCATTTTTATCAAGCCTGTATATTTAAGTTCAGTAATTTCACTTAAATGGCAATGAAGATTACCTATTAATTGTCATTTAAGTGAAATTACTGAACTTAAATATACAAGCTTGATAAAAATGGTCATTTTAGAAGAAAATTTCAAATGGCATTTAGAGGCTTTTGCATCTGAACTCTTCATATACACTACCATTCAAATAGTTTGCAGTCGGCACAATCTTGTAAATGTTGTTTTTCTTAGTTAATAAAAGTTAATATTATTTTAATATGATGATTTTGTGGTCAAATGGTTTTTTAATGTTGAAACAGTTGTGCTGCTTAATATTTTTGTGGCAACTTTTCCAGGATTGAAAGTGATTAATTAATAATAATAATAAAAATGAACTATAAAATATTTGTATAATATATATGTTTTTTCAGTATTTTTGACATTCGTGGGCGATTAGCACCATCACCTCGGGCTGCGATACCTATCAAGCATTCCCGCTTGGTTGCATTCTCAACACGCAGGACGAAAAACTCTTTCCAGCCAAAGATGTCCACCTGCTCTTCTCTAAGAAGGCTGTCTTCAGGTTCCTTATGCATATATTTCCATTATCATGTTTTACCCCCAAGGACAACTGATGTCCCAACCTGGACTTTGACATAGCATGCCCATGCCAACCATAATCTACTGCCAACCATAACTATTTTAACTAAACAAAATAAAATGAGCTGATAAAATCAAAGTGATATATTCATCCTCATGAATAAATTTTTATTTATTTTTTTTTGGGGGGGGGTGTTTTTTATCTAAGTGAAATCTGATCAGCTCCTGACAATCAAGAAAGAACTGTCTCAGATCAAGATTAAGATTGACTCTTTACTGGGAAGGCTTGAGAAGATTGAACGGAAGCAGTTAGCAGAAGCAGGTAAGAGGATGGAATGAACATTGCTATCAGGATAGAGGCCATGTTGGCAGGAGGTAGATTAAAAACACTTGTCTTCATCACTTTCAATGTCAGTGCAGGAAATCGAAAACAGCAGCACTCTGTTACACACACACACACACACACACACACACACACACACACACACACACACACACACACACACACACACACACACACACAAATGGGCTGGCAGAGCTAGGGCTATCCGCAAACCTCTGTTAGTTTTACTTACTTGAAAGTTTTCTACCTTTTAATTCTGTAAATATTTACTGTAGCCATTTGCCGAACTTTGTCTGCCATTTCTATATTGTGTAGAAGCCCACTGGAAACACGAGAAGGCCTTTCGATCTCTCTATAGTGAGATCGAAGAAAATTCTGGAGAAGATATGGATCAAGAAAGGGGGTCCTGGGACGTGACAGATGAAGGTGATGATGGATACAAAGAGCTGGTGAGCTGTCATTAAACTCATATGCAAGTGAAATGTAATTAGTTATAATTTGATATATGAATAAGACCCGCTTGTATTGGATTAAATTGTGTGTATGTGTGTGTGTTAAATCCCAGATAGAAAACCCAATATCAGATGTAGACAACTGAACAAGGTTTGTACAACAAATTCATGTCATATTATGTTTGAAATACTTGTCCATTTTTATTTGACATCATCAAAAAGTAGATTGCATTTTTCTTTCAAGTGTTTTGTGAAATACACTGTCTGCTCTTCATGTAGGAATGTCTTTGTATTGTGCTGTTTACTGCATTCATCATTTCCAGACAGACCTCAGCATTTAGAATCAATGCCATGTAAACTAAAAGCGATTTAAGCCATTCATTTATATCATTTGACCTTCAGTATCAGGCAAACAAAAAGTTCTTGCTTCAATCAGTGTACAACCAACAATTTCTTGGAAAACACACAATTGATACTGGACATTTGTGATACTACTAAAAAGAAATAATACAACAGAAAAATGTTGCATTTTTGTGATATATCTATTATTATAAAAAATATTTAAATCTTTCATTGATGATTTTTGTTGTTGATGTTGTTTTGACTTTTTTTTTCTTTTTTCTTTTTTCTTTTTTTAGGACTGAGAGTGCATCATGTTTGGAAGATATCTAGCTAGAATTGTTGGCATTTCCATGTCACACTGTTTATTTATTAATTACTGTAATGTATGTATGTATGTATGTATGTATGAATGTATAAATGTATGTATGTATGTATGTATGTATGTATGTATGTATGTATGTAGGCTATGTATTTTGTTCAATCATTCTTTTTTGTAATAAATTTGAAAGTAATATGAAGATATTCTGATATCTGCATACATGATTTGTGTAAATAGACAAAACAAAATAGTGAAAATGGTAACTGGTTTTCGGTTATTAAACTAAATATGTAAAATAATTAATGTATTTTGTCTAGCAAAACAAGCGATATACACTTAAAAGTCACTGTCATAAATGTTTACAAATAAATGTAAAAAGTTACTGTATAGCCTATGTGCATTTTATTTTTTGCCATTAAATGATTATGCATATATTTGAATAATATTTATTGAATGCATATTTATGTATAAGTAAGCTGTCATAAAATTATGGATGTCTCACACATTTGAAAAGCTCTCTATCTATTTCTTTTCTATATTTTATTGTGGTTTATCCATCATCTGAAAAGTGTTTATTTTTATGTTTAATGTAATATTGCCACAAATTTGTGAAATAAAATCAACCAGACATCAATTGTGTTAGCTTTTTGACTTTCACGCCAATAGGAAGTGACTACGTACAATGCCGGAAGTGGGAATTAAGACTAAGCGGGACTTTTAATTTTTACAGCGGTAAAAGCTTTGAATCTTACCCATGCAGTTAAAGTTTTCCACAAGCCGGGTAGGTGATAGTAATACGTTGCCTTATATTCATATTAATTATAGCATGGAGACGAATTTATTGTTTTGGTAATTAACAAAAATAAACCGAGCTAGTAGAAGAAGAACTGACGTTAGAACTAAATTAACTAACGTCACAGCACTTTCCATTTGAAATGAATGCTGGATTAAAGCTGTACCAAACAATTTTGGACTTTTATACGCCCCTGGCAACTCTACATGCCTTTTAATAGGATAATATGTCTGTTATCAGCACAATCAGGTCTGTAAACGAGCAGGCTGGGCTTTGTTTACATTATGTGTTGTGTTGTCAAGTGCTGAACTGTCGGACGGCCATAGTAGTCTAAAACTTGGGAAACATTAAATTACCGCAGTTCTTTGTCTTAATTCTCGTGATCTGAATCAATGACTCAATTTAACATTTATTTCGATGAAGGGACACTCGTTTTTGTTGCCCCATTGTACATAAACATGAAACAATAACACGCTAGGTTGTTGTTAATGTGCTCCGTCACCGTCTGTCATCGATTCTGTTGTGACCTATTCGGTCATGTGACACCCCAGTTATTGTGGGTTTATTCGGTTCTGGGTTTATTGAATTATTTTTGACAGGTTGATATAGACAGAAGCTTGTTCTCAGTCAGTCTGCAGCTTCGTTATGGCTGTTGGAGAGCTCTGTCTAATTGATAAGGATATTTCAAGGTGAGTTTTAACTCATTCTACTTCATATTTAGACTATACTGGATTGTATTTTAAGTACAGTAGTGTTTGATGGTGAGTTCACTGAAGATATTTATTTTTAGTCTACTAGAGGTCCATCTGAACCCCAGCATTTCATCCTTGAATCTTCACTGCAATCGCCTCACTAAGATTGAGGGTTTGATGACAGCTTGGTACATAAGACATCTAGACCTGTCATCCAATCACATCTGTCGTATAGAAGGATTATCTTCCCTGTCCTCTCTGCGCACCCTAAACCTGTCCTGCAACTTAATTTCTAAAGTAGAAGGTAAAGCTCACACTTTTTGAGGCAGAAAATATTACGAATGTTTTTTAGCATTGCAGTATAATTTTGTTGTTGTAAAAAAAAAAGGTCAAATGAAATTGTGTCTGATTTGTCTATACAGGTCTATATTTATCTTATATATTTATCTTTATATATCTATATCTGTCTATATTTCAGGACTTAATGGACTAACAAATCTCACAAGACTGAATTTGGCCTACAATCAAATAAATGACCTAACTGGTAGGTTAGATTGCATTTCCATCAAATATGTTAATTCTTGAGTAGTTTTGATTACATTTTTATTACATAGCTCTCTGAATAATTTGACATTTAAGATAAGAAATGCACAACCCAAGTTTGGGGTTGGTAAGATTTTTAAAATGTTTTTATTATTTTACCGTGTCATTTATTCTTGTGATGGCAGAGCTTTATTTTCAACAGCCTTTACATGCTCCTTCAAAAATCATTCAAAATCATGTTGCATTTGTGCTCATTTAAATGTTTTATACTAATAATGTTGAAAACAGTTGTTTTGCTTAATATTTTTGTGAAAACCATGAAGCATTTGTTTATGATTTTCTTTCAGAATTGATTTGATCTTTTTTTACCGATGTCACTTTTGAACTTCAACTTAATGCATCCCTGCTGAATAAAAGTACCTTAATAAGAAAATTTTTACTGATCCTAAATTTTTAACAACAGTAGTGTAGATCACAATTAGACAACTGTGTAGTCATTCTCTGCTCTGTGCTTTTAGGTCTTTTGTATATCCATGGAGCAGAATACAAACTAAAGTACCTGCAGCTCCACAGTAATCGTTTGGAGAGTATGAACCACCTGCTGCAGTGCATGGTGGGACTGCAGAATCTGAAAGATGTTACTCTTAACAAGGATGGTGCACAGAATCCAATCTGCTCGCTGCCAGGTTTGTTGGAAAAGTCCTCCTCTTGACATGTAATGAAATGTGGTGAAAGGTCTGAAATAGTGAAAAAGGAAAGAAAAAGAAAAAAAAAAGATTTACTAACAGCTTGTGAAAGCGCAAACCCTCTTTTGGTGTTGAAAAAAATGACTGCCCGTTTTTACTGAAGTCGAGACAGTGTATTTTTGCAACTGACCTTATTGCATATGCATTTGTAGAAGTTTCCCTTTCAGACACAAAATTTACGTGAGGAGATTGTTTAAATGAATCATGCAAATGGATTTACTAAGGATTGCACTTGTGAGTTTATAGTATTTGTGCCATTGTTTACCGTCAAAAAAAAAAAGCAGGCCAATGTCATTATTGAAATGATCCAGCTGCGTCTGTGTTCTTTTATTTGCGTGTCGTAAGAGTTCACGCAGAATTTTACACTCTCATCAATGCTTTTTTGGAATTGCGCTCTTATATTGATTTGCCCTGTTTAGTAAATCTGGCCCCTTGTATCACTGGTATGTTCTTCCTTTGTTTTAGGCTACAGGGAAATGGTTCTTCAATCTCTGCATCAGGTCACCACACTAGATGGAGTAGATCGCCTTGGAAACACAGCTCCTTTAGCAGAGGACAGTCCCATGGATGTTCCTGGTCTTGAGGACTTTCTTGAGTTTCTAATTTCATCAGACACTAGTGTTAAGGGAGAACTGGTAAACTAGTTTTACCATACTTTTTGATTAGCTTTTTAATTAGCTAACCCTAACTTATATATTTATCTGAGGTGGTAGTGAGACACATGCTTATGTTCAGAGTGTTTCTGTATTATGAAGGCAAAGTCAGATGCTCCTCTCACTACTCCACGGATTGATGAAGTCCTGACCCAGTTTCGGAAACGAGGGGGAAAACCAACTGCAGAAAATCAAGAAAATGATCAGCGAATTAAAAAACTAGAGCAGCAGGTTTCCCATCTAATCCAGAAGGTACATTTTGTAAACATTGATTATTACATTTCAGTTATCAGTATTACTTATCAGTATTTAAAAAAAAAAAGATTTAGCAATCTATTTTTATGAATGAAAATTTAACATATCAAAATGTTGCAAAAAGTACAAATTCTACATTTGTACCTAGATCCCTACAGGGGCTGGCTTTAACACCAACAGTTCTGTACCTTCTGTGGTACATAAAGCTAAAAGAGACACAGATCAGACATCAGAGAGCGAATGTGACAGTGGAAAAGAGAACCAACGGCATTTCAGAATCCTGTCTCATCCCAGAGGCTCTGCAGGGAAAAAACTGTCTAAGGACACCAAACAATCTGAAAGGTGAAATAACTTACGCACGCACACATACACACACACACACACACACACACACAAACACACAATTTTATATACAGTGTATATGTGCACTTGGTCTCAAACTGAATTTCGAGTGTTTTTTGAGAATTTAGACTTCAGTTGCACAAACACTTATCACAGTTTACTGGATTTGATTAATACTGTAATGTTTACTTCAGCACAGGCCTTAAATTGTGTTTTGAGAGGTTGTTCAAAATATTTACTTGCTGCATTCTTTACCCAATACAAAAGGACTGGATGGTGCATCTAACAAAGGCTTTGCAGTAGTCCAGTAATCGGGGCAGTTTATAAATTGCCTTTGCTCCTCCCACTTAAAATTGCTTGTGCACAAGAATGATTACACTGTCACAAAGTTCATTTAGCTTCATCAAAACCTAAATTTCAGTTAGCACAGAACTAGAGAGAACTACTATTGATGAGTTACAGCACTAATATTTGAATTCATACAACAATGCATCCTTATGTTCATTTAAATTATTTATACTTATATAGTTTTATATTTAATGTAATTTAATAACCTACTAACTCTCACTAGTCCGAAATGGATTTTGTTTCCATTGCAGTGTGACAAATACACAGAAGCAGAAGTCGACCAAACTGGCCGTTGGTGCCCGTAGGAGGACATCAGTCCAGAGCTCTGGGTCTGTTGAAACCATAGAGTCTGTAAAAAACAAAAGCATCAAAGCAAGTCCTAGCAAAAGCTCAACTCAACCTCAAGAGGAAACCTACAGGGTATGCAAACTGCACTGCTCAGGTCCAGCATATTTTTTTTTTATTTATAAAGCTATTGTAGAAAAAGAGTGCTTGTGTTTTTGCATGCAGGCAATAGTGGAAGAGCGAGACCAGGAGCGGGAGCGGCGCTGGAAGGCAGAGCAGGCTGCAAAGAGACTTACCGAACAGGTCAAGAACCTGCAGACTCAAGCCAGCGAGGAAAAGGACCTGCAGAGTTTGGCCTTACACACCACAGACAGGTGAGGACGAACAGTTCTCTGTTAAAATGGATAGTTTCACTATGTCTCTTCATGTTTATGCCTTTGAATGTGAGTGAAATGTGAATGCAAATTGAGCAGCCCAATTAAGAGTTTTACTGCGGACAGTCAAAGTTATTTTCATTTATTAATTTTTTTATTTTACCGATGAACACAATTAGCTGCAACACTTATTATCTCACTCATATAAACATTCTCTCCCATCAAGGACATCTTAACAATCTCCAGCCGTCCAAGTGTTTGCAGAGATTGTTTGGCTTGATGTATTGCACCTAATTGGTGTCAGCTCCAGCTGAAATGTTGGATCTGAATACACTTGAGTATAATTAAATTTTATTAGAAGTTTCCAGAGACACCACTGCAGGCCCTGATGTATGAAGCTCTGCCATCCCACCTGCAAAGCAGTTTCTGTGGCATGATGATGGCCCTGATATTGTGCTCCAATATTATAGCCCACGCGCTCCCCCTGGTGATAAATCGTAATTATAATGGAGATTAAAGTCATGGTGACAGGCACATGTCTGCTGCAGATCATCAATCAACCCTAATTACCAGCCTCGCAGCTTTCTGCTCCTAATGATTCTCACTTCACTGTCCAGTATCTGTTTTGTTAACTCTTAATCTGCTGAGTGTGTGTAAATAACAGTGAATATGACAGTGTCCTATTTTAAATGTCATCAAACAGAAGTTTTAATGTGTAATTCACTTATGGCTATAGTGCAGTGTGTCGGAGCTGTGGCCTAGTGGGTAATGGCGACATGTTGATGCAGATGTGTGTTTGAATCCGGTTGAAATTGATTTTTGTTGCCCATTCTTTTCCAGATCACTTTCAGTCATCTCTGTAATGTCCTATTAATAAACTTTGTCAATGAACCCATTTAATTAATTTAATACAAATTTGATAGACTTTGATACATCATTTGATACACTTTGATACACTGTTCAAAATTAGTAATGTCAATATAAAAAATTGGTATTAATATAATGAATACTTTTATTTAGCAAGGTCATACTTAAGCATTAGTCTATTTAAATTCTTTTTTTTTTGGGCCGGGCAATGTAAATTAAATTACAAAACATACATCAAATAAAATCCTCAGTGAGCATAAGAGACTTCTTTCAAAAACAAAACAAAAAATCTTACCAACCGCAAATGTATGAATGGTGGTGTACATGAATGCACGGTGAAACATAATGATTATTCAAAATATTTTGTGAGAAATGAGATCTGTTTTTGTCCTTAAGGCTGAAGGAGTTGTTGTTAAAAGAGCGCTCTGATCGGGCAGGATTGCAGACTCGTTTGCAGGAGTTGGAGGAGAGGTACAGGTCAACGTTACAACAGCTGGAGCAGCTGCGCAACAGGGAAGATCAACACAAGAGGGCGCTGCACAGTCTGAAGGACAGCATGACCCAAGCAGAGGCTCTTCAGGAACAACAGCGTGCAGAAGAGGTAGAGTATCATTTGCAGCCCATGGATGTGTCCCAAATTCAGTAGTTGAGAGAGTTTCATAGCATAAACTGAGTGCTCCAATTTAGTGTATGATCTACAAGGTTTAAGAGTTGACTTGGTTCATGTCTGAACCACGAATCCAGTCTTCATTGACCTAACAAGAACTGTTCCTACTTACTAGAATGACTCTGAAATACTAGCCATGTAAAGAGCCATTTTTGTGGGATGGTTAAAGCAGCAGCTCCCACATAAATATATAGGCATTTGGCTGAATTGCAAACATTTTCCAATTTCTTTTTGACATTTTGAATCCTTTGAATTGAGAGAAACATTTTTCACATGACCTTTTGCATGTGTTTGAATGGCTACTATTGGAAAGCTGCTTGAAGTACCACTTGAGCAGAAAAAGACTGCTATATTATTTCAGATGAAGAGGACTCAGGAGTTAGGGAATAAAGCATCCGCCTTAAAAAGGGAAGTTGAAATACTCCGCGCATCAGCACGACAGCACAAAGAGAAGCTGCAGCATTTGCATGAACTTTTGGCCTCCAGAGAGGAGATGCACAGGTAAACAAGCACCACATGGAATCATGTCCATGATCATTTTCTTAGTCGTTGTAAGAGTGACTGTATGAAAATTGTTTCGTTTACCAAACAGGAAATTTCAACTGTTTCATCTTGCACCTGTTTGACTGTTTAACTTTGTGGGACAGGAAAGAGCTTGCAACCCGACTGCTTCCTGGTGGGACTGAGTTTAAGGAGGCTGTAGAGAAAGAGGTGGCAGCGACAGAGCAGAGATTTGCCCAGAAACAGGCTGATTTGGAACAGAAGATCACTGATTCTAGAAGACAGTATGCTGCTCTAGAGGATGAATTTCGTATTGCTCTTACCATTGAGTCAAAGCGTTTCTCAGAGGTAAATCTAAATGTGAGGTAAAATTTTTAGTCTGAATAGTCTCATTAGAATAAAATATATAAATATATTTTGTGATTTTACATTTTATTTTGAAATTGATTCTAAATTTGAAGTCATGGGGTGAACATGTAAATGTATTGTATTTAGAATTAGCTTTCATTTGTACATTTTCAGTTTTCATTTTCATGTTTCTTGTGACCCTACAGAGGACAAGCGGTTTTGGAGAATAGATAGATGGATTTACATTTTTGTTTAATTATTAGTAATGTTGCTGCATTTGTCATATGAAGAGTTCAGATGCAAAAGCCTCTAAATGCCATTTGAAATTTTCTTCTAAAATGACCATTTTTATCAAGCTTGTATATTTAAGTTCAGTAATTTCACTTAAATGACAATTAATAGGTAATCTTCATTGCCATTTAAGTGAAATTACTGAACTTAAATATACAAGCTTGATAAAAATGATCATTTTAGAAGAAAATTTCAAATGGCACTTAGAGGCTTTTGCATCTGAACTCTTCATATATATATTAAATGGTTTAGATTTTATTTCAGTTAAGTAGTTTTAGTTTAGTTAAGTATTTTGAGTGTGTGTTCCTGGTAAACCATATGTAATAGAAACTAAAATGTTTGGGCCTCATGAGGAAAACGACTTTTTTTGAAAATGTAAAAATGCAGAAAGTTTTGTAATGGATAGATAGAGTTAGGTGTTTTAATATGCATTTTTTTTTTAGTAAAAAAAATCATTATGTCTATGGAAAGTCCCCTTAAAACATGGAAACCCAACGTGTGTGTGTGTGTGTGTGTTCTCTAGGTCAAGGAAGGGTTTGTTCAGGTGTCTGCAGAACTCTTAGAAGTGAAGTCAAGCCTCAGCCAGTCTCAGCAGAAAGAGAAGCAGTCAGCCTCTCTGGTGCAGGAACTCACAGCTATGGTAAAAGAGCAGAAAACACGAATTACTGAGATACTCAAAGCCAAAAAAGAAGCTGCCATTGAATTCAAGGTAAGACCAATTTAAAAAAAAAAAAAAAAATATATATATATATATATATATATATATAATTGATTTTGTTTTTCTTAATGGAAATCGACATCATTATCATGTCTAGAAATGTAGCCAGGTGTTTTTTTATTATCGAATGGTTGTGATTTTAATCATTTCTTAGAAAGTGCCTCATAAATGACATTATGCTCTGTTTTGCATGTTAGGCCCGTATGCAGTCATTGGAATCCAGGTTAGAGGATGATAAACAACTTAACCTACAGGTGGAGCTACTGAAGAAAGACAAATCAAAGCTGATCTCCCAGCTAACTACACAAGAGTCTGTCATAGATGGACTACGGGCAGAGAGGAAGATCTGGGGCCAGGAACTTGCACAGCAAGGTACAGTACATTTGTACAGGATGCAGATGCAGTCTTTTGTATTTGAACTAAGTTTTGTGTTTGTCCTTTTGCTTAGGTGCATCCTTGGCACAGGACCGTGGTCGACTGGAGGCCAGAATTGAGGTTTTGTTTAACGAATTGGAATCACAGAAGAAGCAGAATGAGAGAAACAATGATGCACTCAGGATTAAAGCTAAGATTGTTGATGACCAGACAGAGACAATTCGTAAACTAAAAGAGGTTAATTGATTATAATTTTGTTATTAATTAATTATTACAATTGCATGATGTGTTTATGAATTAATTAATCATATTATCGACCAATATGCCATCAGTGCCATTTTTATAAGACAACATTTCAAGTTAAATAGTTCAACTTTTCAAAATGCTTTTCAATACATCTTTAATTGGTTCTGTGGTAAGACATTCTCAATAATGCATTTTAGTCAGGACTAGGCTTAAAGGGATAGTTCACCCAAAATTGTCATCATTTACTCCTATCATGTTGTTCCAAATCTGTGTGAGTTTCTTTATTTTGTTGAACACAAATGAAGATCTTTTTTTCCATATGAATGGAGCGGTTCGGTTTAAATTTTCTGAAGAAACTCGATCGCATTATGTGATGAACAGATTGAATTTAGGCTTTTATTCTCATATAAATATTGATCAGCGAACATAAACAGAAGAAAACTCAAACAAACCTGCTTGACGTGCAAGAACAAACCACTTGCTTCGTAACACAAGAATGAACTTAATTTGGTTCTCGCACTTCAAGTGAACATGCTTTATCTTCCATTTACCACAACTGATGTGCGAGTTGATAAATGTTTATATGTGAATAAAAGCAAATAAAAGTGATCGTGTCTCTTCAGAACAATTTGACTAAACTGCTTAATTAAGATGGATTAGTTTTAAAATAGTGTCAGTTGCATAGCTGTCTAAGGAGGGACAGAAATCGCTCAGATTTCATCAAAAGATCTTAATTTGTTTTCCAAAGATGAATGGGGTTAGGGGTTTGGAACGACAAGAGGGTAATTAATGAGAGAATTTTCATTTTTGGGTGAACTATCCCTTTAAGCCTTTTCTGTAAAATCAGGGGCAGCCTATATACATTATTTTACCCCAAACTTTTGAACGGTAGTGTAATTTAGTGTTAATTTAATGCATTAAATATTAAAATGTGTGATATTGCCATTAATTACCATTAATATTTTCATCACCTAACTCATTTTTTCTACAATATTGCTTCTAGGCATTGCTGGAACGAGATGAGCAGATCCGTAGACTCCGTGATGAGAGTGTGCAGGACCAGCGAAAGCTGAAGCAGCAGCTGGAGGAGGAAATGGCCTCTGCAGTGGAGCTCAGAGACACAGTGGAGCAGCTCAGTTTCAGGAAGGAGGAGCTGAAACAGCAGCTCCTTGATAAAGAGGTGGAGCTTGATGAGGTTAAAGAGACATACAGGTACGGGATAATAATAATCACCAATATGTTATGATTCCAAGCTGTAACCCTCACTTACTGCGCACTAAAATGTTGTTGTTTTAAAGGTATACTCCACTTTTTTTGGAAGTAGGCTCATTTTACAACTCCCCCAGAGTTAAACAGTCAATTTTTTCCATTTTTGAATCCATTCGGCCGATTTTCTGATATTTAGAAGAATATCAGTAACCAGACAGTTTCTGGTCTCATTGACTTCAATAGTAGGAAAAAAATATACTATGGAATTCAATGAGACCAGAAACTGTCTGGTTACTGATATTCTTCTAAAAATCAGAAAATCGGCTGAATGGATTCGAAAACGGTAAAACTCGACTGTTTAACTCTGGGGGAGTTGTAAAATGAGCCTATTTCCAAAAAAAAGTGGAGTATCCCTTTAAAGGCTGGCTGCTGGTGTCTGCTGCACTCCATCACAGATATAATTCTTTAAATTCAACAGCTATGCAAAATACACTAATGTATTAAACTTTTGCAGGACCTCAAGTAAGAAATGGCAGGAAAAGGCGGAACTGTTGAACAGGCTCGAGAGCCAGGTGAAGCGAATGAAGGATGGTTTTGATTCCAAAGAGAGAACACTGTTGGAGGAAAGGGAAAAAGCATCACAAGCACAAATGTATGAGATGGGCAGCAGGTCCTAATTTGGCCAATGTAGTATAGATTTGATACATTTAAAACTGATTTATGTTTTTTTTAGAGCGGCAGTGGAGAAGCTTCACTCTGTGGACGATGCCTTCCGTAGACAACTGGAGAGTCTACAAGCTTCCCATCAGGCGGAACTACTTCATCTTGCGAATGACAAACAGAAACAGATAGAAAAGGCCAATCAGAAGGTATTACTGCCACTGTAACAAGTTATCATTTCAGTATTGATTCATTAAATGCATAGTGTTAGTGCTGTGCTGTCACGTTCAGACAGACTGCTTGACTAAAATGAACAGATGTAGAATGAGTTGTTTTTATTTATCTCCTAATGAATGACTGATGCTTGAACAGCACTCTTCCTTTAGTCCAAATTTCTCTTTCTGTAACCACAGGTGCTCCAGGTGGAGGAGGAAATGCGCCAGCTGCTTGAGGAAACTGAGAGTAATAAAAGGGTAATGGAGGAGAAAATGAGACGCCTCACACAAGTGCTGAAAGACTTCTGACCTACCATTACAAACCAAAAGACAAAATACTTGAAGATGCCTTATGTCTTATATAAGAAGACGTGTGTCACTTATGCCCCTAAGTTTGACTGCAAACATGAACACATCCTGAAATAATTGTACTTATGAGAGTCCAGACTACTGTGTTTAACTATTTTTGGCTTTGTTTCACATTACATAAATACTAAATGGCTGTGAACTGACTGTAACTGTGCATTTTGTTTTCTTTTAATGATAAAACATTAATTATATTATATATATATTTTTGTGTGTGTGTGTGTATATATATATATATATACTTTTTTTGTAAAGCTGTTTTTCCTTCAACATACAGCATCATAAAATGCACTTTTAATATAACATCTCCTTTTTATTAACTTTTCTGTTTAAATTTTAATTAAATTATAAACTCGGCGTTCCGTATTTATTTTTTTTTGTGTGTGTGTGAGGAGAATAACTACATAAAACATTAATTATATTATTTTTTTGTGTGTGTGTGTGTGTGTGTGTGTATGTATATATATATATATATATATATATAAACTTTTTTGTAAAGCTGTTTTTTCCTTCAACATACAGCATCATAAAATGCACTTTTAATATAACATCTCCTTTTTATTAACTTTTCTGTTTAAATTTTAATTAAATTATAAACTCGGTGTTATTCCGTATTTTTTGTGTGTGTGTGTGTGTGTGTGAGGAGAATAACTACATTTTAAAACATTTTATTGGCACGAACCTCTGGTTCGCTCAACTAACTGAAGACGTTGTCATAGTAACAGTAATCCAACGTCATTTCCTCTCATTTAAAAACCCTCGAGCCATCAGTAGTAGAAGTGTAGCCTGAGGTAAATAAGTGCAAGAGATGATTGTTGCTCCCCTTCACAGCCACCAGCTAAACTGAGGTCGACCTCCATACCTCTAAACGGGACAAAGAGGGTGTTTTTGAATTACACCGGGCGTTTGGGTGGTATGGCTGAGTCGAACAGCGCGAGTTTTCCTCACACGACACCGAACGGGTCCAGTCGCCATGAGAAGAGTTTGGGTCTCCTCACAGTCAAGTTCGTTACTCTGCTTCAAGAGGCCAAAGATGGAGTGCTCGATCTCAAAGTGGTGGGTTAAATACAATTACGAGTGGCAGAATGAATGAACGAAGTGGATGAATTAAAGTAACGTTAATTAAATTGCACAAAGAAACTTTACCTGAGTGGACCTTCGCCGAGTTTTGAGGCTCTTACATGTATAATTAATGAGTGTTTGGCTCGTAGTTAATTAAAAGTGTTAAAGAGCGAACAGAAATGGCGTGTTATTGTGTCAGAGAGGGACTTTTGAACAGAAAACCCGTGGGATTCTTGCAGCAGGTGTTTGTTACCTGTCGCTTGAGGCAGCAGAGACGCACTGTGTGAACTCATTGGAGACCATTTTTATTTATTATCATTTATTTTTTTTTACCTGCTACTTTCCGCTAAAATAGTATAAAAGGGGGCCCTAAACTCTTATAAAAATTTCAACCAATGGGAGTTGCTTTTAAATAATTATTTAAATAAAAGATTTTATTCAAAATAAACAAATAAAAAACGATTTATTGGTAAAATCTAAATCCATTTAGCACTACTTTGTGTCTCTTCTTTTAAAAATGTAATGGACCAAAGTCTGTAGTATTCATATGCATATAATGTGTATGCATTTTGTTACTTTCCATCATATTCCCATCAACCATCATACAAGAACAGATGGGGTCAGTTTGACCAGCTCTATATTTATCAAGATGGCACTCGTTCTCCTCTGCTAACAGTTGAGAGCTACAGTAATATCCCAACAACCCGAACTACTGTTATGTGTTGTTACAAGCTATAAATTACAATTGGTCCCCTAAATAGCCAGTTCCTGTCTTCTGATTGGACAGTCTCTGATAATTACATTGTGATTTTCATAGGCTGCAGACAGTTTGGCAGTCAAACAGAAGAGGAGAATCTACGACATCACCAATGTTCTGGAAGGTATTGGACTCATTGAAAAAAAGACCAAAAACACTATTCAGTGGAAGTGAGTACAAAGATTAAGAAAGTTATCCATGTGCTACCAAATGTTGATTTGTACTGAGACTATATTTATCTAAATTGCTTTCCTTATGTGATTATACTGTATTTTGTGTTGCTCGTGATGCATGCTCAGTGTGATATACTTCCATTGTTTAATTCTCTAATGCAGTTTCTTTATTATCTCATTTAGAGGGGAGAGTTCAGGCTGCCAGCCTCCGGAAGTTCTCGAGCAGGTGGAAGTTCTCAAGGCAAATATTGCTGATCTAGAGATTCAAGAGAGAGAGCTGGACATGCAGAAAGCGTGTCTGCAACAAAGCATCAAGCACCTGAATGAAGACTCCTCCAGCTGCAGATATCCTTACTGTCAGTGTATGAGCCAGAAATAGTTGCTTTTTTGTCTTATTCTCATCTGATATTATTCCATTTTTGGGTGGTTCCCCAGGTAATTAACAGTCCCAGAAAACGCTATTGTCAGAGGAGTGACATAATTACATGTTGAATGCTATCCTTCCTGGTCCTTGTTGGGTATTTGAGTGGCCCTAGTCCAGTTTTTCCAGTCTCTAGTATACTGTGGTTCATGGTAGAGTTTCATAACCCTCACCCCACCAGTTATTCCTCTTTGGATTAAACTTGCCGTGGTTTATGTACAGTCCAGCCATCTCAAAACGTACATTGTCATGGGACGAAGCCCCTAAGGGGACATGATTATGGAAAAAATATAGGAGGAATATTTTTTTTTTTTAATATTAATTTATGTTTGCTTTCAAAACTTTTGTGTTCTATCAGAAATATTGCCTTTCTCAGAGACAATCTGTCAGAGAATTTTTTTTCTTTGAAATGTACAAAACGATTGGCGATGCAATGCATTACCCCATTGGTATATGTTCCTTAGAATTGTTTACGTACAGCTATGTGACACATGAGGACATATGTGATGCGTTTGGTGGGGATACTCTTCTAGCTGTCATGGCACCATCAGGGACACAACTGGAGGTCCCAGTGCCGGAGATGGTATATTACACCAACCTTGAGCATAATTTATCTTTATTGAAAATGTTTAATAAAACTTTTGTTTTGTACATTTATACGAAATAGGTGTTAGTTTGCTCTTTTTTGTGTTTTTTGTCTGTTTATAATCTCCATGCTTTTTTCGTTGACTCAGGGCCACAATGGTCAGAAGAAATACCAGGTGAACTTGCGAAGTCACACGGCTCCCATCCAAGTGATGCTGATAAACAGAGAGACGAGCTGCTCCAAGCCTGTTGTTGTCTCAGTTCCACCTCTAGACGACATTTCTGCCATGCCGACTCCTCCTAGTACTCCAGCAGGGCTGCAGAGATTCCCCATCTCCTCAGCCGAGCTCTGTGATCTGAAGCGCGGGCCGCTCAAAAGCCCCGCTGCAGAGCACCAACTCACTCCGTCCTCCACGTCCACCGATATGCACATGGGTACTGCTTTCATACTGGCCCTATTCCTTACTAAATGATTGATATTTATAGCACCAGTCATTGGATTGTGAAACAAATACATATATTTAACAATGAACAATTTATGCATCACCTTTAAATACATGTGAGAATATATATTAGTGAATATAAATGTATATTTCCATTAAAAATGTTTTTTTGGTGAAATCTCATGCTTGCTAAGGCTGCATTCAATGATCAAAAAATATTACAATTTTAAAGATTTCTAATTCAATATATTTTAAAATGTAATTTCTTGTATTATATCAGTCTTTAGTGTCATGATCCTTCAGAAATCATTCTAATATGCTGATTTGATGATCCAGAAAAATGTTATCAATGTTGAATTTAAACTGCTATATATTTTCAGGATTCTCAGATGAGTAGGAAGTTCAAAAGAACACTTTAAACTGAATAACATAATTTCTAAAAAAAAAACAAAAAAACGTTTGAATTGTAGAGTTTATGATAATTTTTCTACAGTATTTTAACAGTTACAATTACTACCTCTTTTCTACCCTTTTTATTTGATTTATTTTATAAAGAATGCCACCCTGAGTCTCCTGCCAGTCAGTGTTTGCTGATGCAGGGCTCTCTAGGTGGACCTGAAGAACAGCAGAGGGACATGGGTGGTCAGGATCTGCAGTCCATGCTGGAAGAAATGAGGGATGAGAGAGAAGGTAACATGGATGCATTATGCCAACAGACAAAATATATTTTTGTATTTTTAAGTGAACTTCAAGGAGATGCATCTCTTAATTTACTCTTGTCTTTTTTTTCCTTTTCCTCCAGGTGTTTCTAACCTCATTGATGAATTGATGTCTTCAGATGGTAAGTTCTTAAAATATTTTCCAACCATTTATTTGTGTCAGTGTTTGCCTTCTGCACAGCCCCCTTGTGGCCACACAGAACAGCTTCCTTTGGTTATATTTGTTTTGGCTTGAAGCAAGTTCACTGCTGACCTTATCAATTAATCATATAGCTAGTAGTGCATATAAATCTTTTTAATATGTTCTGACTCTTGACAAAACAGCTGAGTGATGGTTCTTCTCAAGGCTTCTTTCTCCTATGCCTGCCAGTTTTTCTCTATCACTTTTGCCTTTGGCTTGTGTTACGGCATTAATCCCTGTTATGCAGTCATGAGAGCGCTGTTATGCACAACCTTTTTTGAAATCGATAATAAGAAATACTTAAGCAATAAATTAGCATATACAAATGATTTCTGAAGGATCATGTGAAACTGAAGAAGAGTATTGATGCAGGAAATTCAGCTTTGCCATCACAGGAATAAATTACATTTTAAAATGTATTAAAATAGAAAACAGTTGTTTAAAATTACTGTTAATAATGCCTTGGTGGGCATAAGATAGATTTAAAAACAACAACTTTAGGATTTTTTGATTTGTGTACTTTTATTGATGCGTTTTTTTTTTTTTGTACATTCATATTGGATGAACTCAATCTGCTCTGTGATAACTTTTTTTTTATTTTTATGTTTACCACTGTAGTTTTCCCCTTGCTAAGACTTTCACCTAACCCTGGTGTGGATTACAATTTCAACCTTGATGACAACGAGGGAGTCTGCGACCTTTTTGATGTGCAGATTCTTAATTATTAAAGCATGATTCATGCCACATCGATTGACACTTGCTTTCATAGGACAAAAGCAAAGGTAATGAGTCCCCCCCCACACACACACACACACACACACCCCACACCCCCACCTCACTGCCAACGGCTGCATTCCTGCCTCAGCGCCTGCTCCTTGAACCTTGGCTTGCACTCAGTTTCACATTCATTTACATTTCATCAGCTTAGGTTTGCAAGTCTTTAACAGCTTTATCCTGTCTGCCTTCAACCATGACTAATATTTAAGAGGAAGAAAAGAAACTCCTCCCACCTAAACTTTAGACACTTGTGTGTCTATTGTGATTTTGTTTTATACAGTCGTTAGTTTGTTTTCAGTTTTGTGACTTCACTCATTGTTCCTGATGAGTGATGGTGTAATTCATAAAGGTAAATGGAGGGCAGTTTAAATGTAATCTGAGAAATTAAAACCACCCAAACATGACACGTTGTTGGAACATGTGCCTTAAGATCATCTTTTTGTTCCTTGTTTTTGCCCTTTCTGTGCCAACCTGTCTTATTGTTGTTGTTCTTAGCACATATTGTAAGCAGGAGCTCTACAATGTGACATAAAAATGTATAATATAATTTAACAGCTCACGCAAAGATATTTGAGTGGCTTGATTATTTGTCTATTTAATCACAACACTAATTATTTGAATGTTGGTTAGTTTTGTAGTCTATTGATAGAAACACTGACTTTCAACTGTGCATATTTATATTGGAGTTTACTTGTACTGGAGTTTTTTATGTCATTGTCAACTGTCATGTTGGAATATTACTATGTTGTTCACCTTTTTTTTATATTGTTATCCTATTGCAAATTGCAATCCTACCTAATTTAAAAGGGGAATTAATATAATTTGTACTGTAGTGTTCTTGGTTTAGAGGACATAAAGATGTTAAACTGCCTTGGAGAATCTGTTTATACATTTCACAAGATTGGGCCTTATGCAGTTTTTTTTCTATTATTGTAAGTAACTTTATTTTCTCTGTTTTCTAATCAAGAGCAATGTTTTTGTTCTGTTGCACTTTTTTAACCAAAGTTTTATATATGTAAAATATCTAACTATATATATATATATAAAAAACACTTGCTTTTGCTCAAGTATAGTGATCATTCGTTTTGTTTGGAATCTCGTCATGGAAAATAAACGTATTTGTTTATAACACTGCAATAACACGCATAAAGCATTCTTTTGGGTTGTCAAAATCTATCCATCTATTCCTCTTTTACCTTATTTTCAGTAGATCCCTTAATTATTTTCCCCATCTCTTTCTTTTACTAAAATGTTTACACACGGCATTGGTAATTTTAGCAACAGTTTTTTAAATTCAACTTACAGAAAATGTAATACTCTTTTTAAATTGACTAAAGATTGTGGCCATAACGAACCAGAAAAGTGTAGTGAAGTACAGTTTAACCCTATAAAGTCAACTGGATCATACATCTTTAATGAAGATTCTATAAAGAAAACATAAATAAATACTTTGTTGACAGTGCATTATATTATATTGATATTGTATATTTAATAATTCAAGATAAAAATTTACTGGACTTATCCATAATTTTTTTTATGTATCAAATATACAACAGGCGCAAAAATGAGCATTGATCTAATTTAGACATTCGATTGACAACTGTATTTTAATTAAGTAGTCTGTTATAATGTTATAAAAATCTCATTGATTTACTTTACAAGCTGTCAGAATTACATCTTACTTTTTGGTCCTTTAAATAACGTGTGCCAAACTTAGTTTTTCAGTGATTTTTGGGATGCTGTGAATATCGTGAAAGAAAGATCCTACGTGTTTACTTGGGGTTTGTTTGGATTGTGCAGCTGGAGTTAATGCAGATGCTATGTCACCCCTGTGACCCATAGGAATTGGCCAAGATTTTTCTTGATTGCTGCTCTTTTTCTCCTCAAATTCTTTAAAGCATCTTTGAACATTTTAAAATTAGGCATTTCTGTAGGATTGAAAAACAAACTGCATGGAAACTTTTAAAACAGAAAAGGTGAACATACTAAATTGTAAAAATTGCCAAATGAAAAACACTGATAAATTTAAAGATTGAAAACGATATTCTTTTGTACAGAAAAGTTACGTCCAAAGCATTATAAAGCCTTATGAAAAATCATATTCTTTATAAATGATACATTTTGGGGGTTAAGAAAATGTCTTCCTTTAGGCCAAATCTAAATCTTGTTCTGATATTCATCCACAGAGCATTTATTTGAGATATCTGAGGAACAATAAAGGATATCTGGACTGAAATACTTGATTCTGATTGGTAAATAGTGGCATTTATTACACGGCTTTGTGGAAGACTTTGTGCTGTCCAGTGTTATCCCCTGATAAAAACCACTAAAAACACAGGTTCGCCCGCCAAATTATCCCCACCCTAGAATTTAGGCACAACACCTCTTCCGGTTCTCTTATCATCACTGAAGTCGGCAGAAGTTTTGCGTTTGCTGAGTAAGCTAATACTAGTAGTCTAATAATATGCTACTAATAATAGTCAGTATTTAAAAGTCAATATTTTGTGTATAGTTACTCATTAAATTAGCCCTATGTCATCCTGTTGCCTATTGCGGACTCGCTCTCTCCCGTTTCATTAAAAACGCAGCAGCTGCCATTTTACCACTATTGTTTTGTACACTGTAATGGATTACACTGATAAATAACAAACAGGTTTAAAACAGTTTAATCTCAAATCAGTATCTCTTATCCTTATTATTTTTGTGGCGAGTATGACTGTACCATATCCTTTAAATGATAGTTGCCATGTGCTAGCAACTGCTTTTTTCGACAGAAGCTTTGTATTTAACAAGCTAATAAAATATTCAGCTAATATAATAAGCTAATATAAAAACTCCGATGAATATTAATGTCTAATATTTACTTATGTGGCAAGTAACGTTAGTCGTGTAATAAGCAGGATAATGTCCATCCAGCCTGTTATCGCAGAATAAACCCCGGCAGGGTGATCAGGACCCTGATGCAAAGTGGACATTCCTTACATAGTGGTCTTATTTACATTTCCTCAACCAGCGATTTTAAAAAAAGGTTGCCAGGCAGCCACCGCCAGCATTTCTGAAAACAATTTTTCACAAAACTGTCATGACCCCCAGAATATTTTTGTTGTTTGAATATCTTAACAAAGAAAGAGAGGTCCCCTGCTAAAAAAAAGTTTTATTCCAGCTTGATGTATTCTACATTATCAACATTTGAATGTGAGTAAGTATAATAAAAAGCAGGTATTTGAACAAAAATCTAAAAGAATCACGTTTTTTTTTTTTTTTTCAGACTGCAGCAAAAGACTAAAATGCTTTTATCGCTTGTTTTTGCTCCTTTATTTGCCTGTGTTGATCCGGAGATTTTGTACTCATTCAGAAGCTGTGTAATTTAGCGGCCCAATAATAGTGAAAACATAAAGTCAGAATTGCTTCAATGGCTGGAAAGTGTTGTCTCATAAATGATGGACAATTCCATCAATTGCAGGGATAGAGTTACATTATTATTAATAATGGTGCATTCAAGTCATGCCGTAAAGATCATATTTACGAGTTGAATGCACATGAATGCTAGGACATTATAAAATGACAAACTCTGAACTCAAAGTTTCCGACTTGAGTTGAAGGCGTGTCAGTGAACAATATGGCGGACGCGGTAATGCAGCAGCGGAAGTGATCGATTAATGTGCAAGACCCACGATTCATTTGTTGCTAATAGATATATAACTAGATGAATAACGAAAGTCAGTAAACCGTAGAACTATTTTGTAAAAAAAAAAAAAAAAGCCAGTGTGTTTATGATTGTCATAATTAAAATAATTTATAAAATCCAGTGTGCAATATCAGGCAGCATAACGTACTGTTTTAAATAAAAACATTAAAAAATAATTAATGCTCGCATTCTTTATTTGTCAATAAGTGAATTTATTGTAGAAAGGTATGTAGCTGTTTTGCTAAACCGATCTCACGGGAATTCCTACGAATTTTACGAGGTGGCTAATTCGTAACAATTCATACGACCTCACTCGTACTAATTTTGCTAAATCGTACATATTTTACGAATTGGCCAATTCGTATGAATTCGTACGAATGACCTACCCCTGACCCTGCCCCTAAACCTAACCATCACGTGGGTTTAGACAAATCGTATGAATTCGTACGAGTGAGGTCGTACGAATTAGCCACTTTTTAATCACTCGTACAAATTGGTCGTGAGATAGGGTAGGTCTTGCTCTGACTAAAGGACTTAAACGCACCTGATGTCGTAAATACAACTTCCCAACTTGTAAATATGAACTTCCCAGGTACGGTTGCCACTTTCATGTCTCTCGTTTCACTTCGCCGACTTGTTCTTTTTTTGTTCTTTTTCAAACGCAACTAACAACATGTTTCATCTCACTTTTAACTTCAATGAAAAATTAGCCTACACTCTTCTGCTCAAAATACTTTATTTTTTTTTTACTAAAAACAAAGCCACTTTGTTTACATATTTGTCTAGTGACAGATGGTGCAAAGCCTCAACAGACATGAAAAACATGCACCATCTCCTTCACTCTGCTCAAATGGAAAACGTACTGGTGTCTTGGGATTGTGAATGAGAATTCAAGGAGATATTCACTTCTTGTTGCTCTCTCACGTGTGCCAACCTTCTCCCCCTGTCTCCAAAGTCTTTGGCACACTTCAACACATGCTGTCTGAAGGAGGAACCGACGAAAGTGTACAGAACAGGATTCAGACAGCAGTGTGTCAATGCCAGGCTCTCTGTGATCTGAGTAGCCCTATCCAGCACTTTACTATCCCCACAGTGAGTAACAAACGTATACATGATGTCAACGGCCCGGCAAAACTTCACCACATTGTAGGGCAGCTGCGTGACCACAAAGACTCCCACCATCGCCAGCAGCACACGGATGGACCTCCACTTCCTCCACCTCCTCTCCTGAGGGAGCTTCAGCAGGGCTCGGCCTACACAGGTGTAGCAGAACAACATCACTAACAAAGGTAGCAAGAAGCCTATCATGACCTCCACCACCTCCAAACTAGCTTTAGCCCTGAGCGCCATGTCTGACGGATACATTGCAATGCAGCTTTTTTTATGAGGAAGCTCCCTGACCGTTGAAAACACCAAATCAGGCACTCCAAGAAAAAATGCAACGGTCCAGACCACCAAACAGAGTTTTCCACAATGCTTCTTTTGAAAAGCGCACCCAAGGCCTCGGTTTCTGACTCCCGGCATCAATGCCAGGTACTGATCCATGCTAATGTGGGCCAGGAGCATCATGCTACAGGTGAAGTTGACGGTGTACAGGGCAGATACCAGTTTACAGACGGTGACCCCGAGCTTCCAGCCGTGGACGGCGTCTGCAGCCCAGAAGGGCAATGTGAGGAGCAGCAAAAGGTCCGCCACAGCCAGGTGAAGTATAAACGTGTCAGTCATCGTTTTCAGTTGTTTGCAGTACGCGTACACCGCCACAACCAGAGCATTCCCTGCTAAACCTAGCACTAGAGATAACCCGAAAACAGCTGGGAGGAAGATCCTCGCGAAAGAGCGCACGTCGCCCTTCTCACAGATGGTCTGATAATCATCGTAGCTGAAGTTGGAGCTGTTGTTTTCGTACTCGGTGTAATCGTAGTAATGTTCCTCTGAGATCTCCATTCTTCCTCTAAAGCTCTGAAATTAAAAACAACGATTAGTTTGAAAGTTTTTACGTGCAGTTATCAAGCAGATGTAGTGTTGATCTTTCTTCCAGGAAAGCATATGGCTAGCAGACAGTTTTATTGCTGCAGGCGTGCAACAGCACCTTCATTCCAAACATTCCCACTCGGCTTTTATCGAGTGCCCTTGTTCTATGCATGCTTAAAATCACAGATAAACTGAATCTAGAGATGGATATCAGTTACATTTTGGAAATCCTAACATGTGCTCAAACAAGTTTTTCTTTAAACATAGAAAGATTGTTTATATGTTACTGGTTTACATATGAAAAAAGTGGAAATCGTAACATCTTTGATTCTTTATATTTTCCAATTTTATTAAGCAGAAGTTCTGGAAACAAATGTTTTCACCAATCTTTTACATCGTACCATAAACTAGTCAAAGGCTGTACCGTAAATGAGTGTTATGTCAATTAGGCCAAACACGTTATTTTCAGCAATTTGGAACACTTAACAACAACGATCTGATAAATGCTATAATTATGTGAATAAGTGCTCTATTTATTTCCAAATAGCAGATTTGCACATTTCAATACAGTTCATGGCAATTGATCTTAATGCATACTTTCACAAACAGTGTGCAATTTCAGCAGCCAACATCTGGATCATATTAAACTTCTATCTAACAAAAAAAAAAAAAAAAAAAAAAAGAATTCTCCGAAACTGATAATACAATGTTTCTCTTACCTTGTGAGATTCTAGGCTTTGCCTGGAGGCTGAGTAGATTGTTTCTGTCTGCTCTTCCTGTGAGAACAGAGTGTGTTTACTGTGACTCATGCATGCTGAGCTTTACTCCCACACCTCACCATACTGTGAACGTATCTGTTCTAATGTGCGTCTCCAGCAACTGTCCACAAACATGCCTTTCAATTTGTTTTAAGAAGAACATCAGATTGCATATGGCATAAAAGTAATGCACAGCCACAGCATATTCATTTGAAACCTTGATTCTTTGAATATGGTCATTTTGGATATTCTTATGCATACATATTATTTTGTTGTTAATCAACAATCAAATTCTTTTATTATTATTATTCCATAATCTTATTACTGCTTTTTTTGTTGAGAAAAAAGTGCTGTTGCCTTATTTTACAGTCTAACATCTGTTCATTGTATATGCCTGTGTAAGAGCAAGCTTTTGCATGGTTGTGTGTGGTTGTTTTTTTGGGTTCAGTGTGAAGGCAGTGGGACTGCATACTTGCCTCATTGTGATTACATACAAAATGTTTCTTTTCCGGCACATTTAAGAAGCCTAAATAGCAAGTGAAATGCACAGGAAATAGGATGGAGTTATTATCAAGGATTATGCAGATAAGGAAGAAAGAGTGTTGCTTTTCTATTTAATTTGGACCGCCAATGTGTTTTGACAAGTTCCTGGCAAGAAACATATTATTTTGCAAGCTTCTTCAGGCAAACAACTTTTCTGGCACATTTAACTGGCAGAACCACTCAAATACAAAAGAGGAGTGATAGTTATGCTGTTCACATCTCACAGGATTCATTAACACACACATAGCTTCTCAGAATATTTATGCTTGACAATATCAACATGTCATTCTTAACATTCTTCACTACTCCCTTAAACCCCGCAATACAGCCAAACGTCTATGGAAAGTTATACACAATAAAGAGTGAGATTTAAACACAAATTCTTTATTTTAATTAAGAGATAAAGATCAACAGACATCAGATAAACATTGAAGCCAAACTGGCGTAAGTGCTCATCTCTTGGGTAAATACTGCCGCCTAGTGATACCTTTTAGACTTGCAGACATTGGAGACTAAATATTAGAGAAAAAGAAGAAAGCTGTAGAAAGATAAATGATTACTTTCACAAGCATGTTATGAAACATGGTGTTGCATTATACGTATATGCAATCCCTATTTTTCCTGATTCCGGGAACCTGTAAGGAGAGAACATCTGTTAAGCTTGGTACCATTTTTTCATATTATGTAAATATGTTGCAATGTGTTACCTGGGAAGGAGCCTTGAATGCGTATAATGCTTTAAATTCCTGGCCAGGGTCTTTTTCCTCTGGCACCTTCATCCCTTTTGGCACGGACAGTGTCCTGAGTTGGGCAGATGATAAGTTCAGTGTAAAGCAATTCAGTGTATATCTCTAATATAATGTGTTAAAATGGCACGTTGACAGGGTGATCAGAGGATAGAGAATACCATGGGAAGTTGAGGTTGTATTCCTAAAAGGCTGTTAAATCCTGGGCGGCGTTTTTTTGGTTTGTCCTTGCCTTTGTTCTGCCTCTTGGTGCGATAAACCTTATGTGATAACCAAATGATGAGTTCAGTCAGTGTAGTCAACATATTTCTAGAATATAAAATCATTAAATTGGTGAAGCTTGGGTTGATAATCCTTTCTAACTCAACCCTTTTCTCCATTTACTTTATATTATTTCACTAATAATATTGTAGCCCTCAAACCGTATTCACTTTATAGCCCTTAATCCTGTAATTGTGGACAAATGTGGGCACAGAAGACTCAGGTGTGATCCTTATTTTTATTTATTATAAATGTTGTATCACTGTCCTTGATAAAGTTTTGTCTATCCATTTATGGTGTTTTATTTTTTACATTTGTTTAACTACATTAAAATATCATTCCAATAAGTTCTTAGAGCTAAAACCTAAAGATTTAGTGACTTTGCTGTCACCTGGTGTCTTATTTTGGCTTATTTTAGAATGCTCTAAATGACAGTTTTTCCCATTCATTTCTATGGGTGCCCATTTTTGACCCAAATAGAAGATTAAGGAGTTTTTTTTCCCCACCCACTTAACATTGTAGAATTGAGTCAAAAAAAAATAAATAAATAAAAAAAAATGTGTGTTCAGGAGGCAAACTTAGGAAAAGTAGCCAAGTCTTGTACCGCTCAGATCAAGGGAAGTATTTTTTTTTTAAAATAAATCAAAACTATTTTGCCCACAATTGCCAGAATACGGTTTTAGGGTTAATGGCATAAGAGAGGAGAGTGAATACCTCAGAATCGGCTTCTAAAAGGGTGGAAGCTCCTAGACGCCTGTTCACCTTTAGATCATTAAAAAGAATGAAAATAAAATAATTCTGGTGACATGTTTTACATGACCATGTTAACATTGTGGAACAATATGGGTCAGATATAGCTGCAGGGGGAATCTTTAAATGGTTATATTGCAATGTAATGGCATTTTAGTAGTCATTAAAGAGAGAGCTTGATTATGGCTTGATTTTCATCCAAACCCTGTAGGGTTATTTCATTGTGAAACTGCATGCAGCTGGAAAAATCATCTCACAAGTTGTGCAATAGTAAAAACCATATTAGATGTGTACTTACACTTGATGGAACAACAAATTCTTTCTTTGTTGAATCTTCCTTCTCTGTGAAGACAGTCTGTCGTCGTACTCTGTTCATCTTTAAAAAAAAAAAAACTTTGTTAAAAGATTATGAATATATATACTGTATATATATATATATATATATATATATATATATATAAATTTTGTCACCAGTCAGCATGGTTATTGTCTATCATTACCTTAGTCAACAATTTTCAACTGCTAATAATGACTTTGAAGTATCTGATTCTGAAGCATAATTTCAATTAGAAAATTAGGTAATTGATACCTTCTATCATTTTGTAAAAATAAATAAATCATGACCTATATTTAGAAAAAATGTCCCTTAAAGTGATAGTTTGCTCATAAATGAAAATTATGTCATCATTTAAACGCCATCAAACGCCTTAAACACCCTCAAGTTGTTCCAAACCTGTATGACTTTCTTTCTTCTGCAGAACACAAAAGAAGATATTTTGAAGAATGTCGGAGTTGATGGGACCCCATTGACTTTTTGTGTTCTGCAGAACAAACTCAAAAATAGGTTTGGAGCAACTTGTCGGTGAGTTAATGATGACAGAATTTTAAATTTTTGGGTATCCATTTTAAACATATTTTTAACCCCAGTGATTGACCTCAGTAAAGTACTGCCAGCAAAGTTTATCCCTCACCTCAGGCTGATAAAGATCCGGCTCTTCAAAATTAACTGGTGATTGCATGCTGTTATCTGTCTCGACTTCCCCATGAAGACTGGAGATGAGCAGGCTGAAACACAACAGCCCTAGCTGCATACTACCCTTCATCCTGCTGCTTTCTGCAGTCCAACTGCAGTTCATCTCTGCTTTATACTCAAACAATCACTACCAGATGTCCAAAAAAGGGGCAGTAACATTTTCCCTGACGAAAATGTTTATACTTGCAGGTTTGAACATCAAAACACACTGCTTAGGCATGTAATGATCTGCTGTCTAATACTGGCACACAAGATGATTTATTATAAGTGAGTTGTGTGGCTGAGGGGCTATATCTCTTAAGGCTGTTTTTTGTCATCCAACTCACTGTCTTGCAATTGATTTATAACTTAATTGCAGGAAAACAGATGACAGATTTTTTTTTTTTTTCCTGAAACGAAGGAAAACAATAATGTAAAAAGTGATCTTGAAAAGAAGTAAGTCACAGAATGGGTGGTGAGAAAGAGCAAGGAGGAGAAAAAACTCAGGGTACTTAGCTGGATTGAAAACAATGGCACAGAAAGGGCTGGCAGTACATGTGACCAAGCTTAAGTCTGAAAATGCTGGAAAATTAACTTGCCTTACAGTCTGAATTTGGAGATCAGTGACATGGACATGGACTGTAGGAATAAGCATCAACAAACAAGATATACGTCTCTGCTGAAACAAGATGGTTTGTTGGTTTTGTTTTTAGCTGGTTTAAGCTGGTCTCCATGTGACCAAAACTCATAAAATTATTACCACAAAATCCATAAATGATCAAGACCATGGTCAGAAAATTAGCTTAGACTGGTTTTAGACTGGATTAAGCCGATTATGACAATGTTTTTTAATAAGTGCAAAATTATTTTGATGTGTTAAACTGCCTGGGGTGGGTCTCTAAATTGGTAATAATCTAATTGGGAATTTTTGTTATTTATATTACCATCTTTTTTTTTCTTTCTTTTTTTTAAGATAAAATCTCTTTTAAAAAGGGGCTGCAAAGACCACAAGGCAACATCGGGTAATTAACAGTCAATAGAAAATAATTTAAATCATATAAATCATGCACTATAATATAACTGAAAAATCTGTAAATCAAATCATGTATAGGTTACAAACAAACAAACAAACAAACAAACAAACAAACAAACAAACAAACAAACAAAAGAAATACATTAATTAATCGTCTCATATCATCATTATTTATGGTAAAAATGTAGCCTACAGTTTGTTTGGATGATTAAATCAAATCAGGCCTTGTTAATTAATGTTACTAATCTTCTTACAAACTATTCTCAATATGGTATCAGCGGCCGTTCAAGTTCTACACGTCCGAAAAGTGGATTAGCAGCACTGTTGCAGCATCGCAGTCTCCTGGCTAACCGGAGGTTGGCACATCTTAGGTCTCGTGGTCGTAAATGGCATGAGAGACCACAGCAGGTACACGCGCTCGCTACGCACGCGCTCTGCTTCTGTTCTATGCCTTTTCATTTCAGACACTCTTGAATTTCAAACTTGTCAAAATGTTAACTTCGAACATGGCCGAAAGACACTGAAAGCCGACTGTATTGATTTGAAGCGGTCTGCGGACATTTATTATGGTTTGGTCTTCACATCTTGACAGCTTGGCAGCCACTGGTCGAAGAAAGCTGACGTGGAGACTTAAGGCCAATTTATACTTCTGCGTCGAGGGTACGCCGTAGTGTACGGCGTTGGCTTCGCACGTAGGCGACGCCGTTGTGAGCATTTATACTTCTGCGTTCAGTTATTGGTTGCTCTGCAGTACTGCTCCGAAACGCTAGGAGGCGGCGGAGGGTTTTAATGTTCCACTGTGTTTAGATTCCTCGCGGCTAGGTTACTACAAGCAATAGGAGAGTGGATCATGTTGGAGTTGGAGCTTATTGGGGTGAAAAAACAGTTCATTTTAGTGAAATTACTAAAACTGAAAGGCAGAAATGAGAGAAGACGTCGGAGGAGATGGTACGTGTGGAAATGCGTGAGAAGGTACGTGCGGAAATGCGTATGAGGAAATACGACGCTACCAAGCCGACCAATCACCGATCTTGCGGTCCGCGTCGTCGCGACGTGTAGTTACATTTTTGAAGAGGTGCGCGTCAGGCAACGCGGAAGGGTACGCGGTATGGGACGCGTCTGTGCGTATGCTACGCCGTACCTACTGCGCGCACCCTACGCAGAAGTATAAATTGGCCTTTAGGGCCGTTACATAGTCAACGCATCGGTACGCATACGCGTCCGCATGGCTATGCATCGCTACGCTTTGGCCGCCATTATGCGTCGATGCGTAGCCAAATGTGTCGTCCTAGTTTTTGATACGCGACGCACTGATGCACGCAATACTATGCGTTATCGGTGGGGGCGACATTGCAAGAATTGTACATTAATTCAAATATATCATGTTAACAGAAGAAGAAGGTTTGAATACAATGGCGTGCGAGGAGGAATAATTATACGAGCTTATACCAGCATTTAATATCATCCGCATTTATACGACAGTTCACCATAATTAGTACACTCAAATAAAATTGCGTTGGAAAATGCCTGAGAGAGGTTGCAATCGCGATGGGAAAGACAGAATCAGGTGAAAACGGACTGGAAAAGTGCCCGTGACAAATTTACCAGCCTGGTTATATGAATTAATGATTTATGGATATGAATTAATGAATTAAAATACCAAATTAGTTTAAATGTGTAATGGTTTTTACATAATTTAAATAATACCAAATAATAAAAAATGTGTAATGGTTTTCACATAATACCAAATAAGTTAAAATGTGTAAAGTGTTAAATAATAATAAAAAACTCATGCTTCAAATCGAACTTTTATCAATTTATTTGTCAGTGCTACCCAATCGTAGCACACTGTATTGGTGGGGAAACACGCCAGCATCTGATAAAAAGTAATCAGCCAGCTGCTCCCTTACAAGTGCCGCTCTCCGGGAGGGTCTGCTGCTGCCGACCGAAAACCCAACAACGTGCTGCCTCCACTCCACTCTCCAGGCTGGACCTCTCCGGTGTCAGGCGTCGCATCCACAAAGGCGGCGGGCATGTATCTGGCACGTTCAGTGGATGCCAGAAAGTTGTGGAGAGCCACGCACGCCTTCACGAGCTTCACCGCTTTTTCAGGTTTGCAGTGAAAAATCTACTACCCCCTGTTGCGTGACCGGTGTATTGCATTTTACGCATCGCCCGTGACGCTTGCGTCTGCTTTAACACTATGAAAGGAAGCGCGTCGCTCGCGTCACTCGCGTTGCTTTCTCGCGTAGCTCGCGTTGACTATGTAACGGCCCTGAGGTGAAGAGAAGGGACGGTAAGTTTCGCATCTAAACTTATTCTTCCCAATTTAGTCTAACAATTCTATGTATCCAGTCCAGTGTGTTTTTTTATTGCATGATTAGTCGTTTTCCTGCAAATAAAGCCTATAAGAACTTTAGCTGTCTCATGTAGGAATTCGACCTGCATCTTCTTTGCTATCCAAACTCAGCAGGATCAGCTTGTTGTGATCATACTGTAGGCTCGACGTCGACTTTAGCAGTCTCAAAGTCTGCTTTAAAGGGACAGTTAACTCAGAAATTAAAATTCTGTCATACCCCCATGTTGTTCAGCACGTTGTATTTTCATCTTCTGTGGAGTGTGGAGCACAAAAGGAGATGATAAAGCAGAATGGCAGGTTCAGGCACCATCCACTTTCATGGTGACTGAGGCTGAGGGTAAATGATGACAAACTGTCCTTTTAATGCATTGACACTTTCTGACAGATGAATTAGTTACTGTAGCTCACGGGCAAAAGCTTTGTGTTTGCTTTCACTGTTGGCTCAGCAGATGGTTTCGAGGTTGCTGTGAAAGCTGTTAGTTTTACAGTGCGTTTTATTTTAGTATTATTTATGTACTGTTATCATATTTATTCCTATTTTATCATATTCTTATATTCTGTATTTTCAGTTTTCATTATTTGAAACTTTTTTATTATTTTTATTTAAATATTTCTATTTAGGTTTCATTTTAGTACTTTAACTTTTAAACATATTTTATTTAGGTTCAGTTGATTGCCAAGCCAACTTTTCTCATTTTTAAGTTTTGGTTTTGCATTCAATATTAATATTTTTTCTGCTTTATTTCAATTAGCGAAAACAATTTTTAATAGTTTTAGTTTTAGTTAACAGTAACAACACTGGGAAACACTAAAAATAGCTTCCATTTTGATTTGTGGTACCAGGCATTGAAAAGTACCTTTCTTTTATTATGAAATGCCAGAATTATAACAGTGTTCTCAGATATAATATTAAAGAACACATATACAAATAGCATTGTTGGGATCTTGACTCTCAGGGGCCTCACAAAATGTGTGCCTCATTTCAGCCGTTGGCTGATTTAACAACCTTATGCAAGAGCTTTTGCTTTGGACTTTTACAATAGACTGTATTATGTTGATTTCATAATGAAATCATAATCTGAATGTTTACATCCTAGGCTGCAACTAGAGTTACCACTATGAAACATTAACCAATCCATGTCAAAGAATGAAATAAAAAATCACATACATAAAACAATATCCGACATCTGTAAGTTGAAACTGTTAAACAGCTCCAGTGACACAGCTGCTTTTTGTATATTTATTATTTATTATTAACTAAATTACTCTTTTTAATTTTTTTTGCTTCCATTACTGTCCTCAGCTAACAGTCAGGACAGGGCAGGTATCTTATTAGCTCTGTAAGAGGTGAAGGATGGGGACTAAACTGGATCTCTCTGGTCTGACGGATCTGGAGGCTAAGCATGTGATGCAGGTGGTGCAACGGGACATGCAGCTGCGCAAGACGGAGGAGACGCGGCTCATGTGAGTCTCATGTACCCTTCTGCTCAAAACTACTTTGGTTACATAATAATATGTATTTAAAATAATAGTGCACTACTTTTCAAAACTATATTTTTTAAAAGAAATTAACACTTTAATTCAGCTTTTCATTGCATTAAATTCATCAAAAGTGTCAGAATAGACAGATTGTTACAAAAAATATTTATAATAATTTGATTTCAGCATAAATATTTTCGACATTTATAATAATAACAACAAAAATGCACCAAATCAGGATATTAGAATGATTTCTAAAGGATTATGTAGCACTGAAGACTGGCTGTAATGGCTGTTGAAAATTCAGCTTTTCCATCACAGGAATAAATTAGAAAACCATTTTAAAATTGTTATAATATTTCACAGTATTTCCCTGTTTACTGTATTTTTATCCAACAAATGCAGCCTTGGTGGGGATAAGAGACTTCTTTCAGAAAAAGATAAACTTAAATAATCTATTTTAACATTGTCTCCCTCGTGATGTCACACAAATGGCATTCCAGTCATTGATAGAGAGCGTGAGGAAGTTCCCATCATTCTTTGTCATACTTTAAAACAAAATGACAGGAAGGGCCCTCCCTTCCCACTCTATCCGTGACTCACTTCCCTGAGCCCACCGTGAATATGGTTTCAGCCTTTATACTGTATCTCTATCTAAAGGTCAGAATCAGATTGAGGTTTTATCAATCAGGAGAGACAGATTCCTGTTGTGTCTTGGTCGTTTGAGACCATTATTTCTACCTTCACACTCACAGGTATTTTCAGACCCTTGCTGCATCCAAAATCGCATACTGTTATAGGTACATTTGGTTTAAAACTTTGTGCTTTGTGACTGTGACATCCCTAAAATGGCTAAGAGCGTAAGGGTACCCTATACCGTGTTTAAGGCGCTGGTGCAAAAGAATACGAGAACTACGGGAGTTTAAATTGAGGAAAGGAATATATTTATTTACAACAAAATGCTCAAAAGAGAGAAAACACATACACCATACACAGGGAGTAGGAACTTGGGCGGGGCTAAATCAAAGAAAAAAATAAAACAAAACCCGCATTCTAACTACATCCCCATCCCAATAAACTACTAACAAAATAAAGTCGTCTTCGTACTACTTAAAAAACTCAAAACACCCGCCCCTTACCTAATGTCTTAAAGGGATATTCCATTTTTAGGGAAATAGGCTCATTTTACAACTCCCTCAGAGTTAAATAGTTGAATTTTACCATTTTTGAATCCATTCAGCCGATTTTATGATATTTAGAAGAATATCAGTAACCAGCAGTTTCTGGTCCCATTGACTTCCATAGCATAAATTCTTTCCTACTATGGAAGTCAATGGGACCAGAAACTGTCTGGTGACTGAAATTCTTCTTCTAAAATGATGAAATGCATCATTATATTCAAATTGCAAACACGAGGAGAGTATCCGGATCTCTGAAACAAGAGTATCTCCGTAACGGTAGAAAATCAAATTAGATTGAATGGAGGATTTTAACTGTGACAAGATGATTGACAGGGCAGTTTACAATGACAGGATGCACGCAGCACGCGACAGAGCTGTCCGTTAAAGATGACGTGATAGTATGTTCCAAACGTTGCCTACTCTTTTGCTACACACTCAAAAGTATGTACTTTTTCTTCTCAAAAAGAGTACATACATTTAGGGCGTAGTATAAGTAAGCGAATTGGGACGCAGGGTACGTGGAATATAACACATTATTTGTATTTAGTGTGTTTAATGTATTTAGCCTGTAATCTCCGTTAAACCTTCTCTCTTCCCCTCTTTCCTCCATTGTTTTGTCTTTCTTTCAAAGTATGGCACATTGGCACAGAGAAACACATTACTGTACTTTGGGTTGATAAAAACACTTTCGTTAATGACTTAGTTTGGTACCTTGATTTTATCTGACCTGCAGACAAGCACTCTGGCCGCGCTAATCTCTCACTATTTTGTTGGAAATGCTTGTTTGCTGGAAAAACAAACAATTCCTCAATGTAGTTACTTTCATGCTTTAAGGCAGTTCAGATAAGGAAAGCAGAAGACTGGCAGTATTTTATAGTCACAAAAGACTCCTCAAATTCTGATCACAAGTGAACACAGGAGACTTGTATTGTCTTGGCTGTCCACTTGTATTTGGATCACTTGAGATGGATGTTAATGTGTTCACAGATCCTCTATAATTATAATGCTATAATGTTTAGTACAGTATGCATTAGTTCTTTTAGAGCTCCAGGAAACAGTAATTTATTTATCCAATTAAGAGTATTGGGTTTGGTTTGCCTACAGCAGGGATCAGCACGTAGGTTTGGCATCGCACCAAAACATTTTAAAAGTTTTTATTTGCAAAGAATATAATATGAGACATTTCATGACGGTTATTTTAGAGCTGTGTCTAGCGTCTTTCATAACTTTTTAAATCAAAAGCTCTTAATTTATCTCAAAATAAAACATTGCTGCAAAAACGTTCTTGTACTTTTATTTTGAAGGCAAAATCACTAAAGACGAAGTGATTGTGAGTAACTGTTGCTGTCATGACGATCTATTTCATAACCATCTGCGGGCAAGATTTATTATTGCTGATGGGTCAGTCTTGACCCGTTGGCCGCCTGTTGCCTACACTGTTATATCTGTACCATACAACCCTAAACCATATTGATAGTCAGGTATTTGTTTCTAAATGTTGAAATGTTCTATTGAAGTTCAAAAGAAATAAATATTGTTTTTATTTAAAGAAAACAGTTATAAGACCCACAATTCTACAAAAAACCTTAAACCATCTCATTTAATGCAGAGAGCATTTATTCCCAAGTGTGTTCTGCCTGCATGCATCAAGCTTTTCAATATCTTTTCTGACACCTGGTGAGCATCTCTGAATTTCAAAAAGGACTAAGTGAGTTATCAGAGAATGGAAGAGCACAAAAACAAGATTATTAGAAAATACCCTCTGTTTAGGGGGAGGAAAATTCACAAAGAGAGACTTGCTAAGCAACATGATTTGAAATGTAGTTTAAAAAAACAACCTGGAAACCAATTAAATGCATTAATGAGGCATCATATCTGTTCTTAAAATATACATATTAAACATAACCCTTGACAAGAACAATTGTTAATTAGTTTGTATTTAATATTGATAAAGACTAAGAGAATGTAACGAGGATGGAAGTGAATGTGCTGAGAATGTGTGTATAATTTCTATATTCTATTTTACACGCTTTCCAAAAGCCCATTGGGACCTACTTAAATGCGCTCTGGGGTATGTGAAGTCCTGATTGGGAAGCTTTTGGAAACCATCTAGAGAGACCCTAGAGTCCTCCATCTATCCATGCACTCATCCATGACTTTCCAGTTCATTAAATCAAATATTTCAAACAGATGGCAGATTCTGATATTTGTGTGATTACATGTGTTGGAACTGTACACAGAACATAATGTTTCTGCACAGGCAGTTTGGCTTGTAGGACACTGGGTCATTTTGATCTAAGACCATACAAACAATGACAAGATATTTTCTTTTATTACATGCACATCCGTTTATTATGTAAATTATGCAAATATATGACTATTTGTTTGGCTTATGTTTTTAGCCATTCTTTATTGGCATCCAAATCTGATGTGATACCTGAGAGTTTATTTAAATTGGAGAACTAGTTTTGTCTCAGTTCTGTCTATGCTGAATCTCCATTAAAAGACTAGCCACAAATGCATTTGACAGATTTGAAGCCCTGTCATATGAGATTATGATTTCTTGCATTGCTCTGAAGTGAGCTATTCCCAGCATGCCACGTCTTGTTTTATCAACCGCTATGCGTTATTATGCGTTACAATACCACTGCTGATCTGTGTTAACAAGATGTTCAAGGAACAGGGCATGCATTTGCTATATTGCTGTGATCTTTGCGCTGCATAACACAACAGTAGATTTGGCTCCTTGAGACTGATCTTTCTTGTGTGTGTACAAAGAAGCTCTAAATCCTCATGCAATATTTTACTTTTTTTTTTTTTTACTGTACAAATAGTATACCAATGTTTATATACTGTACAAATGTAAATGTTTATATAATTAAATCTGAACAGTAATCTCGGCATAAAAAATAAAATTTAAATACATGTTATGGCAACACATTTATAAATGTCCTGTCTAAATAAATTCACAATAAAACACTTAAAACTAAAATCAGTCATTTATAGTATTTATACACTTAAAACTAACATGTCATTAATAATAGATTCTGACAGATGACCTAGTATAACATATTGGATTCAGTTCATCACACCTGTGGCCCAGGCTGGCGATCTGGCATGGGTCACTTAGTAGAAATTCTCTTGGATCTGCACCATACGACACCTCTGTTGTTCTTTGCCAACGTTTTGCTTGGTAAACAACAGACCATGTCTCTGAGAACTCTGTGGAAATGGCCTGCCGAGTATCCAATTATAAGTTCAGTGGAAAGACCCCTGATGGGGTATCATAGTACATGATTATAGGAACATGAAATAGATCATGCTCCATCTGTAAGAATTTTTCAGCTATTTATCTTTTGTGCTTTTCTTCTGTTACTTTAAATTCATCTTCCCACTGATTGAGTCAAGACAAACTGGTGGAAGGCTGTTTGTAATCTCTAGTCTGTATCTGTAAGGTCTGAATGTCACATTTAGAGATTAATCTACAAACTACACTCATCTTGGATTAAGTACAAAAGAGTTGTTTTTTTACAAGCACATGCATGCACAAAATCTTCTCAAAGAGAGGCTTTGGCACAAATATGTCTCCAAACTATTGCTATGTGCACACATGCACTCACAAATGCATTGTCATAAATGTATGCCAAGCCCACAGTCTCAAGTATTACACTTGCTTGTGTCTCATACAGTCTTTTGTTTTCTTTCTTTTCAGTTTTGTTTTATTTCCTGCCGTTCTGTTTTTAATCAGCTGAGATTTTTCTTTAGTATTCACTGGAGCCGATCTGTTCATGCATTGGCATTGTTTAGAGAGACAAGTAAAATGCCTCACCTCAAACAGAGGTTTTCTATACAATGCATCTTTTCAAAATTTTCATCATTCTGCTCCTCCTGTCAGCTCCTCTCTCTGTGAGACATAGGTTTGCTTTTCGAATAATATGTGTCATGACACATTATTTAAAATTATTTAAATTTCATTATTTAAATTTAATTTAATATTACATTTTCTGAAAACATTCCCTTTTGGTCTTCACTATACAGATTAATAAGGTCAATACAAATTAACAATATTCATAAAAGTTGACAATTAATGATCTTATTATTGCAGTATATTTTGTATTACTTTTTTCTGTATTCACACTTGTGAACCACAGGAAATGCATGGATGATATTCAGATCAGCCATGCAGTCATATTGTGGCCAAAACTGGTACTGCAATCACTTTCAAATTACTGTAGAGCGGTGTATCCCCTCCCCCTGACTCGAGGTTGCCAGATAGGCTGCAGGATCCCAAAAAAATTTGCAATGCTGCAATACCACTGACTACTGAGTGGTAGATAGGTGAACGGTGGAGCATCAGACCAAAACACAACATGACAACAGCTGAGAGCTGCAACTTCACTTTTTAAATTACAATATCATGGCCGGACTACTGTTGTCAGTGATATAAGTATTTGAAATGAACATGATTTCTTAATGTCTAGTGACATATCAGGGCCATTTTATGATTATTTGAAATAAAGTTTTTACATACAGCTCCTTTAATACTAAATAACTTATTTACTGTAGACACAGGATTGTCAGTTACTTTGAGTGATTTTGCAGTACCGCTTCAACCGAAGTCAAAGCAGAATTAACTGTTGCACATCTTTCAGCAGCACTGAATGAATCTGTGTTTTTGAAATGATCAAATCTGATGAGTGAATGATTCAATGACTCATTCATAAAGACAGTTGCAGAATTAAGTGATGTACTGCAGCTCCAGAGTCACTTAAAAATCCACACCAGTAACATACAGTATGCACCGTATATGTGTGTGTGTGTGTGTGTATACTGAATATATATTACAGCTGAATATGAATATACTGTAATGTATGTATAATACTGTATGATGAATTAATATCCTAAAGGCACATCTGTTTAATTGAGCGTCATAAATCTAATGGACCTAATCCAAACAAATTGTGCATGTGCAGGTTGGCTGCAAATAGTGTTCTACTAAATAGTATTGGGTCTCTTGTCTCTTTGCTAAATGTCAGAGCAATTTTGCAGAATTGCTCTCATCTCTGGAGGCTGCAGTACGGCTGAAAATCCAGACAGATTTAAGACGTTGAAGGGCAAATGTAGTGCATCTGTCAACACGCAGATGTCATGTGAACATGATCCACTTATAGGGCACTACAGCCCGCCTTACATAGAGATTAATTATGAATGGTTTTTAATGTGTCCTGCTTAAAGTCAAACAAATATACATCAGCTTATCTATCATTTTTATAGAGTCACATACTTTATATCACATATGTTTTTCTTTTTTATACTCTCTCTCTCTCCCCCCCCCCCTCTCTCTCCCTCTCCCTCTCCCTCTCTCCAGTGAAATGAAGAAGGCGCTGGTTGAGGAGGGCAGTCGGTCTGTCCTGCTGTCACGGCAGCACAGGTTTAATGAACGCTGCTGCATCCGCTGCTGTTCTCCCTTCACCTTCCTGCTCAACCCCAAGCGTTCCTGCCTGGACTGTTGCTACAACGTCTGCAAGGGATGCTGCACCTACAGTAAGAAGGACAAAGGCTGGCTGTGCTCCGCCTGCCAGAAGACCAGGTCAGTATTGCCATGCTAACAAGAGCTGTTGTGGTTTGGAGATAGAGTGAGTTCAAGCTCTGTTAGGGGGCTTTAGTGGGAAACACCTGCAGGTTAAAGGTTAAAACTAGGGATGAATGTTATAGTGTAACGTATTGGTTAATGGTTGATATTAGAGATTGTTTTATTTTTAGTCAGTATTGGATATTTTATTGTGCATGCTCATTTCTACAGTATTTTTTACATTTACATTGCCTTTGCCATCATCTAATGCTCACTTAAAGCAAATATAATCTATAAGCTATAATCTTTATATTTTATATCTTAATCTTTTTAATCCTCTGATGCTTAAACTCACTTGTAACATTTACTGTAAGTACACTTTAAGTTTAATTAGAGTACATTTTAGTTTAGTTTAATTTTATTTTTAATATTTAGACAAAATAATATAGCATATCACCCAGAGGTGCGTTTCCCGAAAGCATCATTAGCCAACTATGGTCGCAAGTTCCGTCGTTATCGGCATAGTTCAACGAGTCGGTGTTTCCCGAAACCATCGTTCCAACGAACATTCGCAAACAGCATCGCAAAGTTGTGTGGTTTGAACGACAGCTCTCGACTTATGGTTAGAGGCATCGTTTCTATTTTGCATTACATTTGAAGGTAATAAATCCTTATATTTAGCAAAATAAGCAAGCTGACATTCAGCACAACCGGTGCCTTTTATTTATAATACATACAAATGGAATTTACGTCTTTTAGTTTGTCAAAAGATTTGAAGTAACGTGTTTGAAGAGTGCGCATGTGCGAACGTGCATACTATGTAAGAACGAGCCAAATATTGATTCTGGTAATAAAGCAAAACAACTGAGAACAAGTAGTAGAAATAGTCCTCAGATGACATGTCTGTAATTTATATAAAACAAATCTAGCGTTAATTGGATCTCAAACAGTTTCATTAAAGGTAGTTATTACTCCACCATGTGCGAAACCAACGTGGTTGAACGATACTTTGCGACAGTGGGTTTCAGGAAACAGCCGTGACTAGCTAGTTGATTTTGCCAACGATGCATCGTACTATGGTAGTGAATCAGCGAACTACGTCGTTGTACGGGAAACGCAACCCAGATTAATGTTTGCGTATTCCTAATAAATTGAAGACTAAAATCTTTTTTTGTTTATTTTTTTACGCATTTAAAATCAACTAATTAGCATGATGTAGTAAAGTGCACAGTTATTCTAAATCAGTCTAAACTAAATCTATTGTAATTGAAAAGAGCTCATTTATTTTCCACTGAAACAACAAAAACAATATCCTGAAGAGTTGTGAATGGACCGTTTTAATGTGAAATTAGGTTTATAACAGGGCACTTCCATTACGATGTTCAGACAATATTGTACAAGCCCCTCTACAGTCATCAAAATAATTATGAATAATACAAGTATACAGCATGACATGATCTGCACTCAGAAACCATTTGTAAATATCACAATACAACTCAAAGACAGAAACTATTTTTGTGCTTCTAATGCTTTCTGATTAGCAAAATCAATTTAAACCTACATTTTAGGAATGTATTTGTCCTTCAGAGTGCATCTCTGTTTCTATGTGATGTGAATACACAGTGCTGTGACATTTGTAATTAAACCCAAGAGCTTTACAAGCTTTTGTCCAACAAAAATATTTCAGTTCTATACAAAACATCATGTTTATTTATTTTTATAAGGGATGTTTCTTCTCTTTACTACCAATACTTATACACTTACACTTGAACAGAAATAATGTGCATCAGTAGAATTGAATTTTGATACTACACACATCCACTCACCCAAACAGAGGATTTATCTCCTCTGTTGTCACGAAATAAAACTGATGCTTATTCCAGTTTTCATTTCAAATATCAGTGTATTAGAACATTTTTGAATGGAAGCAGACAATTTAGATTTTTGCTATGTCTATAAACAGACGGGTCTATACAGTATGCAGTAACCTATATGTTGCTTATTTTGTCTAGTCAATTACATAAATTCAGAAAAAAGTCATTTACATTAACAGAATAAAATGCCTTTCTCTTTTTTGTGGGAAAAATATAATTTGCCCGCAAGGGGTATCTGTAGTCTGTACATAATGGTGAAAGGACGCAGAATGCTATTTTAAGCATGAAAACAACACTGTGTTGTCTTTACTAACCTCTCATATTTCTCTTCATATTAAAAAAAACAGATGATAACAACATGATTGTCAATATAATAATGCTAACCTAATTGTTGATATATACACAATTTTGGTTTGGTCCCTTGAACATAAGAATAAAGATACTTCTGATTTTGTTAATGTCTTGCTTTATTTATTTTTTTTAACTAAATATTTGAAGCAGTCCTTTTTTTTTTCTTGCTGTGTATACCAACTAAACAATAATCTTACTTGTCCCCAACAGGCAATTCCTCTTAAAATACTAAAAATAATATTTTAATTCAGATTATTGTTGGACTTCTGATATTGAGCATGCTTAAAAGTGCATGTCTACTCTGACCTTTCTGTCTATGTATTATTTGTATGCACTTGTTTATAGGACCTTGTGTCTATGATTATAGGACAAATGTCATACTCTGCATAATCGCAACATACTGTACTTTTAAGGTTGTAATCAGTGTAAAGTAAACTAAATCTCAGGAATGCCCTTAAATAAGCATTATAATGTGGCCTTGTTTGTGTATTTTCAGGCTACTGAAGACCCAGTCACTGGAATGGTTCTACAATAATGTGAGAAGGCGTTTTAAAAGGTTTGGCAGTGCTAAAGTGTTAAAGAACCTCTACAGGAGGCATGCGGCCGAGCGTGGAGTGCTAGCAGAGCCTACAGGTACTTGCCATCTGGACTTTTGTATGACCTTCCTTTAAAATAAAGGATGTTTTCACACTATGACATTTTATAATGTATTTTGGTATATACTTGCTATGTTTTGGAGTTAAAAGAGCTGTTTAGATGAGAGTTTCTCCAATTCAAATTTCATCTGCATTCGGAGGATATTTCAGTTTTGGATTGTCCTTCAAGCTTTAGCACTGTGTTTTACACTGCTCATGTTTGCATCTATTAGCACTAATTCATAAGGGTTAAGGATAGAGCAGGCAGGGATACTATAATTGATTTACCTCCTCTGTCTCTGATTTAGCAGCAGCAGGATTAAAAAAAAATAATTCTGTTTACGGAGGAAAGGTCACTGTACAGTTTGATATGTCCTAACATTTAAATAGTGAATTAAAATTGCATATGCATATTTACATTACTTAGTACTTAATCAGATAAATAATTTAACCACTTTCCTAAATTAAAAAATGTAGTGGAGCGCAGAAAGAAATTAATCAGAAATTAAACATTAATATTATTGAAAATTCAATGGAACAGACTTGACTATTATTTTAATAATAGTAAAACACACTGTAAAAATATTTTCCATCCATCTGAGCCTGCACAATATATAATTATCTACAATATACAGTTGTCATTTTTAAAGTGGTAGAAAAAATATTCTACTGAAAAATGTACTGTGAAAGAGCCTTACTTCACTACACCTTTGTTTGGAAGTAAAAAAAAAAATTAAAAAATAGTTTATTTTCTTCTGTCAGACCAGCTCGAAGGCTCCTTTGGTTGTGTTTGTGGGCACACTGAGTTATGATCTGTGCTCAGCCTCCGTTTCAGTTTTGCTGTGGTCTGTGAACAAAAAAAATGTCTTCTCCATTAAGAGAAAGGCAGTTAAACGCAAGGCCAATGGCACATTAACAATGGATGACCATGACTGTGGGTGTTTGTCACCTCAGCAGACCCCTGTAACCTCTGAGGAAGAATAGCTCTCTGTGGAAGAGAGAAGCATTGCAGTGACAATGACAAAATAAAGAGCTTCGGCCACAAAACTCTGCACTATGTGGTCAGGCCTTGAAATTTTCATGCAGAGAAAAGCTAGGAAGATAATCTGTTTGAGTTTAACGTCGGACAAGTGCTAAGATTGGAGCAATAAGCTTATAGCATTATAGGATAGGTTTTTAAGCTGCAACATCAGTCTTCAGCTTTATCTCATAGAAAAAGCTAGATTTATAACATTACTTTGATTTGCTCTCCGCAGTAGAGTGTAGGCGTAAACATTGGCTCATTGTAAAGGGGTAGCAGGTGACTTCAGAGGCAGTTTGACCTTCACTGGATCAAGGAAAGCACTTTACAGGGCTCTATGTGGAGCTGAGGCCATATTGATATGTCAGTTACCCATCAAATGATTTGTCATCCGACTGCTCTCTGAGACTGAGACAGTGTCTGTCAGAGAGAGAAACCCGTCGACTCCGACTATTAAATCACGTGTCGCAGCTGGACTTGCTGCGATAAGAACAACAACAACAACAACAACAACAGAAATGATGCAAATCGTTACACTTAATCTTCCTTTTTCATATTGAGCCAATCTCTATATTCCACTTGTGTCCTAGCCTATCAATATTGAGAATAATATTTTAATAATGGTAAAAAAAGTATATTAGGAAGAACTAGAAACCGACAGATTTTATTTTGTGGATGTTCAATTAATCTTATTTCATTGAAGATTGATGCCTTCAGAAATTGAGGCTGCAGGCTTTAATTGTTTCTTCATGGAATGCAACATAAATTTTATTTTAACATTTTTTAACATATATGAAATGAGCTGTAATTTTGTTTTGCACCAACAGAGGGGAGCACTTGTGAGGAGAGCATCTGCAATGAAAGTAGCGTGTATGAGAGTGACTCCACATTCTACAGACAAAGTGAAGGTTTGTGATCAAATATATCCTATTTAGAAATTATTTGTTTGTTATATCAATAGTTTATCAATTGTTTTTATTAGTTTCATTATGATTTTTTATTTAATTTATTTGAAAAAAAACTTCACTCCAACTATATGGCAGCATTTTTCTATTTATTAAGGCTTTAATTATTATGTCTCTCTCCAGAGCATTGCATGGAGGAGACTATTAGTGTGGCAATGCGTGTGGCAGAAGAGGCCATAGATGACGCCATTGCTAAGGCTGAGAGCCAGACTGACAGTCAAGTAAGACTTTCCCTATATAAGATCGTTCATTCATTCTTGATAAATTGGCACGTTTGACATGGCAATTGTTTGACATTTTATTTTGTAGGAGAAGCAGAACGAAGCTAATTATCTGCGAGAGAATAGAGCAGAACTGATAGAGGAACTGGCCAAAACAATAGTACAGAAAGTGAGTAACACATGTCAGCAATGACCTTTCATGTGGGTAGAGTTTTACATTGTCCACAATTCAGTGTGCAGTGATTAATTATACTTCAGCAAGGAAGGACACATCAAATTGATCAAAAGTGGCAGTAAAGACCTTTATAATGTTAGAATTTCTCTTTCAAATAAATGCAATTCTGTCCTGACAACTCTCGGAGTGTTTGTCATGGTAATGGGTATGACAATTTAGATATATTTGGTCTTGGCGGTCTTTAATAGATCTGCTATGCTGCTGCTGTTATTGCTGCTGCTGCTGCAGAGCAAGTACGCGACTTGCTATTGCGAATACATACACGACAAGTCCTTTTAGGCGAGTACTGCCACTCGGCTGCCATCTTGGCAACGCCTCCGGGAAGCTATTTCGGACTAACAAGACCAGGCTCCTATCTAAATGAATGGGCAGAGAGTCAGAACTGCACCTTCACTGGTCACCGGGACATAAAAACTGCATATATAGAAACAGCAGTAAAATATGATAAAAATCGCTGAAAAAGTTTCATGACTTTGCCCCAAAATAAGGTTTAAAACGGCCTTTTCCCCACAGGTTATAAGTTCACTACGCATGCGCAAGGGTTCTCGTCTCCACTGTCGCAGACATCAACTGTTCGCATGCGTCAGTGGAACCAGATGATAGGCTTAAATGTTTCCCGGCTTTACTGTTAAAATCAGACGATTGGCTTTCCAGCAGAAGGGTTGGGACATGTGCATACAACCGCCATCTTTGGCGTTACGGGTTTTCCCTATATAGTTGTATTGAGGATTTAGGAAGTGGCATGTCTCTGTATAAATTGTCTCTGACGACACTCAGCGGTGAGCAAGGTCTATTAGCCTGCGCCATTTAGAGTTTCATGACAGAACTTTGTATTTCTTTTGAACTTTCCATTAATAAAATAATCCTGAGTAAAAAAAAAAAAAATTAAGCAACTGTTTTCAGCATTGATAATAATTAGAAATGTTTCTCAACCACCAAGTCAACATTAGAAGGATTTCTGAAGGATCATGTGATGCTGAAGACTGGAGTAATGATGCTGAAATTTCAGCTTGCCATCAAAGGAATAAATTACATTTTAGAATAATTAAATTAGTTCTCAGTTTGTACTGTTTTTTAAGCCTTAAGGTGGGCATATTTTGAGGTTTAATACTTTTAAAATGTATCATTTTAAAGGATCTGTTAATTTAAATGTATCACAATCTGGGTATCTGTATATGAAGAGTTCAGATGCAAAAGCCTCTAAGTGCCATTTGAAATTTTCTTCTAGAATGATCATTTTTATCAAGCTTGTATATTTAGGTTCAGTGATTTCACTTAAATTGCAATGATAATTACCTATTAATTGTTATTTAAGTGAAATTACTGAACTTAAATATACAACTTTGATAAAAATCATCATTAAAGAAGAACATTTCAAATGGCATTTAGAGGCTTTTGCATCTGAACTCTTCATATAGTCACACTCTTGATTTGACATCAAAGTGTCTATGTTCAACTATGTTGTGTTGATATAGTTTTATTGTAAACTATAAGTTATAATTATTATTTACTATATAAAATTTTATAAATATATTTTAAAATATTATTTATTAATATGAATATGCAATGTTTGCATAAACTGATTATATTGGAATATTTAAACAACAGATTGTCCACCGGAGGATGGATCCTTCTGAGATTCAGTCTGGATGTAATCTGGACCTGTTGCCTGACCAGAACAATGATGGGACCTCTCCTGATCCAACTCAGAGTGCCTTCGATGCTTACCTCTGGGTACACTGGCCTTTTATGTTTTTTTTTTTTTTTTTTCAAAGACTCAATCACTTGCAATGTTGGTCACTTTTGATATGCACTGTTGAATACACTGACTTTGTAACGCTTTTGTATTGCTCTTTTGGTTCTCCTTTCCCGCTCAGAGGTCTTACTCAGCTTTCTGTCTCTTGACTGATGAGAAAACAGACCAGCATGCTAACACCGGGTCAAGGCCTTCAGCTTCTAAAAGTCATGCTCTGGAAATGAAGAAAGAAGAAACGATGCCTGTCCAGGCCATGCCTAGCTGGAGGAGTGTTGACCGATTGGACAATTCCAGTTAGATCCTTGACTTAATCCATATGATTCTTAATCAGTTAATTAATGCTTCTTGCTTACAACAGTGTGATTTTTAAAACAATGTATAGCCTACTTGTTTAAACTGTTGATCACTTCCATTTATATACATGTCTAAATGCTGTGTATGTCTTCAGTGTTACAGAGTCCTGATGGGAACTGGATTGCTTATCAGAGCAACTTGCTCTCTCGACCAAGCCTTTTAACTAAGCGCAAAAGTCTTGTCTACAGCGTCTTAGAAAGGGAGTCTGGCGTGGGGTCAGCTTACGACGAAATGGGCTCTGAAACAGAGCCCGAAGCTAATGGAGGCTATGGCGCTGCACTAGTAGAGTTTCGTCGTAAAATGTCTGCCAATAAGCAGTTGAGTTACACAGAATCCTACAGCCGGCAAGCAACCTTGCCTTTGGATGCTCAAGCACAAACTATCACTGCACACACCTTGAATGCTGACACCGAGAACTCATCGGGACCGGATGGACCAATGCCCAAGTCCCACAAAAATATGCTGCCCTTCCTGAAGAGAAAAGTGTCACTAGATCAGAGGCGACTCTCATCCGCCCGCCTCTCGAACATCATGGATGTTAATTTCAACCCAGGAGGGGCTGAAAGCAGTGAGGATGGTCTAGAGGACAGCAGGGTCAAGAGATCTCGACGGAGGAGGAAAAATAAGAGAGAAGAGGCAGAGTGGAAAGGACAGTCTTTGGCTGTACCGGTGAGAATGTTTGTTGTACAACATATATTGACTTTGATTTAAAACAGGGGTTTTAAACCTTTTAATATCAAGTGCATATAATATAAAATAAAGACTGCTATATATTTTCATATATAAAGACCTCTTTATACTCTGTTGTTTCCAAAATTAAATGATTGGTACCAAACCAAAAAAATGTATTTTATTATTTAATTCACAAAGTATCTGTTTTGTACCCACTACTACTATTATATAAGATTTATGAACTTATAATAAATAAATATAAGTTCATAAATAAACTTAAATAAATAATAAATTACATTTCTTGCTATTAAAAACTGTCAGTAGGATAAAATAATAAAAAATGTGTAATTCATTTAATGATTTCTGGCCAGTCTATAGAATGCAGAATTAATTAATTTGATGTATTTTGTAGACATTATATACACACTACTAAACACTTGAGGTCGGTAAGATTAAAAAAAAACAACAAAAAAAAAACACGTTTTTGAAAGAAGTCTCTTATGCTTAACAAAAATAAAGTTATTGTGAAACAATTAATTAAATTGTAATTACAATTTAAAATAACTATTTTCTAATTTAATATATTTTTAAATGTAATTTATTCCTGTGATGGAAAAGCTGAATATTCAGTGTCACATGAATCTTCAGAAATCATTTTAATATGCTAGTTCTCAAGAAACATGTCTTCTTATTATCACACTTGAAAACGTATACGTTTTTATTCAGGATTCTTTGATGAAATAAATTTTTGTTGCAACCATATAAAAGTATATATATATGACTTTTCAGCAATTTAATTCATCCTTGATTAATACAATTATAAATATATGTTAAAAAGAATAATATTTTAAGGTAATATGGTAGCTTTAACATCCCTAAAATACATTTTATGAGATCCCTTTGTTCTTTTTTTCTGTTTTTATTTATTTATTTATTTTTTAAATATATTTCATGACTATGATTCTTTATTGGCAGGATTCCAATAGCCAACTCTCAGATTCTCTGGTGAAGAGTCGTCATGTGAAACAAGACTTGCATGGAAAAAGACCATGTGATCATGCTCTGGAAGATGACACTTCAGACACTGCTACCCCTGACATCTTGAGCTCTGGAGCTGTGACCCCTGATCCATTTGGACCTGATCTCAGTTCTCCCATTAATTCGAACTATAGAGCCCTTGGTGTGGTTGGATCTTTAGATCAGCAGTTGACTTTCAAACTGAAAGAGCTGACCAGTCAAGTGAGAGAAACACAACTCTCCTCCACTGAGGATGAATTGGACAGGTTGGAGTATCAAATGTGGGATGAAGATGATGAAACAAAAGCGGGAGATGAAGTCATGGGAGATGCTTTATTGAAGATTGAGGCTGTTGCAAAAGAAAGATCAAATGAAATTGAAGCCACACATCAAGTAAGGAGAACTGAGATGTTGAAAGAAAATAATCTGACTTCCAAACTCAGAAAGTTGACCAGTCAGGTCAGTGAGACACTACTTTCCTCCACGGATGATGAACTGGACAGGTTTGAGCATCAAACTGTAAATGAAGACACATATCAATCAATGATAACTGAGATGCTGGTGGTAGATGACAGAACAGATGGAGAAAACATATTACAAAGTTACAAAAAACCCCAAAATCATGTAGAGAAGATGGTTGAAAAAGCAGAAGAAGAGAGATCAGAGAAAAAGCAAAAGGACAATGTGGCAGAGCAGGAGATTCGTAAGCAAAAGGATACACAAATGTCAGAAGAAATGAGCTCTGGGAGCCAAAAACGGACACCCGCAGAGATAGGTGCTCAAAATGAGATCGCTAGTAAGAGAAGTGAAGAGACAAAGAACAAGAGAGAAGTTCACACTGAAAAGAGAAAAGCAGAAATAAAAGATATGGTTGAAACTGAGAATACAGAGATGATCGATCATATTGAGAAGCGGGGACAGGCCTTATCCTCTGAACTGGCTTTGAATAGATTTATAAGTGAAGATGGTAACATGGAATTTGATAGGGTCATCGATGCTGTAGCAAAGGCTTTGGATGACATGGAAGATAACATAGAAGCTTACACTAGGGAGGGGGGATTTTTAGACAGGGAGGGAAGTGAGGTAGAGAAACTAGAGATGATGGAAGAGAAGGAGAATGTAACTGAACAAGACATGGATGGCAAGACTACATTTGAGGTGTGCTTTGTTGGTGGACAATCGAAGAAAATGAAGGAAAAGGGCAAAATCAATGAATTTGTGGCACTAAAGAACCGCAGTGAATATCCTGAGGAGACAGAAGACAAACAATGCATCACCTCATCTGAAGAGAGAGTTCAAAGGAAAGATGACCTGGTTAAAATGAAGGAGCAGAGGAACAAGGACACAATTCAGCACAGCGCCCCATCTGGTCAGGGGGAATATCTGTCACCAGAGGAGATCTACAAGGTAACAACTGAACCATAACCGTATTACAGTTAACTATAGTAAACGCTTCAGGCTGCAGTAACCTGCTTGTATCTAACATGCTTTATTTCATCTACTAATTAATCTCTGAAGCTCTTTTCATTTCATTCTATGTTTTCTGCCTCTTTTTGATCTTTGTTAGGATGCATACGTGCTGGAGAAAGAGAAAAACCTACATTTTATCTCCAGTGTGCTACAGCAGGTGATGACTGAATGCTAATGTGGATAGGATGCTCTCATTTATGCACTCATAATTTACTAAGCTATTGTATGCGTCCCTTCGTCTCTTAGTTTTCATCTGCTGTCTGACTGTTGGCTCACTGTGTATTACATTTCCATTTGACATATTTTACTTCCTGGCTGCACAATTAATCAATAAATAATTGCAATTATGATTACAGCTGAATTGTTGATTTGTTTTCAACTCAGGTTCGTCATACTTAGAATTTCTCTCATTATAACTCGTCATATTTATGTAAATACTTTAATTATGGAAGCTAATTTCTGCCAGATAAGAAAAAAAATGATGCCTTGTTCATAATAATGACAAACAAAGCATAACGTCGTTTTTGGTTATGCACCTCAGGACGTAGTCGACATTGACTGAAGTTTTGACTGACATAAAAACAACTATGAGACGCAAATTCTAGATTAAGATAAAAAGTCATAATTCTGACATAGTTGTTTTTACCAAAACATTATCTTTTTTTCCTAAATGTTTGTAATGATTCACTGTGCAGTCTTCATCGGTTTGTTGGTTATAATGGGTTTTTCGAGCTCATCCCAACTAAAGATACAGCTTTACTAATCATAAAATTCGCTATTCTGTATATAATTTATGTATTGTTTAAATAACAGATGCTTTTAATGCTGCTAGGTAGAACAATATTTAGCCATTTAGCTGCTGTCTTGATTTACTGCATGTAACAAGAATAAAATACAAAAATTCAACGTCTCAGTTTTAGATGTGTAGCCCACATAAAGAATATGGCATGCAGTTGGCCCATACAAAAAACATATTTTAATGCTAATTTTATTAATCAATATTAATAACTGGGATTACAATATAAAGTGAAATAAATGACAGTTATGATTTTGCAAAAATTGTGCAGCCCTACATTGTGCTGCCCCATTCATTTTCATTCGTATGCATGTGAACGTTAGTGTGTAAAGTTTACAGTACCTTCCTCTATGTATTTATCTTGAACAGAAGTACTCGGCTGTATCACTGCGCAGCATCACCTCCGAGGTGCTGAAAGTACTGAACGCCACTGAGGATCTGATTCACGGATCAATGGGAGACGGACAAAGCCAAACAGACCGCAGCGACGTCTCAAGCATTCCCCCTGCCGAGGCCAGAAGACTGGACGAGCAGCTTAGCAGACTGGAGGAGAACGTATGCATTCTTTCTGAGATGAACATTTGTCATGCCACTGGGAATTAAAAGCTGCTTCTCAGATTGTTCTGATTGATTCCACCGTGTGCAGGTGTATGTGGCGGCAGGTACGGTGTACGGGCTTGAGGCTGAACTGGGGGATCTGGAAGAGTGTGCGCGCAGCATCGGTGGATCCACAACCGAAAGTGAGCTGGCTCATCTGGAGGACCAGGTGGCCTCTGCAGCAGCCCAGGTGCAGCAGTCTGAGCTCCAGGTGTGTTCGGCCTGGACGCTGTGCTCTCTCTCTCTCTCTTTCTGAAACTCTTTAGCAGCATCTCATCACTCTGAAGATGCAGTTACACTTCACTTACTGAGCCGTATAGTAGTGGTTTAACTAAGAAGTCTTTGTTAATTGAAACAAAGTTGAAAACAAAATACAAACACACACACACACATAAATATGTATGTATATATATAAATATGTATGTATATATATATATATATATATGAGATAAAAAGAACTTGCTGTAACTAACTGAAATAAAAAAAAAATACTGGTAAAAAGGACAATAGCACATAGCAACTAAAATGAAAATGAAGACTAAAAAAAAATAATTATTATTTTTAAAATATTAATAAACATGAATAAGAATATGAAAATAATGCCAAAACCATCTTTCCAGAGGTTTTTTTAACACTGAGTACTGTATAGAACTAAGCAAACATACAAACCATGGTGTCCCAAAACTGACAATAGCATTTTACATAGCAGTCTTCTGCAAAGCCTTACTGTACACAATACATATTCTGTCATTTTCATATCCGCCTGCCTTAATCTGCTTTTCCCCCCCAGGTTTCAGACATTTCCTCAAGAATTGCGGCTCTGAAAAATGCAGGTCTTAATGTAACTCCACAGACACAATTTACCAAGGTCAAGACTGTAAAAACCAAGGTATTGTCTTCATATTTAAGTAATATATTTATATCCAAACATCTACATTCTCATTACGTTCATTGTTTGTTTGTTTTTGTGTTTTATTTCTATACCACTGTTTAATACAACTCGCGTTGCCCAAAGTGCTTCAGAATCATAAGCTGAAACACCAAAAAAGATAGCAGTAATAGACATATATACATCACATAGACAATAACCCAATTAAGAAAGCTCTCCATAAGAATTTAAAAGATGTTGTTTTAGCATAGCTTTGAACATGTTTAAGGATTTGGCAGATCGAACAGATTGAGGAGGTCATTACACAATTTAGGGCCAGCTTGAGAAAAGGCCTTTGTGTTTCTATTTTGTCTTGGTTGTGCAAAGCAATTGTTTATTTTCTGATCTCAAGGATCTAGCGGGGATGTAGATTGACACCAAACCGGACAAATACACTGGAGCCAAATTGTGCAAGGCCTTAAAAACAAGTATGAGAATTTTGTAAATAATGGTAATCGTACTGGCAGCCACTTTAATGAAAATAATAAAGGAGTTGCATAATCATATTTCTTTGCTGACTTTATCATCTTTGCTGCAGCATTTTGGATTTTCTGTAAACGCAGAAGTGCTCGAGCATCATCTCCGTAGCAAGGCGAATTGCAATAATCCGTTCTAGTGAAGACAATGGACGTAATTGCTTTCTCAAAATCTGAACTAGACAGAAATGGTTTAGTCTTAGCTAACAGACGTAGATTAAGAAAACAAGATCTCACCACAGAACTACAGTGAGGAAAAGAAGTATTTGAAAACCCTGCTATTTTGCAAGTTCTCTCACTTAGAAATCATGGAGGGGTCTGAAATTGTCATCATAGGTGCATGTTCACTGTGAGAGACATTATCTAAATAAAAAAAAATCCAGAAATGACAATGTATGATTTTTTTTTATCATCTCCACGCATTTATCTGCACAAACAGAATTAAACCGTTCCAACAACTCATCCCAACACTTAAATTCATCAAATATGTTTAATATAAGATAGATTCACCATCATCTTTAAATAGAGCAGAGAACTCAGCACTAGTAGAGGAATTGAGTCCTCACATCCCCTGCACAGCCTGGAACATAACGTTTGTTTCCATGATCTGCCATTTTCCCTATGATCCTAGCTTGTTTCTTCACCTGCAGAACATCAGATGATTCGGCTGTGCAGTTTCGCCTGGCATTGAACATGGGCTGGCATGCACATTTTGGAGGCGTACAAATTAATGATCTCGACTGTTGCGTCACAGTCGGTGTTATGTGGAGATTCAGTGGAGATTTTTCAGGGGTGTTTTTCAAAAACGAGATTCAAATAAGAAGGAGAAAACAATGGTGTTTGAGACTCACTGTATGTCATGTCCATGTACTGAACTCTTGTTATTTAACTATGCCAAGATAAATTCAATTTCAAATTCTAGGGCACCTTTAAGGTAAGACTATATCTAACCAGAGGTTACGACCACTACCATAAAATCAAGCTGATCATATGAACTACTTTTAATGGTAACTTTGTATAATTATGGCATGGTTTGCCACGTACACATAGTAAGAATAATACTTCGAATAATAATCAGAGGTTGAGGCTCACCCATTTAGATTGGAACGGAAAACCCATTATTAGCCTCTACAGTCTATATACAGTACATGACTAATGCCAATGTGTTAGTCAGATCTCTAAAACTTCTCTAAAACAAATGGCAGTATGTGTTTGTGTTGTCCACATCTAGTTCTGTTTGTCTTACACTGTCATAATACTTTTGTTTCAGACACAAACCATCAGCTCATCTCGGAAACTGAGGAGGCGACTGCCAGCACCTCCAGTACAAGGTAAGAGCTTATCAGAACCTATACTGATCATTGAAATATTTGAAAGATGTTGCCTTTTTAATTAATAGTGAAAAGTCTAATTCTTATTTGAACATTTTTTCCATTGGATTATATTCTAAGGATTCAAAGCAGACATCTGATGTTGTCAATGATTTGAATCTCCCATTTTATATGTAAATTTCAGATAAAGAAGTATAAAGAGGATAGAAGGAGACATCGGCAAGCATCATCGCAAAGTTAAATAACTAAAAATGTGCCTTGAAGCTCATGGGTCATAGAAAAGATTTTATGAACTCAAGCTGTGGTGGGATAGATTCAAATGACTGATGTATCGCTCATGCAGTGATGCCATATTACACAAACACATTGCTCTTAGATCAGGTTGCTTTATTACCTCTCTCTCATCCATACTAGTGTCTGAATTATTTTAAAATAGTTACTGAAATGTAATAACTAAGTAAATGTAAGATATAAAATTATGATGTGGAGCTTTGTTTTGGCATTTTGACCATTACTGTGAATCAAACTCATCATTCAATTAAACTTTTAATAATAATAATAATAATAATAATAATAATAAATCCTGTTACAGAAAGTATGCGAAAATCTAAGAATGTTTGTAACAAAATTGTAGCCATTGACTTCCATTCTATGGTCACTTTTCTTAAAATAACATCTTTTATGTTCCACAGATGAAAGAAATAACTATATAGATGTATATAATAGCTGCGTCTGAAATCGCATACTCTCTTGTGTAGGTCCTCATTTTAAAATGTAAAAAGTAAATATGTACTGACCTCTAACAAAGTACATTCTATGTAGTATAAATGTTTGCTGTGTGAATGTAATCTGGATGTAATACATTCATCATGTTGTCATTATCATGTGACCTACCCCTCATGGGATAGTAAAGCGTCCACCGTATGCACACTTCAGAAGAAGCTTGTCATCTGGGTATTCTTTGCCTGAGTACTGTTTTTCACCTCCTATATAGTATGGGAGTATGCGATTTTAGATGCAGCCAATGTTTTGCACATCTGACCAAATATTTCCTGCATTCATCTTTTTTTAAACATGATTTCTCTGAGATTTATAGATTATTCCAGCCATGTGTCAGCTATATGAATCACAGTCACTTTAAACTTTATATTTGCTCATACTGTAAATGTATGGTGTTAGATTTGATAATAGATTTACATGCTATTGTAAAAACATTGATTTATTGTATATGTGTAAATTAATAAATTGAATTTTTTAGTTTGATTATATTTCAATTGTAGTAAATATTATTTGTTAACAGATTTTTGTCGGTGTCATTCCAATTACATAACCTAAGCAATTTTATGGTGTTTACCTACTGTAATCATTGTTGTTGAGATCTATATTTCAGTTGTTCAGGGTAAAATATACCAATCAAAATACATATTTCAAAGCAGACAGATATTATGAGGAGGACTGAGGGACGTTAATGATCCAATACCTTGGATGGGCATGTTTATTAAGAGTGCTTATGTGCGTTTTCTTTGTGTTTGATCACTATTGTATCTCAGTGTTTCTCTGATACACTGTAAAAATATTTAAATCAAGAAAATATCCACATGAATTTGGATTTAATGGATCAGTTACACACGAGTACAAAGGTATAATGTTGCAGAAATACATATATCATTCAGGCTTCTATGAGGTGTTTGCAATACACAGGCTTTAACGACCCATCTGGTTTGAAGAGGGTAATCTGGTCAAGAAGTGGCCCTTTACAGAGAAATGAAAAGCTCATATGTGAGCACTGCAATTCCACTGGGTTGGAAAAATGTTTATGTGTCCACATTGTTGATATTGCACTTTGGTGTGATGGTACAATAGATCTCTCACATTTGTAGCACTCCCTGCTATGAGGTCAAACAAATACCACATTTATCCCAGCAGACAGTGCAACTTCCTCTCAAAAACAGAGGAACTAATTCATAAACCACTGAATTGACATTAGCGGCGTTCCACGATGAGAAAACGTTCTCTTTGGTCAGCTACAATAAATCCTTCCCTCTGGTCCGTCAGAAACAAGCTCTCTCTTCTGTCTGACACAAGAAAACTGTCTCTAGGGTTCATCATGATGAAACCTTCTTTGTCTTGTCCCATTGCCTCTACCTCGGCATATGATGGATGTCCTGAACCACGTCGAAATATCATGGCAGGCCAGTGTGTTGGTCGTCTCTGGATATCAAGAAAAAATTACAACATTTTCAAAGAATAGAAAGTTCAAAAGAACATTGTAAATTTCCACTAGCTGAATAAGCTTTAGTTACTTAAAGCTCACCTCTATGAAGAAGAGACTGGCGCTGGAGGTGGGATGGTAGTACAGGTATATAGTGGCCAACACAGCGATCACCATGAGGACCATGGTTATGAGGATGCCAATGAGCAGACCAGTCTGCATCTTCTCCTCTCTCTGTTTCTCTGTAATTTCCATCTGAGAGTCTGCGAGAGAAGAGGATATTTACACCTACTTGTAAAGAACAACAATCACAACTACATCTTTACATTTTCCCAAAGAAATGTGAGTGGCACATGCCAAAATGCCACAATGTCAGGGTGTTCAGGGCTTTGCTGTGGTATTTGAGTGTTTGCATTAAGGCTTAAAGGGATAGTTCACCCAAAAATGAAAATTTCACCCTCATGTTGTTCCAACCCTGTAAGACCTTTATTCATCTTCGGAACACAAATTAAGACATTTTTGGTGAAATCTGAGAGCTCGGTCGCTCCTCCTTAGGCTTCTGAAGGGATTGAAACTTGTTCCCCGAAAAGTTATTAAAGACATTGTTAAAATAGTCCGAATTGACTGCAGTGGCTCAATCTTAAAGGAGAACTCCGGCGAACAATGAACCTTTGGTCTAATAAAACATCGGTACATAGTCAACCGTTCTCTGAGATTTGTTTTCATGATAATCGAATGTAAAGTGTTTTATCTCTAAAAACTGTTTAGCGTATAATGCTAGTAATGGGGGTATAATGCTAGTAATGGGATCGACTTATCGAGACTATTTTTTAAGATGGCCCCTGTCTGTATACACGAAGTGAACTGTCTTCATAAAGTTTCTTCTTATTAAATGGTCTGTACACTTACAAAGTTCTCAATGCTTCGTTTTGCATGTAGGGACCCTCATTATGTTTCTGTGTTAGTGTGGGGCTATTTTGAGCCTTGTTAGTGGTATAAAGTAGCGATTTCTTTTTACTTAGTCAATGCCCCCATTACTAGCATTATACGCTAAACAGTTTTTAGAGATCAAACTCTTTACATTCGATTATCATGAAAACAAGTCTCAGAGAACGGTTGACTAGGTACCGATGTTTTATTAGACCAAAGCTTCATTGTTCGCCGGAGTTCTCCTTTAATTTCATCAAGCGACGAGAATACTTTTTGTGTGCGAAAAAATCCCCCGACTTTATTCAACTATTAATTTCCTTCTCTTTGGGCCTTGAGTGAGATCACTAGTGTAACAGCTTAAGCTTCTGTTGTTGTACGTCACATGCATCACACACATGACCAGCGTCGGTCAAAAGTGAGCGTACGTGTGGCGTAGACCTACGCTATCACACTATGTTAACTGACTGGAGGCTCACAGAGAAGGAAATGAATAGTTGAAAGCAAGTCGTTATTTCTGTTTGTTTTTGCGCTCAAAAAGTATTCTCGTCGCTTGATAAACTTAAGATTGAGCCACTGTAGTCACTTGGACTATTTTAACGATGTCTTTAATAACTTTTTGGGCCCGGCAAGTTTCAATCCCTTTGAAGCCTTTGGAGGAGTGATCCAGCTCTCAGATTTAATCAAAAATATCTTAATTTGTGTTCCGAAGATGAACAAAGGTCTTACGGGGTTGGAACAACATGAGAGTGAGCAAAAAACTGACAGAATTTTCATTTTTGGGTGAACTATCCCTTTAAGACCGTTCACCCAAAATAAACTGACTGACTTCATAAAATAAGATATTTTTTTGAATTGTGTGTGTGTTTTTATCAATAACCTATAAGTCATTGATTGCAGCACCAAATCATTTTGGTTACCAACATTCTTCAAAATATCTTCATGTTCCACAAAATAAAGTGTCATGATTCTACCATCTAGTCATTGTCTTTCTTTAAGTCTTGAAGCAGAATCATGACAGACCCATGTTTTGTGTGCAAGCACATGGCCTTGTGTTTGGGCTGTGTGCTTGTGTTGTCTTCTTCCCTTGCCCCGCCTTCATAGTTATCCTTGTTGTTTTGTCCTTATTACCTAATCAGTATCACCTGTTGTCATTATTAGTTTCTCCCTATTTCATCCGCTTGTGTTTGCTGTCATGTGCTGGTTCATTGTCATACATTGTGCGAGTACTCTGTCTTGTATAGTTTTCGCTCTTATATTTGCTGTCTGTTATAGTCTAGTTTTTAGTCTAGTTTAGTCATCACTCGGTCGTCTTGCCTTTGTTTTGCCCCATTGTGGGTTTTGTTTTCCCCTGTTTTCTGTTATCAATAATCATTGTGTAATTGCATGCCGTCCGCGCTTGCCGCTTGGGTTCATCTGATATCTTCAACAAAGTACAGATTTTGAACAATTTTAGGGTGAGTAAATGATTCCTTTTCTTAAACTGTAACATGGTGAAAAAAACTTCTTAAAGGCTGTGGAAGCAATTGAATATGTTTTATGTGTTTGCATTTAATTATATTAATAGAATCTTAGAAATATGATGGCAATTAGATTAATGTATTGTCGATACATCCTGACAAAAGTTAATGTGTGACTAAGTGTATGACTGAGACGGAGGGTCTCCATTCAAGAATACATACCATCAGTGAGAAGGCTGGTAGGAAGGTTTCTTATGAATAAGGGTGTGCTGGTGATTTTGGTGGTGAGCGAGGAGGCTGATGTGGTTGACGTTGTAGTTATAGATACAGCTGTTTCTCCTGTCTGCACAGCTGGAGTGCTGCTCTTAACGAAGGGCCGTTTTCTGTCACAGCTCTGGTTTTTTATCTTAAAATACATCCACAAGTCAGTAAGATGAGATGGTAGACTGTAAAAGAGGTACGAAAGAGGATCTATTCACCTCACTTAAGCAGCCACTGTCAACCCAGTCTTGACGATACTGGTCAAAACCATTGGAGCATCTGCAGAACAAGCATTATTTGCAGCTGTTGAGTAAATGTAGAGTTGGAGCACACCGCACTTTATCTATGAGGTTGTTCACATCAAAAATACAAGTGAACCAAGTGTATACCTCTGTAGGCGACTACACCAGCTACAGTTGAAACCGATCTGAGCCGTAACGCACGTCTCACAGCTGGAGAACTGAAGGCAGGCTGAAAACAGGTGGAGCAACAGAGCACCATTTTAACAAAGATGTGGGTACAACTTCCTGCTTTCTCACAATATGTGATTAACTGTACTGAACGTCAAACAGAATTGGTCTTAGTTCTAGGGAAAAATATTTACTAAAATTTCTAAGCACCGCTGTTTTCTGTGGATGTGATGTATTTGTGCTAAGCTGAATCTAATTGTTCAGACTCACTCGGTAGAGGAAGCATCTCAATAGCAGTGACGGTCATAATCTTGGATTTTAAGAGCTCTACCCGATGATATTCATATATTGTTCTCCTTCTAACATCTGTAATGAAAAAAAGACAATGGAAGGACAGTATTGTTATTGTTAACTAAAACTATTAAAAAAAGCTTTCCTGTAGCTCAAACAGTAGAGCGTTGGTGCTTGCAACGCCAAGGTCACGAAAAAATGTAAAATGTAAAAATCATGCTCATTATTTAAAAAAAAGCTAAAATAAAATAAAAATATTTCATGAATAACTTGGTAACACTACAATAAGGTCCCATTAGTTAACATTAGTTGGTGCATTAACTGACAGTGAGCAATGCATTTGTTACCTAATTTGTTAATTCATCTTTATGTTAGTTGATTTATGTCCAGACAACTCTCAGAGTGTTTGTTATGGTACTGGGTATGACAATTTAGATACATTTGGTCTTGGCGGTGTGAATAGATCTGGTATCCTCCTGCTGCTGAGCCAGTACAGGACCTGCTATTGCCAATACATGCACGACACTCAGCTGTGAGCAAGTAAGACATGCTGCTGTACAATATAGCATACATTAATTACCCAGTAGATTAATACAGGTGGAGCTGGGGAAGGTGGAGGGTTTCTGTAAGCGCGCTGCACTGATAAGGCAAATGCTAACCAAGTAAGGTTGAGCACACAAGCTCATTGGCTACTGATACAGCAGGAACCAATCAGCTGTGCCCTGTAGAGAATAATGTGACTGCAAGCGGATTGAGTTATAGACTAGCCTGCGGTATCTAGAGTTTAATTTTAACTTCGTATTAAAAGAATACAACCCTTCATTGTTAGTTAGTTCCTATTTTTTACAGTCTATGGTTAGTTCATGTTATAGCTCAGGTCCATTAAGATGAAGTACTAAAATTGCTAAAAATAAAATAAATCAAAGCTAAATTGAAAACCAATACAAATGATAAAAGCACATACAATAAAAATTCTAATAAAAACTGAAACATAAAAAAATAAAAGGTAATTCAAAATATGAATAAACACTGTGATTGTGTATAGTGAATTTAGACTCAACAGGTATATATATATAAAAAAATCTGCAAAGAGAATTACTTACTGGGAAGCTGTTCGATGTTATGAAGAACCACAAATGCATCAGAAAGCCCGACTTTCACTGGATGATTCACTGAGCTGATCTTACTAATGTCAATGGGAACCTAAAAGCAGGTGAAAGCCGACAATCAGACCTACATCAACACCATTACAGTGATGGCAGCTGCAAGTAAAAACCAAGAAGTATCTAAAATAAATAAATAAATCAACCTCTTTATACGCAAAGGTGATTCTTCCACCGTTGTATAAAGCTGCCTGGAAGGTGAAACTGCCGAGATGTGATGCGTCCTGGAGATACACATGGTCCCACTGCACAACAAGAGCTGTGGCTAACAGATAGGAAGTAGATTAATAATACAGCCATTTAAATATATCACATTCAACAATGCAAATCAGGACATTTATAAAAAAAAATTGTCTGTTCCATTTTTACCATTATCACAGTACATGACTGTTGAATTCTGTGAGATGCTGAGGTCAAAATTAGCCATGAGTGGAGCGATGTACTGAGTAGAAGTCAGCATTTTGTGGATAACATCTCCAGTGTAGATGAAACCTGAATAAAAAAGTATAAATGTATATACTATCATTCAAAGGTTTTGGGGTCAATAAGTTTAGTTTATTATTTTATTTAATTTTTTTTTACAATAAAGCTACTTTGATTCAGCAAGGATTAATCAAAAGTGGTAGTAAAGACATTTATATTTCAAATAAACTTTCCATTCAACTAAGAATGATGTATCAAAGTTATATTTTAATAAGCAGCCCAACTGTTTTCAACATTAAAAATAACAAGAAATGTTTCTTGAGCACAAAATCAGCATATTAGAATGATTTCTGAAGGGTGATGTGACTGCTTTGCCATCCCAGGAATAAATTGCATATTAAAACATTATAGTGCACCACATTGTTTTACTGTATTTTTAATTAAATAAAAAGATGTATATAAAATATATTTGAGAATAATATTCAAATAAAATATAAATTACTAATTTGTTTTGCACTTACCCCCTGTTGCTACATGTATTTGCCTCAATGAATGTCCATAGAAAAGGAAATTGAAGGACAAATTCACTGTCTATAAAAAAACAACAAAAAAACAACACACAACTCAACTAAATTTCATCATGTGCACAAAAATGTGTAACGGTTACAAAAATTACCTTTAAGAAAACTTTGTAGCTGACGTACCAAAGTTTGTCGATGTGTGTCGGAGAGAATTTTATGAACTCTTCCCATTTGCTCAATATTTACCCACAAATCCTTGCCTGCACTGTCTGTGGGCCCATAGAATTTGGATGTGTAGTAGACATGATCCGTGTCTCTCTGGTGAGCAAATACACACGTTACTTCAGATGAATATGACAAAATGTATATATGAGACATTCCTGGATGTTCACCTTAACGGATAAGTTGCTGTCATTTGTCACAACTTCAGGAAAGCGCTCTGAATCTAATCTGCCGTGCTCTTCATAGCGCTCCAGACTGATCTCGCCCACCGGTTTGGATGAGAGCATCCATCTCTTCCATCTTCTATTGTAAAGCTTGAGCTTTACACCAGCACTCTCTTGCTTGGAGTGCCTCTCAAAGGTGAAGTTAGAAACACCTGATGAATTAAGAAGATTCACGTTTTAAGTGATTCATTAATAAACTAAATGCATGCAATTTGTTCTCTCAATCCAAATGAACATAAATGTTTATGTTTCACATAAAACCGAAGATAACATACTTTCAGCTGTTTTGATAACCGAATAATGTAACATTGACAAGGATTTTAAGCAGCTGTGGGACTGCAAATGACCTGCAATGCAAATAAACACAGTTCCTCACATCCTGCAGTGACAGGAGTGTGTCCAAAGTACTTCTTTCACAGAAGAGGGTGAAACATGCTCTGAATTCCTCATAGTGCTGGACAGGTGGAGTGTGAGGGCAGGGCAGTGTTTTGACTGGAGCGACGCACAGTTCGTTCCAGTGTCCTTTTCATTTGAATTCTGCCAACATTATTACTTTACCTCAAGCACAAAGGTGCTTTCCTTTTTTTTTCTCTCTTTGGCATTTTGACAAGTCCTCTGGTCTATCACATGCTGACAGATCAGTGAGCATGCATGTGGCAAAAATGGTCTTCATGACCAGAAGCTACTAGATGAGTAAAGATATGAAGATAAAGATCAATTATTACAGTTACACTGGTTAATGACTGAGCTGGGCAATTTGAGTCTTTTACCACTGGCTTCACGGACAATGCTTAAAGTCCCAGACTAAAATGCATGTTTGAGCTGTTTTAACTGAAAGCAACGTACACTGACATATCTTAAAATAGGGCAATGTTTTTTTATAATGCACATTTATAAATGTTTTACTTCAATTTCCTAATTGAACTAAGGCCTAATCCTGACTTAATCTAAAGCCTGTCTGTGAAACCAGGCTGTTTTACTTCTACTTGAGAACAACAGCCAATGCTTCTTAGATGATTTATGGGCCAAATCATTTTTTTTTTTTTTGTCTGGATCTCACAAATATTTTGAAAATCCAAGTCATAGTCAATGACTTGAATATGACTACTGTGTGATAAAAACAAAAATATATTTACAAAAATGTTTTTATAAAATATATACAATATTTTTGTATAAATAATTGTTTTTATCTGATTAATTGTTAAAATGAATTTATTAAAAAATGATACAATACAATATAGCTAGGCCTACTATAAAAACAAAAGTGTATTGGTTAGATGGTCTGTATGGAGAAGATACTTTACTTTTTATCTTCTAGGCTAAATCATTGTAGTTTTATTAATAGAGTTGAATGCAATGTACTGTAACGTTTCGATTAAATATTTAAAAAATATATTTTTTGAAAGCCACAGAATAATATTTGTGGAGATTTAACACATGAAAATTAATGTAACAAAAATCAGCTGTAGGCTATAGGCCACTTTTCGTCCCCACAGCCTACGTGAAGTGAGGATATTATTTTTAAATTCAGATTTAAGTTGACTACATTAAATAACTGTTATTCCGTAGGCTATTTTAGACGACTGAACGAAAACATGCCAAATAAATGAATGACTTACCATTGGATGGCAATTCCTGAATGGAAAATTTAACCTGAATTAAGGCAAATATTCCTAAGAAAATATGTGGTCTTGCCGGTAATGCCATGACCAATTACATTAAAATTGTCTTTGTAGAATAATATCGAGGGAGAAGAAGCCAAGTACGGTGTTGAACTGCACGTTCAGCTCCGAACACACCCACGCGAGACTGTCAGTGACGTGCGTAGCCTATGAGAAGTTCAATAAATAAGCCATTATGGTCCAGAGAGGTTCGAACAGCTGGGAATTGTCTTCTCCCACAATTTCTTAATGTATGCTAATTTTATAAAATCTATGTAGGCTACATTTCTTCTAATTGCGCAGATTCTCATATTTGTCTTTCAGAAAGTTTTGGAATATTTTGCCTCTCCCCAAATTTGTCATTAGCCTACCGAAAAACTATAATAGTTTGACCTCTCAAATTTAATCAAAAAATATCTTCATTTGGGTTCCGAAGATGAACTTAATTTTCAGTTTTTCAATATTCATGTAGTTTTCACACAAATGAATCATTTAAAACTTAATGAAAATTTACTTTATATTAGGTTGATTGAATGAACACAATTCAATTGAATTGTAAAAAAAAAATTATAATAATTAAATTGAACAAGGCGCAAACATTTATTTTTACCATTAAGCACAGAACAGAATTGTAAATATAGTATTCAACCACATTGCACATGTCACGGAGTCAACAATGTCCCTTGATTGTGAACCGCAGACTTTGTGTCAGCATAAACAGAGCCATAATAAGCAGTGGATTAGCAATGTTTTAAACAGAGACATCACTGGCATACAAATCAGCTTCCACCTTTTACTTTCATTTATCTGGGCACTTAAAACGGATGTGTTTCATCCTTCCTTGTGGGCCTACTTGTAAGTGTATGGATGAATGTGGTTATGTGAGAGTGTGTGTGCTTGTTTGAAAGGCAGACAGAGGGAGAGTTGGCTTACAGTGAGGATACTGTTTCCTATGAGAAATGAGTGGATTAGGTGAGTGTGAAATGTCTCATAGGGCTGAGAGGATTCTCTGGCCCATATGTTTGGAAAAGTCAAACAGCCCTCTCTCCGAATGATGTTAGGTCAACTCAAGATTAAGGGGTTTAAAAAGTGAAATATCAGGCATAGCCTTTTCCATCCAAATCCAATTCTTTTTTGTTTTAGGTGAAATCTAAATTGTCTGGTTTCATGGGTCAAACCTCATTTCAAGTACAGTAGATAAGAAAGTTCTTGTAATCTGCCTAAACTAAACGAAGAAAGCAGTCACGATGTGATGTCATAATACAAAGCTGCAGTAGAAAAAAAGCCTTGGGTGAACTGATAATATTTTCAGTCTTATAAAGTGAATTTAAACAAAGCAAAAGTTGGGTTCCTGACACTCTATAACGTTATTTGCACAGAAGTAGTAGCCTACATCTCTTCAACATATTTCAGTGCAATGTTGTTATCCAAGTAGGATGTAAATTTGTAAATTAAAAAAAAAGAATAAAAATAGAGTTAAAAATAAATGAAAACACCTTTGAAATGGCACTGTGGCATGCAAGCGTCACATGCTAAGCCTGTATTTGCATGACAGATATATAATTATATAATCTAGATTACTTACTGTATATAAATGTTATTAAATAGTAGGCTACTTGAGATTGTAAGAAACATATATAGCCAATGCATCATTTTACTGTATTTCCAGTACATGGTGTCAACTCTTTCCAGTACAAGGTGCTGTGTTTGGCAATGATTCAGTCATTCGGCTACTGGTATACCAAATGGTTGTGTGAATAGCTGCATTTAGTGAGGAGGATTCCATTTTGTTTTTCAATATAATGGGAATATGGATGTGGCATAAAGATGACATGCAATATATTTATTTCTATGTGAGTTTGTGATTGCTCATTTTATGTGAAATATTCGTCATTTCCATTTGTTGAAAGTGAAATATTGTGACTGGAGCTGCCGTTCTCTGCTGTGGTTGTTAAACCCTGGCAAAAACAAGCATATAAAACCTTAAAGATAAATTCTTACAACATTATATGCATGTCATTTAGAAAAAAATACTCACATTCATGTTGCAGTCAAAGGGGCCATAAGAAGAGTTACTAAGCACGTCATCTTCAAGTATAGATTGCCTGTAAAGATATAAATCATGTCTGTCCTCTTTTCTTTTTTTTGTCATTAAATTGTAATGAATTGAGCAGTACATACCTTTTTCTTTTTTTATTCAGCACAAAAAGGACAACACCTACAGTAAATATCACCACAAGCGTCACTCCCACTCCAACACCAATACCTACAGCTGAACAAACCAACAAATGTTTTTGTATAAGAAAATGCAAAGCTTCAGAATTTGACAAGCAATACAAACGAATTAATTGTCTCAAATTTACTTTGGTCAAATGTTGGTCAATATTTGAGTTTTCATATGAGCATTGAATTATAGACTTGGTTTGGATTGATAATGAAAAGCATGAACTGGTCCAATATATATATATATATATATATATATATATATATGAAGAGTTCAGATGCAAAAGCCTCTAAATGCCATTTGAAATTTTCTTCTAAAATGACAATTTTTATCAAGCTTGTATATTTAAGTTCAGTAATTTCATTTAAATGACAATTAATAGGTAATCTTCATTGCCATTTAAATGAAATTACTGAACTTAAATATACAAGCTTGATAAAAATGATCATTTTAGAAGAAAATTTGAAATGGCACTTAGAGGATTTTGCATCTGAACTCTTCATATACACAGGTATATTGGACCAGTTCATACTTCCCTGAATGAGGAAATCATGCATTTGAGTTCTCAATTGAGCAGCCATTTTGAGAGTTTGATTATCATTTGACCATTAGATTTAAAGGGTTACTTCACCCAAAAATTAAAATGATGTCATTATTGCCAAAATTTCTAACTAACCCATTGATATCACATGGACTACTTTGATGTCTCTATTTCCTTTCTGGACAAGGACAGTAAACTGTGTATACATTTTCACTGGAGCGACAGAAACCTCTCTGACTAAATCTAAAATATCTTAAACTGTGTTCTGAAGATAAACGGAGGTCTTATGGGCTTGGAACGACACGGGGGTGAGTGATTAATGACATAATTTTCATTTTTGGGTGAACTAACCATTTAACATTCAAGCTGCTGTTTTGTGAAATGTATCAATGTCTTGTTTGAAATACAAATATCACAACTTTCGATTTGAGGAACAGAAATCATGATGGGCTTCTATATTTTTGTGATGAGTGCAGGTGATCATATGAGCAGATGAGATAATGCTGAGAAAATAAGTTAAAATCATTCCTTGGCCAGTTTAAAAAAAAATAAAAAATCTTGACCAGAATTAAGTGTAACGTCAGTTCTGGCAGATCACGTTAGTCAAGCTTGCATCAGCTGACTCTCAGATGATCCACGTCTAACTACGTATAGGAATACGACACCTATCACTGTATACACATATAAGCTCCTTCAGTATTATCAGCAGCTATTGCGTAAGGAGCTAATTACCCTCCTCCATCCCCAGCTCCTCCTCTTGTCCAGTCAGGATTTAGCATTCTGATTCCCCTTGAATCAAAATTCTTGAATTATTTTGTAGTTTACCCTAAGGGGGGTTATTACTGCTCTCTCTGCTCTTTTCCATGCTAGGATGCATGGATGCGCAGGGAGTTCTCGCCCAGAATGGAACCGTACTGCCGATTCAAACTGTATGCTAATTGTCAATCGTATTTGACGCTAGTGGTCCTGACAGAAATGAGAATCATTCTCAATTCGCCCTCCATATGCAGGTGTAGGGTGTGGGAGACGTATATAAGACTGGCAGGTATTAATTAATCACTTACTGTCACTAGAGTGTGGAAGAGGTGAGGTGTCATCTGAGTCACATGGCCCGGGAACAATGTGAGCATCATCAATAGCTATACTTCCTTTCGAACCTTCTCCCTTCAGGTATTCAAATATAAACTATGTCGAGAGTAGGAGAAAATGTAGTACAAATGTTTTATGGTTTTGCTTTGAGTAAATCTTAAAATGATTCCCATTGATTCTGTGAATTCTGCATGATAGAGTTTGATACCCAGAAAGGTTCCCGGTATGACACGTAGATCTTGCCTGTCCTCCACACGTCACCCTGATCTCCTGACTCCACCCATACTATCTGGCCAAGCTTATTCCCACTGTTATGGATGGTCCTAGGAAAGAGTCTCAATGAATTGTGATGCAAGTTCATACACACAGAAAGTGGGGTTTTTTTTTTTTGGTCACGGTTCTATACCTGTTATTGACATATAATTTGAGCGTCCCAACTTTGTGTCCATACATATGATACCAGAATGTGAAGCAGTGTCCCCTGCTGTCAGGTGTGAATATCTCACTCAGGATCATGGCAGTCTCTCCCCAGAATCCCACAGAACTGTCCATATAAAGGTAATAACCTACAGGGACAAGAGCATCAAAGAACCTGTTTACACCTTAAATGAAAAGGTGACCACTTATGACATTTTTATCCGATTTCATCACTAAATTACTCTCTTATTTAGTGTGTTATTGTGTGTTGATAGCCTGTTTTTTCCCAGATTTTGTTTAATCCCTGGGAATCAAATCTGCTGAATCAATTACTAAAAGACTCATTTGTTCATTAAAGGTGCAGTAAGCGATTTCTGAGAAACGCTGTTGATATTTGAAATCACCAAAACAAACATACCCCAACCAAAAATGATCACACCTCTATCTTGATAGCTCCGCTCCCAAAAATTAACAAACAGGGTATGCAACGCAGGCAACTCCCGCCTCATGAGTGGACCCGCCCCTTACTGCTGATTGGCTTCAAGTGTGTTTTCGTGCTCGTTCTCATCCACTTCCAACAGCGTTTCTCAGGAATCGCTTTTACTGCACCTTTAATTAATTCAGATACCTTTTCTCTTGGTTACATTGTTGCCAGTATGTAGGTCGCAACAAATGAATCACTCATTCAATTATTCACTCAACCGATACATTAAAAATACCTAATTATTTACATCCAAAACAAGTCTTAATATCCTCATTTAAAGTTTGTGTGCTTCAAATCTACAAAGAGACTCTAGAAAGGATATTGTGTTTTCCAAATTGTTTATGAATTAAACTCATTTTAACCCACAAATACATTGTTTTTCAAGCCCAATTCTCTTGATTGACAGGTGAGCAGGCTTCCCTTAACTGTTGTCCAGATTCACAATTTACAACAAAAGCAATGAGGTCAAGTGCATTTGATGACCTCTAAATAGTTGGAACAACTGAATCACAAAACATTTTGGAACCCATTGTAAGCAATAATCTAGCAGCTGAAAAATATAACTGCATGTTTTGCATAAGAACATTATTTTAGTTGTTTCATTGTGACAACAATGATAGATGATGTGTATAGATATTAGAATTACGTATGCAATCCAATCCCACAAAAATGTATCCCAAGTCTCGACAGCTCAAAAAAGTAAAAGTAAAAAGTAGTTTTTCAAAGAATGGTTGGGTAAAAGGAAGACAATGGATATGATTGGATCACCCAAAACAGATCACAATACAAGTAAACAGGGTTATGTGCCTGAAGCCTAAAACCGAATTCAGAAAGTCACAGAAAAGGAATAGTGCATTCTACGGTACCACACTCCCTCTACGCAGAGAATGCGAGATTGGGAATTGGAAAGTAAAAAGCAAGCGTGCAATCAAAAGGGATTTCATAACCTGCACATTGATGGTGGCTCTCTGATGCCCGCAAATTGTATATACAATATAATTATTACCCACTATATAATTGCAAGAGAATGCAAAAACATTGAAATATTTTTTTTTTCTCATATCCCTTCATGTGCTCCACAGAATGCGTCATTTTCATTTCCAAACATTATATTCAGTATATACTTCCTTCATGAACAAATTCTTTGTAGCATTTTAATGAAGCTCCGTGAACTCCTTCAGCTCACCTGTGGAAGTGTTGGTGGTGTGGTCCACACTGGGTCGTGTGTTATTTCCAGTACGTGCCTGGGCTCTGAGCCAGTCTGTATCATCCACCTCTCTTAGATTCATCCAGCTGCAGAAGTTTGCTTCAAAGTCACATTGTCCTGAAGGAGTGCAGGGATAGTTTGAAAGCTGAACATCATCGAGTGCTATGACTCCCTGTTCAGTCTGGCCTGCAATCCCCTCCACCACAATCTGAAAAGACAGCTGTATTAATGAGGACACAGTTCCACATCATTAAACTCAAGGGTACAAACTATAACTTGTGGCAGGGTTTTTAGGCCATTGCTTGCAATAATATGAGATTTTAATTTTTAAAAATAATGTGCTGGACGTTTTAATCAGTCACCCGATGCAATGCTGACTCAGGTACTCACTCTGTAGTTTGACTCTGAGAGGGTTAGAGGGGTCTGGGCAAACCTCCACATTCCTCCCTGTTCTCCAGACTTGGTCACCAGCAGGGGCCAATCTTTATCTGAGAACTGTTGATACACATTTAGAGTCCCAGTGCCCGGTCCCTCCATGTAATACCATAGCTGGAGACACTTGGCATCACCTGGAATGAAGATTATGACTTCTCATTAGAGTATTCTATAGTTTACATATCACAGTTAAAGGAAAGATACACAGCTTTCTCTCACCTGTTTGAAGCAGAGGAGATGTCATTATAGCTTTATGTCCTTGCACATGGGTAGATGCACTTTCCATATAAAAGTAGGATCCACTCGCTGCGTTGGTTGTATGGTCGAAACCAGGTCTAGATTTAGATTTTACATTATTTTCTGACACTCGGATCCATTCCAGGTCATCATCATCCTGTTGTGTCCAGCCACAATCTCCCTCTTCAAAGTCACAAAGACCCTCTGAAACAAATATTAGCTCGTGATATTCATGAACATTTATTTATCACTATGTAAAGATGCGCTGATATTAAACTTCTATCCAATAATTTTTTTGGGATAATATTAAAGAGAATTATCTGAAAAAAGAACACTAAAACCTAAAAGATTTTTATTCTACAAGTGAATTTAGGCGTTACATTATAATGCGCTATATGTAAAATGGATATTAATTTTGTGAATTGCTAAAGATCTAATTTAACAGAGTTATTTAACTAGTTTTATATACTACTTGTATATTAAACATTTTTTTGTGTTTTTAAAGATTAACTTTAATTGATCCGTAGATTATGGCAAAGGAAATGCAAATGTAAAAATAGGAGAAATTAGTATGTGATTTAAATATTCTATTTTGTCTGTATCAGCTGATAATGAAAATGTCATGAATCTTTATAAAAAAATATTTAATCCACAGTAAATGTTAAAAATGTTATTTTAAATCATCAAATCAAGTTCTACAAAGTATTTTCATTTAAAGTTATACAATAAAGTTTTATGGTCAAGATCCCCTTAATCAAATCACTCCTCTTCCAGGCTCACATTTTTGTTTGGTATATCAAATTGTCTTTGCCATGATTCAAATGCATTCAATTTTGTCACTAAGCTGACAGTTTGATACTGAAGACAGCAACTAGATGGATGAACACAACATTATGTTACAGCTGTGCCAAATGCTTGTGGTGCTCTAATAAGCATGGAGGACAATTCAACAGGGCAATGTGAAAAACAACAGACCAAATACTAAGCTACGTAGGCCAAATACTAAGCTACGAATCAAACTGTATCAAACTGTCAGCTTAGAGACCAAATTTAATGCATTTGATTCATGGCAAAGACAATTTGATATAACATACAAAAATGTGAGCCTGGAGGGGTGATTTGATGAAGGGGATCTTGACCATTGCATTTTATTATATAATTTTAAATGAAAATTCTTTATAGAACTAGATTTGATGAGTAGTGATTTAAAATAACATATTTTTAACATTTACAGTTGATTAAATATTTTGTATAAAGATGCATGACATTTTCATACTAATGTATTAATTACCTGTGGGAGAACAGGGACCCTTAGTGACGGATAAATCGTCTATAGCAATGTGCCCAGACAGACCTCCAACTGAAGCCTCAATTAATACCTGATGAACATCTGTGAGTTTAACATGACTCTGAGCCAACTGCCATTCATTCCTCTGAGACCCTTCCCTTTTCCACATCTACAGTTTTAGAGACAAATACATTAGTCAGTATAAAACAATTTGGATTTCTTGCATGTGACATTCGAAAATGAGTCTTACTAATGTGATGTGGTTGGATGAAATGTCATATATAGACATTCTTAATGATCCCACTGTTGCTCCAAACATGTGATACCAGAACCTGAAGCAATATCCATCAGGTCCAGTAGGGGGCGACAGAGGAGACTTCAAATGAGCCATGTCCCCAGTTCTGCTATGACTTGAGCCCTTGATGTACAAATAATACCCTGTAAAATAACAAAAGACGCATAATTAGGACATAGATGATGATTTATCTGACACGGATAATGTGGAAATGGTTGCTGGCTCACCATTTCCACTGGTGTGGTCCCCCAAAGGGCCTGTATTTGGAATCTCAGTCGACCCGTTCCATCTCTCCCAGTCTAGGTCCTCTGAAGCTCCCTGAACCCACCCACACAAGTCCTTCTCAAAAGAGCATGTGACCAAGGAAAAGTCTGGAGAACAGAAGTGAGACAATCTCATCATCATATGTAGGCTCAGTAGACTTTTATATGTAGGCTTTTTATAATTTTGAACAGTAATATATCGTGAAATATTACTTCAATTGAAAATATTTTTTTTCTATTTTAATTTCTTTTAAAATGTCATTTCTGTGATGGCAAAGCTTTCAGCAGTCATTACTTCAGTTTTCATTGTCTCATGATCTTTCAGAAATCATTCGAACATGCTGATTTGCTGCTCGATACAAATTTCTTATAACTATCAGTTGAAAACATGTCCCAATATTTCACTTTAATCATTTCTAAACTAATGCCATGGTTAGGTAAAATAGGTTAAGCTTGTATTATAGAAGAAACAGGATCATTATGCAGTTCAGATTTGGATGCGTTTCCATCTCATCTAACTTCCAAGCAGCTTCCCCACCTGGAGGTTGGAAGTCCTTCTCACAGTTGTGGAAGGAGACATCATCCAGGGCAGTCATTTGAGTTGTAGGCAGGGAACCTTCCTCTTTGAGTGAGGTCTGGCTGCTAAAAATTAACTTAAATAGGACACAAAGAAAATATGTGCATATTAATGCAGAACACGTGCCTAATAGGTGTATAATTTGAGCAAGGGATCCTAGAGAACTACTCCCTAAAGATCAGACTCATGATAGGTACTTTGTGTTCCATACACATTCACTGTGACATACCCTGTAAGGCTGGTCTTGTTTGCCCAGTGGTAAGTGTTCTGGGACCCACTCAACTGAAGTGCTGCTGGATCGTGACCAGAGCAGCTTCCTGTCCTCTCCCTTCTGCAGGATCACGCTGAGATTTCCTGCACTTCCAGTACCCATGTGGAAGTGAAACCTAGTGCGCAAGACATAGTAAGGACAATTGAGTTCAAGGAACATGGCTAGTGTTGTGTAACGGTATTTGTTAGTTTCACAAAAACAACATTTTACTTCCCTTTAATTTACTCCACATTAAAATGTGGTCATGTCACCAGTTTTGCACAACAAAATTATGAGTGAACTCACAGAAGCTGACAGTAAGCAGAGCTGATAGGCAAGGATGGGCTCTGAAACACAGCCTCGTTCTTAGACGGATCCATAAACGTCTGCATGTAGTGCCCTAGGAGAGGTAAAAAGAAATATGAATCATATTTACTTTGATTTGTTTTTGTCATGGATTGATATAGCATTGAATTACCTGTTCCAGTGGTGTGGTCAGTAGGCAAGTCTGTGTTGTCTGTGGCCTTCACCCATTGCCACTTGTTAGGACCTACACTTATATCACTCCATTGGCACTGTCCATTCTCAAAATTGCATGGACCTAGGAAAACAGACACAGTTAGACTATATTTTATTTGTTACATATTAATTCTGAAGTAAGAAAATAGCAAGAAAATGACTCACCGCAGCTTTCTTCATCCTCCCCTAGAGGGCAGTCTAGGTCATAATTGCACTGAGCACCAGCTACAATGCATGTTACGCCATCTGACCGCCAGCAGTGAAATTCATTCTCCTGAATTTGACAAAGCATGTCAATTTATTACTGAAAAGAATATCTTTCACAGTGATTTTTCTCAAAAAATGAAGAGAGCAGCAAAAATGAGAGTACATACTTTGTACATGCAGCATAGTCAGTGTATGCAAGACAGAAAGTTACAACTGAAATTTTCTGACCTTACAAGGGTTGACTGTTGGTGAAGCTGAAGAAGCATCAGTCATTGATGTAGTTGCTGTAGCTGGTGTCATCGTTGGCTCAGGTGTGACTGGCAGCTCGCTATTCTCCGGATCATGAGCACACGTCCCAGAGAAGGAAATATCATCCACCGCTGTTTGCGATGCATGAGCCTCACCATTTCCCACATATTGGAAAACAATCTGAAAATACAGCCAGTTTTATTTCTTTTGTGTCATCAAGCCATTTCTTTTGTGTCAAGCCATCAAATTATGTAAATGACACATATACTGTAAAAAAAATCTCTGACCTTGCTCTTAACTGAGGTAGAAAAGGTGATTTCTGCTCTGTGCCAGAGGAAGCTCTGTGTCACAGTCTTGTCCCAAAGTATATTGTCATCATCTCCATTACTTAGCGTCCTCAGCGTGACGACTAGCCTAGAGCCAGTGCTATCACCGTGAGAATAGTGGTAGAACCTTACCTGCAAGAACCAGGTGCATCAGTACATATGAAAGAGACTTTGCATTACTTTACACAGTATGGCTATTTGGTTACACTTTATTTCGATAGTCACTTTAGACGTTCTACTAATTATAAGTAACTTTTTAACAACATGTCAAGTAACTGTCATTAGAGTATTAGTATATTATAGTAGACTGTCAGTAGACTGTTAGGTTATGGTTAGGTGTTAGGCTTTGGGTTAGAGAATAAGTTTACTTGTAGTCGCCAAGTTACTTATAGTCAGCTGAATGTCTGTTGGGGGACCAACAAAAAAAAAGTGTTAGCAGATATTAAGCGGACAGTCTACTAATACTCTACTGACAGTTAGTTGACATGTAGTTGAAAAGTTACTCATAGTTAGTAGAAAGTCTAAAGTGGACTATCAAAATAAAGTGTTACCGGCTATTTAATTGTTTTTGATTTCACAGTGTATACATAAAATACAGTAAATAAAAGTACAGTACCCTTACTGTAAGACGTATTCACAGTAACTTACTGGCAACAATTAGCTAGTAAGTAAATACAGCTAAAATTACAGTATTTAATTGTGTTTTTTTATTTCACAGTATAAACATAAAATACTGTAAATGGAAGTACAGTACCCTTACTGTAAAAAGCATTCACAGTAACTTACTGGCTAATTGTTACTGTACATTTTACGGTAATTTTTTTTACAGTGATTTGATCGACACATGACTCACGGTGCAATCAGAGCTGGGCAGCAGCGTGCTGGAGATGATCTCTGCTGTCAGTTCATGTGCTGGAGTTATGAAATGACCTAGAACATGCCACATGTCCTTCAGAAATCATTTGGTGCCTTAAAATGCCTTGACTGTCACTTTTGATCAAATGCATCCTTGATCATAGTGACACAAAACCTTTGAATGTTAGCGTATAGTATGTGTATTATTTTGAGCACCTGCTGCAGTGTTGTGGGTATGGTCTCTTGGTGGTCCATGCTTAGGCCAGGCTTGTTCTCCCTTCTGCAAAATCCAGCCAGCTTCTAAGTCACTCTTCTCCCACGAGCACATTCCCTGCTCGAAACTGCAGCGATGCTTATAACCCTTTACATCTAGACCAACAAAAGACAATATAGGTACTGTCCTGCAGAGTTCATCAGTGCTTTTAAAACTTTGACACTATGAGGCCCTGACAGAAGCATGTTTTTTGATAGCTTATACAGAACGTCATACCACAGAGCTCTTCATCAGAGCCATCACCGCAGTCATCGCTGTAGTCACACACTCTGTTCAGCTCCACACACACATGGTTGGAACATTTGAACATGCCTTCTTGACAAGATTCATGAGGCTCTGGAGGAGAAAAAATTGGATGATGGACTAATGTCTTGGCCCATTAAATAATGATGTGTTAAAGGTGAAAGTGATCTGAGAGCTTTAAAATGGATTTATCAGTCAGAATAAGTTGATGTGTTTGTAACCTGCCTGGCAGAGTGCAGTTTAAAAAGGTAATGTCGTCTATAGCAATGTCCCCGAGCTCGCTGAAGGTTCTGGTAGCTTCAAAGAGGAGAGTGAAAACCTGATGGGTGCGACCCACACTCAACTCTGCCCGATGCCACTCATCTCCATGGTTACCAGACATCCACCATAAGGGCGTCCTCCTTGGACCTTCTTGGAGGAACACTTTTAGTTCCCCAATGCCTGGCAAAGATGAGATTTCATGAACTACAGTATACATCTTTTAGCATTACCCGAAGTAATTTCGCAACTTCTGGAAATTTTTCCTAATTTTCGTAACACATAAAAAATGTTTAGTCTTACCCTCCCCAAACATGTGGTAGTAGAATTCAAGCAGACACTCATTGCTGGCCTCTTTCATGGCAGGACTCTGAAGAGCAGCATAGCTGTTCTGGTCACCATGGCTGGCTTCTACTGCCATGTACCAGCCTACGACAAATATATGTTTTTTTTTATTATATTACACTGATAGCATTCTGTTTTTGCATTATATATTAGTTATGGGAATTCTGACTCATTCAAACAGTTTGTTTCAAGAACTGGTTAAAAAAATGAGTCAGCAATTCTTTGTCATTATGAAATCCCTGTCTGGCATATCACACGGTCTAAAATTCTCAAGTACAGCCATAAACGTACGTGCAATAATTTTTTCTATTAAGTTGTACTATAAGGGTGTTTATTGCAACCCAGTCTCATCCCAAGACGTCATATAACTGACGTTTTGGGACGTCTTTTGACCATACGTCAATATTCGCCTTTTTAGGGCCCCCTTAAACGTCGGTAGATGAGGTTATGGGATCCTAACTCTACCCCATACCTAAACCTAACCCTAAACCACCCGTCACTGACGTTAAAGGTAAAGCGTCAGTTGTATGACGGCCCGGGATCGCCATCTACCGACGTTTAAGGGGGCCCTAAAAAGGCGGATATTGACGTATGGTCAAAATACGTCCCAAAACGTCAGTTATATGACGTCTTGGGATGAGACTGTGTTATTTATTGTAATTTAATTAATTCCAATTCAGTTGGTTGCAGTCATGATTCAGCTCCATTCATGTTATTATTCAATGCCATTTCAAACCTAAAAATGATTTGCATTTACAATGAAAAAAGAAGAAATTAATACTTTTATTCAAGAAGGTTGCACTAAATTGATCAAAAGGGCCAGACAAGATGTTTATAATATTACTAAATATTTCTATTTGAAATAAATGCTGTTCTTTTTAACTTTCTATTTAGTAAAGCATCAAAAACTGCATCACCATTTCTACACAATATGCAGCACAAATGTTTTCAATATTTATAATCATACATGTTTCTTGAGCACAAAATCAGCATATTATGATTATTTATGAAGGTAATTATGGAGTAAAAATTTTGCTTTGCCATAACAGGAATAAATTACATTTTACAATTTATTAAAATAGAAAACAGTTATTTTAAGATTGAATAATATTTTAAAATATTAATTTTTACTAAAAATAATAGGTGCAGCCTAAATGAGCATAAGAGACCTCTTTAAAAAAAAAAAAAAAACATTTAAAAAAAATCATAGCAACCCATAAAATACATCTTATATAGTACATTCCAGGTTAGTTATTCTCCAAAATATTTTACCCAGCTCTGTGCCAGTAGTGTGGTCCACTGATGGGCCAGTGTTTGCGGTGGTTGTACCATTCTGGTCCCGCTCCCAAACAAACTGCCCGACACTGATATCTTTCCAATTACAAGTATCTGGCTCAAAGTTGCATCCAACAAATACTCCACTTTCCACGCTGATGTCTGAATGTTAGTCAATGAAAAGACACTGATAGCAAACATTCCTCAAATAATGCTTATTTTTCTTGAGAAAAACGCTTCACCACATCAATCATTCAAAACGATTCATTTTCACTGATTAAAAAGACAGCTCACCTTTGCATGGCTCATTTGTCAATCTAATGTCATCCACTGCAATGTATCCTTCACTGCCTGTTTGAGCCTCTAAGTGAATCTAATACCATATATACAAGTTATGATATAATTACACAAATGGATAAAATATAATGGTGAAAGTTTAAGAGATAGATGGGTATTTCACACCTGAAACGGTTTGGTCTCATTCACAGTGATAGAGACGTTTTCCCAATTGTTCCCAGTGGCCTGTGTTTCAAACAGCAGTTCTTGCTCTGTTGCACCCGAATCTAATAGCAGTCTAAGAATCCCAGGGTCACTGCCAATAGAAAAGTGCACAATATAAACTGCATTATCACACCTGACAGTCAAACAGTGCAGAGAGTGCAGAAAGCAATTAAGAACGGACCTTCCATTTATTTGGTACCAGAACTCCAAACAAGAGTCACTGGTCGGCTGGATCCTTTCAGAGGTCAGCACAGACCTACTTTTTTGGCCTTGACTGTTCCTCTGAGATGGGCTCAAAAGAAATTTGCCTGAAAAAGGATCAGGAAAACAAAAACAAAACATGTGTTGTGTCTCATCAGCTGTCCTGCCATCTCATTTTGACTTAAGTCAAATATTGGGATTATCAACAAACATAACTACTAGGTGATCAGGAGATTAGTGCGGTTAGTCTGACATACTCACCATCTGTAGTGTAAGTAGTGTAATCGACAGGAGGACCTCTGTAGCGACCATCTGCATGAATCCAGTCATGTTCATCTGTGAATCCATTAGCAGCATTCACCCATGTACACTTTCCGGACTCAAAATCACAACTTCCTGCTTGGGAACAAGCTCCAGTTTGAACAGAGACATCATCCAGAAGAATAAACGACTCAGAGTTTTGACTGAGCTCTGCTCTGAACGCCACCTGTGTGCGAATGCAAAAATGCAAATAACTGCAAAAAACCACATGACATACAGTATACTTCTTTCCATAATTGAGTATACTACAACACAGGAGCTGCAAGTATTTTGCAATTTTGTTTCTTCCTTTCAAAATAATATTTTTAAAAAGCAAATGAAAGTTGCCAAAGAATGTTGAGAATGAATCAGGTAAAGAAAAACTTTATAACCCCACAGTCAAAATAAGAACAGACGAGAAGCAGTGATGAATCATACCAGTTATGGGAAACAAAACAACTGGTTCATTGAAAAACTCTGACTCAAAGGAATGATTCATTAACAAATTCCTATTTGGTTAGGAGGATGATCACTGAAAACAAAAGCTATCTCATGGTTTCACAGAAGACAACATGGGGATGAGTAAATTATGACAGTTTTCATTTTACAAAGAAATTGAACCAAAGTCGCTTTCAAGGAAAGTCTGTTTACTCGGCGGCCATTATTTGCAATGCCTCTGGGCTGGTCTCTTGCTGCTTGCTGAACTCACAATTAAAGCTGCAACAGAGATGGTAACAAAGAGGAAAAAGTCTGGACTCCAGCTTTAAATAACATATTTCAGAAACAAAATCTGTTTTTTTTTTTGTTTGTTTTTTTTAAAATATTTTTCAGGCTAGGCCAATGCACATGTGCAGTCTTAAGCGCGAGTCTCAGGTGTCTATGGGAAACAGAGCTTATAACGGCACCTGCATAATGTAATGACTTTACCAATCAGCGATTGGCTCTTTTGCTTAGAAGGCGGGACATATTCCACCCTATTACGTATTCCAGATTATTCCATTCATTAGTAATAATAGGAGTGAACCGTTTTTCTATATCTATAGTCTTTGAGAGAACTCACTCTGAATTTGGAAGGAGATGACACAGTGACCTCTGCTACCTCCCAACTATCAGAAGTCGCTCCAGAAAGAGACCAGAGTGCTGGACCCATCTCCCCATTCAGAAGAACATGCACTGAGAGTGAACCACCTGAGCCTGCAGACAGCCAATACCTACAAAAACAGCCTTTATCAAAACATTACTCTCAACTGGGTTAGAACAGAGCTTAAATACAAAAACTGGATCCATAATGGACCAATATAAGATTATATCGACACAAGCATACCAGAACTGCAAGCAGGACCCTGTAGATGAGCTATACTCTGGTGTCAGAAGATTTGAAACCTCTAGTTTCTGAAGATTGGACCCAAGCACAGCCATTGAATGCCCTTTCATGAAACAAACACATGGCATGGGTCATTACAAAAACAAATTAAACTCTTTCACAACAAAAGCGGTTGTTCTCTCCCTCACCAAGTTCAGTTCTGTACGTATGGTCAATATGGCCACTGCTGCCGTCCACATGGAGCCAGATATTGCTGTCAGTCACATCGTGTTCAAAGCCACACAGCGAGGGAGACTCAAATCCACACGGGTCTTTGGTAAAGAGATCACTTTAATAGCTGAGAATGTCTGGTAATTAGATAAGATGCTTTGAACGCTTTGACTCACTGTGTTCCACACAGGTTCCTGCAGTCACACTGAAGTCATCAATGGCTATAAAGCCGCTGCCTCCTGCTGTTCTGCTCCCTGAGAACTTTACCTGTACAAGGTGAAAGTCATGCTAACCCTACCTGTTTTGTTGGTAAATTTGCATACATGTGGATTGAGATTTAGAAAACATGTCAAAGTTTAAGGCCTTACTCGATCAACGTCTGCAGTACTAATGGAAACTTGTGCGTTCAGCCACTCGGAGGTCTGGGTGCCTCTTCTTGTCCATGTAATGGTTTCCATTGTTTTCTGAAACCAATAGTACTAATGTTTTTAAATGACACAAACAACTTCTTTTTTTTTTTGTTTGCCAACAACAACAAAAATCTGAACTTCATTTAAAGGGGTCATGAACTGCATTTAAAAAAATAATTTCGCCAAAGGTGCACTTAAAATGTTAGTATGACTTTTACATCAAAATTCTGATTTTAGACCTCTGATTTGAACACTCTGTTGGAAGGGACATGTCTGCTGTGAGACTTTAATGTAAACACCAACTACTTTGATCGGCCAACATTGTTACATATTAAATAAGTATCACATGTGGAAGTCTCTCAAAAGCTTTTTTACTATTACAGCTGTTGAGATTAACTTATCGTAAACAGTGTTTGTAGCATATTATTTAGATCTATTCCCATCGCATGAAAGGTTGCAGCATTCTGGCCGATGACAGAAATGTCTATTGAGCGCATGAATGCAGTGATCTCCTCATTGCAACTCGATTTCTGCACCCTCAGGAATGCTTCAATCATAACGAACAGTACAAATGCAATGTGAATAAGAGATTGTGCAGTGTAGACCGCATCATTTATTATAACGGGAGCTTTGGCAAGCAAGAGTCCAGTCATTGATAAACTTCCATTGTGATTGACAGCTCCTGTGATTATAAAGGGAGGGTTCTTTGATATTCCTTTCTGAGTTTAATATCATTTAATTACAATTTAAATAACAGATTATTTTCATGCTATTAAGATAAACAATGTGAAATTCACCGTTTAGACACTGGCTTGATTTACTGACACATAAATAGCAATAAACGACTTTGAGACAAAGAACGTCTGACTGAACATGAATCCTTATACAGTATATCAGAAATAATATCACTACATATCATGACCACAATTACACATGCCATGTTGAAAGTACCTTCTCAATAAGCAGATCTAAGTTTCCAAGAGATGTTCCTAACATGTAGTACCAGAATCCAATACAGACATCAGTGCTCTGAATTATCATTGGCGCTGAAATGACTGCTGTCTTACTGGTTTCATGTTCTCCAGACATATTTACTATTAGATAAAACCCTACAAGACAAAAGATGAAAATGAATGACAAATTATTATAGACTGACCCGATCTGCCCACTAGGGTAAAATAATGAAACTTACCATTGTAATTCTTTAAAGTGTGGTCATATAAAGGTCCTAGCCATGGCTCATTCACCTTCCCACCCACTTGATGGATCCAATCAAATCCATCATCTGTCTCCTGGATCCAGTCACATAGTCCTGAAAGCAAAAATCTGGAATAATTAGCAGACAGCTCACAACATACACACACGTTTCAATGTTTTACATCTATGGGGACTTTCCATAGACAATGATTTTTATACTGTACAAAGTTTATATTATATGCCCTAACCCTAAACACAACCCTCACAGAAACTGTCCTATCAGCTTCTATGCTTTTTATCATATCATCATTTTTACATTAAAAATTACATCAAGTAGGATTTATAATCTGTTTTCTTCATGAGGACCAAAAATGTACATATATACACAGATACACTATACAGTATAAACAACACACACACACATAGATATAGTACATGTAATCAGGACAATTAGTGTTTCACAGTGGATTCAAACCCAGGTCTCTCACACCAAAGGTATGTGTCTTAACCACTGCGCCATCATCACCCCATACTCCTCCTTGTTTTGCTCATTCATTTCTTACCCTTCTGAAAGTTGCAGTCCATGGAGGACGCAGGTGGAGAGGTGGGCTCAGTTGTGGGTACTGCTGTTGTTGGGACAAGGTCAGAGCAGCGTGTATTCCTCCTGATATAGATGTCATCCAAAGCAATAACACCTGAGTGTAAGGATTGACTTACTCCTTCAAACACAATCTACAAACAGTATAGTTAAAGTTAAAGTCAGCTATTGCCAAGTATCTGATGGTGTGGCATGTTTTTTGTGCATCAGTCTCTCACCTGGTGTCGTTCAGATGATTGGTAGTCTAAAGTGACATGATGCCACACATTGTCATGATCGCCAGTTTGATTCCACAGACCACGTAGAGAACCGGACTCATTTACATAAATTTCTAGTTTGGTCTTTTCTAAAATAATAAATACAAAACATACAACGGAATAAAAATCATGGTGTTCATACTGCCTCAACTAGTTGTAGGAATAGACCTCACTTGCAATCCTAATGAATGAACTGAGACATTAACAAATCAGTAGCACTTTATTTTACAATCCTGTTCCCGATGTATATACAGTACTATGTACTTCTAATTGCAACAACTGGCAACTGGATAGTAACTAGGTACTAACCCTGAACCTATCCCTAAACCTAACCTAACCTTAACCCACAACGCATTCTCACCCCAAGGCGTCACCTTTGACCATGCTTCAATATTTGACGTTTTAGGCGCCCTTTAGCGTCACGTACATGACGCAATCCTACGGCGTCATCTAACTGACGCTAAAGGAAAGCGTCTGTTAGAGGACGCGGTTAGGTTTAGGTGTGGGGTGGGGGTAGGGTACACGCGATCCTAGGGCGTCATCTAACTGACGCTAAAGGGCGCCTAAAGAGTCAGATATTGAAGCATGTCCAAATGCTTCCCAAGGCGTCAGTTAAGTGACCCTTGGGGGTGAGAATGGGCTGTAACCCATGTAGTTACGCCTTGGGAAGCATTTTGACCATGCTTCAATATCTGACGCTTTAGGCACCCTTTAGCGTCAATTACATGACGCGATCCTAGGGTGTCATCTAACTGACGCTAAAGGTAAAGTGTCAGATAGATGACGTGTCTAACCCTAACCCTACCCCAGACCTAAACCTAACCGCGTCATTTAACTAGATGACGCCCTAGGATCGCATCATGTTACTGACGCTACAGGGTGCTTAAAGGATCAGATATTGAAGCATGGTCAAAATGGTCAGTTAGATGACGCCTTGGGATGAGAATGCGTTGCAAATAAAGTGCAACCAGTAAATAATTTTAGATTTAAGACTTTTTGACTCAAAGGCTGTCCAATCAACACATTCTCACCCCAAGGCGTCACCTTTGACCATGCCTCAATATTTGACGTTTTAGGCGCCCCTTACATGACGCGATCCTACGGCGTCATCTAACTGACGCGAATGGAAAGCGTCAGTTAGAGGACGCGGTTAGGTTTAGGTGTGGGGTGGGGGTAGGGTACACGCGATCCTAGGGCGTCATCCAACTGACGCTAAAGAGCGCCTAAAGCGTCAGATATTAAAGCATGGGCAAATGCTTCCCAAGGCGTCAGTTAAGTGACGCCTTGGGAGTGAGAATGGGCTGCAATATTCGAAGGCTAAGATATTTCTGGTATTTCTGCTGTAGTTATGACATTAAATAGCTGCTTGTTTTCAAATTTTATATATTAACAGAAACTGGTAGTATTCATGTATTCAATTAATTGATCACAATTCATTTTGTGGATCCAAACGTTTAAAAAACTGCATGTACTTTAATAAAAACAGGGAAAATAAAAGTGTTTTTTTATTTTAAATTAGGATTACAAATTCATTATTTTAATATACTAATAATAATTTATCAATTTAAATAATTATTTTTTTCATATTGTAGTATTTATTTATCAAAATAAATAAAGTATTAGTGTGCATACGATGAACACTTTACTATCCCATGAGGCCACGGGAGAGGATTTATGAATGGTAGTGAAGCAACATAACTGCTGCTAGTAGGTCACATGATAATGACAATATGGTGAATGTAGTATGTCCAGATTATATTCATACTACACACAATCATACTATATAGAACATACTTTTTAGCAGTTGTAAAGTAATTACTTATTCAAAATAAGTACCTACTCAAGAGAGTATGCGATTTTGGATGCAGTCACTGTTTTAGATAATTTCAAACAATCCAGTAAAATCCAGTCCAAACCTTCAAAAACAAGCATACCCTTTCAAGTGAGGAAAACTACAGGGATAAACTTCACTAGAGTGAGGGAACTTGACAGAGTCTCTCTTCCAATAATATTTTGAAGTCTAAAACACAATTAAGGTTCTCTACTTGTATGCTCACCATATCCCCACATATGCATGTGGTACCAGAACTCCAAACAGCCTTGAGATTCAGCATCCATCATCTCACTCTCAAAATGAGCAATCTGATGTGGTTTTTCATCTGTATCAAAGACCATGTAGTGTCCTGGATAGAAGAGAATGAGTGGATGTCAAAACACAGTTTACGTAACAGTCACTAGGGATAGTTGACCCAAAATGTACAAGTTTGTTCCAGACCTGTATGACTTCTTCAGAGGTATATAAAAGAAGATGGGCAGAATAACAGTCACCATTCACTTTCATTGTGTGGAAAAAAGATGTAATGAATGTGAACAGTGACTGACTCTGCTGCACTCTGTTGGAAATCTGTTTCCATTGTAACCTAGTTAGGTGCCGGTATGTCTTACCGGTCTTTCTTCCTTTTATCAGAATAAATGAAGATTGACTTTTGATTTGTTCCCGGATAAGAGTGGCTGGTTTATGGCTGATTGTGGCACTCCAAAAAGTACAACCCATGGGCACCGTTTACTTTCCTGTGCTGCACTTGTGTCCCTGGGTTTGATTCAAAAATTACATAAAAGTAATTACATTACGTAATGTGTTGATATTTACCCATGGCAGTGTTTGTGGTGTGGTCGACGTCGGGGACAAATTGACCACCACTGGTTCCAGAGGTCCAGCTCCAGTCTACACTGGAGATGTTGACATGAGTATTCACCCATCCGCACATGTCCATCTCAAAATCACAAAACCCTGAAGGGAATTATGTGCACAGATATATTTAGATGGTAGTTTTTAGTATAAAATATTTGTTTTGAAAATATTTCAAGTGCCTTTTGAGGTGAATAGCCATTAATTAATTAATTTGTTCAAGATCAGCGGCAATGATATAATAATCTTGTCATTATAAAGTCAAGTCAAGTCACATTTATTTATATAGCGCTTTTCACAATACAGATTGTATCAAAGCAGCTTCACAGTGATAACATGAAAGTAGTACAACACAGATCAACAACATTGCTAAACACTAAATAAAGTCCAAGGACTTACCATGAGGGGGGCAAGGGTCATTTAGAACTGTTAGGTCATCAATGGCAATATCATGTTTCAGCTCATTTCCAACCACTGCTTCAAATATGACCTGTTATTCAAGCAGTAAACCAGAGGCTGAAACATAACTAGATTGCATAAATTGCAGGATTTGGCTGGTTAGTGTCAGCAGTTAGAATGTGTCATAACTACATAATTTCATAAGTAAAAGGCTTCTTTCTCGATTGACAGGTTCAAAAGTATTCTGACTAAATTTAAAAAATGTAGCCTGAAGCAAAGATGACCAGTCAGTGAAAGGGAATCCTACATAATAGATGGCTTTTTTTCCCAGGAATTATAAGCCTCACTGTTAGAATTTATAATACCAAAATGATTTTTAGTATCACCTGTATAATAAAGAAATACATGCCCACACACTGCACATGTTGGTCATATTTATTGGGCAATAAACATTATTGGACAATCAGGATTTCCTGCCAAATTATTATATTGACCATTTTTAATGTTCCCAGTTAATGTTTTACAGGTACTGACATTGAACCTGCTTATGGCTCTACTTAAAAAATAATTAAATGGATGGCTGTGTGTGTGCAGACACGCTTCACATTCATACTGCTTATTAAAAGCAAGCAGAGAACATAAGCAGTGCCATCCAAAATGAGCCAAAACTCCCAGCATAAAATATGTGAAATTAAATTACATAAGAGAAGAGTACTTAGACATAAATAAAATGATTACAAAAAAATGTGTAAAATTATATCCGTACCCCAATAAAAAGTTTTCATTTTACATGGAGCTGGTCGCCACTTGTACAGTAGGACGACATCTTGAGATCACCTGACCATCGAAATACTACACTCTTTATGTTATAACCACCATATTGTTGGACACTTTATAAATCAATCATGTTTGGCCAACCCGGTCTCATCCCAAGACGTCATATAACTGACGTTTTGGGACGTCTTTTGACCATACGTCAATATTCGCCTTTTTAGGGCCCCCTTAAACGTCGGTAGATGAGGTTATGGGATCCTAACTCTACCCCAGACCTAAACTTAACCCTAAACCTAACCCGTCACCTAACTGACGTTAAAGGTAAAGCGTCAGTTGTATGACAGCCCGGGATCGCCATCTACCGACGTTTAAGGGGGCCCTAAAAAGGCGGATATTGACGTACGGTCAAAAAACGTCCCAAGACGTCAGTTATATGACTTTTTGGGATGAGACTGTGTTAGTTTGGCTGTTAGTAATGTGTTTCTACTGTAAATAGAATCAGTATCTGATTTTTTTTTTTACTTTCATTAGTCAGTATAAGTCCCAGATGATAACATACTGTAAGCACAGTGCAAAACAACAAAATTACTGAGTGTACCTTTTAAACTCTTCTACACGCACCTTATATGGGCTGTGAGGACTTATGAGTGTTGCTCTGCCATGTCTCCACTGTTCTCCTTGATCTCCACTTGCACTCCACACAGGCATTTGAGATCTGGCACTGTGCAGCTCCTGGACATAGATGTTAAGAGAGCCCACGTCTCTTCCATTCATGTGGTACCAGAACATCAAGCACTCTCCGTGCTCAGAGGAAGGGTGATTGACATCCATCAGCATGCTGCCTCTGCTGCCTCTGGGGTTCTTCCACAGCTGTGCACTCAGGTAAAAGCCTATGGATAAAAAGAACAATATGTATTATCATCACATTGTTGCTATTACTATGATGTTTGATATGCTGTAGCTGGGTGGATATACAGACCCTTATCAGTCTCTAAAGTATGGTCCGCTGCAGGGCTGGGGGTGCCAGTTGCCAGTTCTCCATTAGATCTGATCCAGGTAAAATCAGCTGTAGGGTCGGATGACAGGCCACACAGAGAGCCTTGGAAGGTGCATTCCCTCTCAGCTGGGCAGGACCCATTTATACTGTTTGACACCTGCACGTCATCTATGGCGATGTAGCCTTTAGTGCCTTCCAGGATGCCCTCAAATATAATCTATTGGATGCAATGCATGAGAACAAACATGTACACATACTGTATATCCACCTGGCCATAGTGTGTATGATTCAGTACCTGAATTGGTTCTTCACTGTCTGCGAAACTAAGGTCCACAAAACGCCACTTGTTGCCTTGAGTCCCTGTCCTCATCCACATTGGCGTCAGATTGCCATTTGCGTGCTTGGTGATGAATCTGAGAGAACCTTCAACAGCCACAGACACCCAAGTTTATTATAACCGCAAATAAATAATAACATATTTGGTTAGTTTTTGACTGTTCACATAAAGAGCTTAGACAAAAGCAATCTCTCAGACCAACTTAAAAATCACCAATATGTTTTTGTTTTTGAGGTTTAGTGGTAGATAAATGAAAGGATTCAAAGACCCTGATTTGTAGAAATATGTGGATCATTTATTTTGTCAGAATGTCTATCAATTAAAAAATGAATGTACTAAGCACCATAAACATGAACTCAAAATTGACCTTGTAGAAGTTCTTGTACATTATTGGATTCATTATGCAGAATTTGTTGGTCCACATTATTACATGAAAAACATTACAATACTCTTCACAATCCAGTCAATTCTAGATGAAAAAAAAATCTGGCTCTATAATTTCTTTATCAAAGAGCATGATGCAAGCATGTTCTTAACTCACCGATGTTTCCACCGTAGATTAAATACCAGAAGCTGACACATTTGCCCTGCTGTGGAAAGCTGGCCAGTCTGGCTGTCACAGGTGGTTTGAAGGACTGTTGTGGTTCTATGAACATAAAATAGCCTGCACAAAATAAAATATATATATAAATATTTATTTGTTTACTTTAAAGTGAAGTTTTATATTGTTAGGTTTAGGTTTGAGGTTTTTAAATTTATTATATTTTTAGCAACACACATTTTACTAAACCTTTACCAAATTGATTTAAAAAGAATAAAAAAAGTTAAGAATAAAAAAACAGTTAACAGTTAAGAATAAAAAAAAAACTTAAAATAAAAATAATGCTGTTCTTTATAACTTTCTATTCATCTAATAATCCTGAAATAAATGTGTCCTGATTTTCCTTAAATAATTAAGCAGCACAACTGTTTTCAATATTCTCAAGGAATGTGTTTTGAGCACCGAATCAGCATATTGAAATGATTTCTGAAGGATCACGAGACACTGAATACTGGAGTAATAATAATGGTGAAAATCCAGCTTTGCATCACAGGAATTAACTCCATTTTGAAATATATTAAAATAGAAAAGTTATTATTTCAAATTGTAAAAATATCTCACAAAACACTTTTTTTTTTTTACTGTATTTTTTGATCAAATTAATTCAGCTTGGTTGAGCATCATGGGCTTTTTTCGAAAACATTTAAAAACCTTACTGACCCGAACCAGTGGTGTGATCATGTCCAGGTCCCTGATAACCAAAAGAAGGGTTCTGTCCAGATTCTCTCTTCCATTTGATTGTAGCTGACTCGTCATGGTACCAGGAACAGGTGTCTTTCTCAAAGTCACAGCTGAGCTGGTCTGAAGCTGCAGGGATGTCTCCCTCTGCACAGTCCATCAGTGTAATGTCATCCAGCATGATATCCTGATTTCCGATGTATGTAGGTATCACGGAAAATACAAGCTGTGTTTTTGAAATGGAATAAGAAAGCATTAACACAAAATCAGTAAAGCTCTTCCAATTACAGTGTCCAAAAATTATTTAGTGTGATTGAGATAACTGTGAATGCAGTGCATTACCTTAAAACCCAGAGGACGATTTCCAATTAACAAACAAGCATTTTCCCAACCATTGGTCTGGCCCTTTTTAATTGACCATAACTTTACAGATGAAGTGTTACCAATCAAACTCAGGGAAAACTCGGAAGAGATATTAGTAGGATCATGGAGATGATACCAAAAGCTGAAATAAAAAGATTACAAAACTATTCTCACAAAACTAATCATTAAAAAAAAAGTGAATCTGAGTGATTAGAAAATAATTATTTAAGTGAGTGTTTGATGTGCTTCTTCTGCACCTTATCTTGCAACCGAGTGCAGTATATCTGGGAAGTGTGTGCTCCAAAATTGCTTCCGAAAAAATATTATTAAGATCACCTTCTGCATGCATAACTTCACCTAAAAATAATACAGAAGTCAAAATATCAAAAGTTTACATGATCCAAATCAAATTCGAATTGATTGTCCAAGTCCAAAGGCTTACCCCAAGGTGATCCTGTGGTATGGTCCACCCCAGGGACAGCACTGATGTTTGCCATTTCTCTACGCCATTTAAATTCATCCTTACTGGAGTTAATCCATCCGCATGCATGTTCTTCAAAGTTACAAGTGCCTGTGACGAAAGATTTCTTATATTGTGAACCTAGCATTGTATTGTAAATCTATTATTTTCCATTTATTTGCATGCAACACCATGGAACAGATATCAAAATTGTGTAGCTATAGTCATATACAGTACAATTGTGATATCTGTTCTGTGGTGTTGTATGCAAATAAATGGAATTTAACTCAGCCTTAGTTAATACAAGTTAGTAAATATTACTACATGACAAAGATTTGTCATCAGCAACGGAAAACATCATTTGATTGCTGTAACTACCACAGAACTCCTCATCTGATCCATCTGCACAGTTAGGGTGGAAATCACACACTTGCTCCATGGAAAGACAGTCTTGAGAGTCAATACACTGGAACTGCCCATCAGGGCAGGAGGCCAAGCCCATCGAAACTGCATATAAAACACAAATAAACTAGAGGTTACATTTATATATATATATATATATATATATATATATATATATATATATATATATATATATATATATATATATGAAGAGTTCAGATGCAAAAGCCTCTAAATGCCATTTGAAATTTTCTTCTTTAATGATGATTTTTATCAAGCTTGTATATTTAAGTTCAGTAATTTCACTTAAATGGCAATGATAATTACCTATTAATTGTTATTTAAGTGAAATTACTGAACTTAACCTGTTAACTGTCACCCCCCCCCCTTTTTTGAATAGACATGAAAATGCACATTTCGAACTTAAATGGTTGTAATTCAAGAATGCTTTGGAATATAGACATATGATTGGTCTTGTTTTAAAGAAGACATTTGGCAGATTTTTGTAGAAGTGAAATAAATTAAGAAAGTGAAACAGAAAAAAAGTTATAGAGGTTTGAGTTTATGGAAATGTACAATGCAAAAATATTAATTATTCATATTTTACATAAAATATATATTTTCAAAACCTGGGCTACTCTAAAACGGCAGAAAAATCAAAGCCAAAAATCTGAACAAGTTGTGTTTCAAATTTTAGGTTGATATCTCAAAAAAATGAGCTTTCAGTAAGATTTTGTTTGAGCACAGTACCAAACTTTTTCACTAGGGCACAATCAGACTCCATTACTGCCCATATAAGGGCGTCTGCATTTCCATTCGTGTTTTGAGTGATATGAACCATTATTTTCACAATTTTCATACAATTTCTGAAGTAGAGATCCTATTCAGAAGTAGTATGGGAAGTTTGGCAGATTTTGATATGAATTGAACCTCTAAGAAACGCATACAAAGAACACGCATGTAAGTCACAGCTAGCTGCCACGTCACAAATGGTGAATTTATTATTTTTTTCTTGATATTTCAAACTTTTCAGACCTTTTTTTTCCAAAATAATTGAATGGATTCTATCTTTTGAACTTTTGGCATGAAAACAAACTAAGGTATCTATACAATTTTTTCATGATTTTTCATGTTTACTGCTATTTTAAAATAAAGGTCTGAACACGCCTTATGAGTATGAAAATATTCTTGTTTTATATTGATAAATTATGACTCCTCTGTAATATATTTTGAAAATCAGTCACCAAATATGGAAACTAGAGATTGTAAGCTTTCAAATGATATATAGTTTGTCAATATTATTTAAGGTATTTACTAAGATATTATTGTTTTTAAAATATAGTGGCAAACGTCCCACCTGTGGGACGGTGACAGTTAAATATACAAGTTTGATTTCATATATATCAGCCCATTCTCACTCCCAAGGCGTCACCTAACTGACGCCTTGGGAAGCATTTGGACATGCTTCAATATCTGACGCTTTAGGCGCCCTTTAGCGTCAGTTAGATGACGCCCTAGGATCGCGTGTACCCTACCCCCACCCCACACCTAAACCTAACCGCGTCCTCTAACTGACGCTTTCCTTTAGCGTCAGTTAGATGACGCCGTAGGATCGTAGGGCGCCTAAAACGTCAAATATTGAAGCATGGTCAAAGGTGACGCCTTGGGGTGAGAATGCGTTGTATATATATATATATATATATATATATATATATATATATATTTACATCATCAAAAGAATAAGAATGAGAATGAGAATGAGAATAAGAATAAGAATATGAATAAGAATATTATAGGTCTCAGTCAAAAATGTCATTCTTTGAGCATCGAGGTTTGAGGACCCTATTGGAATTTATTTGTTTATTTTTCCAAATAATATCAAGTCCTGTCAATCAATCATTACGAGTGTATATAAGCAGCAGTCACTGCGTCAATTCTTCCAGCATCCCTCCTCATCTCCTCTATTTCTCTTATTCTTTGTACTGTTGGGGTTTAACTTGGAGCTCAAGCTTCCTTCGAGGACAGCAAGCCAAGTTTGTTTACTATTAACTATTATGACTGAATGGGCATTCAAACACGTGAAATACATTCCACATAGAATAATAGTGAAGTAATCAAAAGCATAAAATAATAACAGTGTGGGGAATTATGCAGCGACCTTTCATGGCAGCTATGCAAACTCCTGGCATTTCTCTTTCTCAATGCTATGCCATTTCTCAATCTCATTGCCATGCCACTTATACATTATGGGAAATTGCTATTACTGCTATTACTGCAGTCTCTGTCTAATCCATTTCTTTTTTGTAGTTTTGTATAGAAATCCATACATCCACATACAAATTTCAAATTTTAAGTATAAAAGCATTTAAATCAAATGAAGATACATAAATGAAACACCATTTCAAACAGGTTTCAATGGGCACCTGATCATATTAAGGAAATAATTTCATAAAACGTTATATTACGCATGCAAAACAATCATCAAAGGACATGAGCAGCTGGTTCTGATGACCTTGTTGACCTTTACATTTAACTGGCTCATTGATTCACACAGTAAAATGGTCCCTTGTTTATTGTCATTAAACTGGTCCAAAAAGAAAAGAAAAAAAACATGGACTCACCAAGTAACAATAAAAACAGTCCCCTCATTTTGTTGATAAAATTGATGAAGAGTGTTTCAGTGAACTTGTCCGTTCCTCCAATGTCTATCAATGAAACAGCAGAGACCAGAGATCATTCTTTTTGTAGATAATTTGAAATTTATTATGTTTATCAGTGCATGTTAAAGTTCAGTGGACCCAACAACCTCAAATGTTACGTTTGACCTGCCTGGTTTTTACAACTTCCCATGGCCAGATTAAAAAGCATAGCCTGCCAGTCTGCTGTATACAGTCAGTAGTACTGGCATTCTAAAGGTTGTTGAGGAATTGCTTCTCAAGGTGAGAATAAGCCTTAATTTATGGTACTTAAATAATTAAGTTGTACCAAAGATTTCAGAAAGTGAGATACATCCTGCAAAGCAAACATGTTTTTCTTTAGTTAAAATGGCAATAAAAACAGCCTCACAAACACTTGACTAACTTTAGTTACTGCCATAATCCATGACGTCAGTTTTTTACTGCATTGTCCATGCAAGATCTGAGTGAACTTTTATCTAGTACTATCATGCTTGCGTCAATAGTCTTCACTGGGAAAAAAAGAATGCATTATCATTTGCTAAAAGGTTAAAATGCCGCATGTCATTATGTGGCAAGATTAAGTAGCATTAAATGCAGTTTAATATTCTATAAAAATGCCTAGAACAGGTCGATAAGAACAGGTGTAATAATGTGCCTTGGTTTGGGTCCTTGTAAAGCACAACCAATTTCAACAGACACTATAGATGTATTGAGCAAGCATAACTGCATACTTGGAAGTCTCACCTCTGTTAAGCAATAGTGTGTCAGGAGGGACACTCAGAAACAGACACTAGTTCCAAGAAGCAATACATTGAATGGATCTTTAATAATCAACATTATTAACTGCAAACTTCACGTGCTACTAGCACATTAAAAAGTAGAAAATGTATTTGACTCAAATAGATAGCTTTCTCCAGACATCCACACAGCAAAAGGGTAAAGGACTTAAACCACAACCACTAGTTCAGGGAAAAGTTCCCAGATAATATAAAATGAACTATGAAGATGAAATAGATTATTTAAAATAGGTTAAAAAAAATCATAATCATGCAAAATTATATATATATATATATATATTGTAATGTTCACAACAATTTGCCAATATACCTTCTTCTGACATTTTGCAATGCACTAACCAGAGATGCCAGTATTCAGGCAGGTCTCCCACTTCTTTTCTTACTCACTGTCCTCTGACTGTCTGCATCCTGCAAACTCAGCAGCACAGAAGACACAGAAACAGATGCGTTTGGAAGCAAGAGGGAAATGAATGATTATGTAACAACAGGCGAAAAGGAAGTGAAACCTTCCTTACTCTATGAGTCAACTCCACAAATCCAAACACAAGGATCGACAAAGGCTGACTATCACTTTGACCTGCGAGGTGATCAGGAAAAACAGCAAAGATGGCAAAAATGACATTGGCAAGAAGGAGAGAACTGGTATTAGAAAATCATTTCAAGGACATGACGAAATATTACATGCATTCATACATTGCATAAATGTTATTTATATTTTCTAGAAGCACTTGCATTTAACACTGAATGCTGTAGTTTTGAGCATACTTTTTCATTTATGGTAAACAAATTTAATAATTCTTTACATTTATATAGCGCTTTTCTCGGCACTCAAAGCGCTTTACATAGAGAGGGGAATCTCCTCAACCACCACCAGTGTGCAGCATCCACCAGGATGATGCGACGGCAGCCATAGTGCGCCAGAACGCTCACCACACACCAGCTTACTGGTGGAGAGGAGACAGTGATGAAGCCAATTGGTATATATGGGGATAATTAGGAGGCCATGATGGACAGAGGCCACTGGGCAAATTTGGCCAGGATGCCGGGGTTACACCCCTACTCTTTCGAAAGACATCCTGGGATTTTTAATGACCACAGAGAGTCAGGACCTCGGTTTAACGTCTCATCCGAAGGACGGTGCTCTTTGACACAGTATAGTATCCCCATTACTATACTGGGGCATTAGGACCCATATAGACCACAGGGTGAGCACCCCCTGCAGGTCTCAATTACACCTCTTCCAGCAGCAACCTGGCTTTCTCAGAAGGTCTCCCATCCAGGTACTAACCAGGCTCAGCCCTGATGAGACGCTTTGGTTATGGTTAATTTTAGGTATGGGGTAAGGTTAGGGTTAGACCACTAGGATCGGCTTCTGCCCAAATATATCTGCGTCTCATTTGACGTTAAAGGGTGCCATGTGTGTTGGATGTTAACGCTTTTGCAAAAGCGTCGTACATGACGTCTTGGGATGAGAACGGGCTGGTTATTAATGTGGCTATAATTGTGGATGATTATTTATTTATACACTTATTATAAGTATGCAGTGTCATAACTACATCTTTAACGTTTATAACAAACCAAACCGTTTGAATTGAGCAAGTTATGGTTTTTGTTATGTTACAAGTGAGCGAGCTGCCTGTGACAAGATGGCCGCCAGGTGGGGACGTCGACCTCCATTGCCCAGCAGCGCGGACGAGACATCTATATTTTATTATGGATATCTATGCTTGTGTCTGTCACCTTTTGGTTTTGTTCATGTCATGTTCCATGTCTGTCATGTGATTCCCTGTTTGTCATGTGATCCAGCCATGTGTCTTGTCATTGGTTAATCGTCTGTTCATTGTTCACAGGTGTCCCTTGTCTTTCAAGCCCTCATGTTTGCCATGCATTGTTTCCTGTAACCACTGTTTGGAAGTCTATACAGTTTTTGTTTCATGCCACGTCATGCTTTTGTTTTATCTTGTTACGTGTTATTTTGAATAAAACATCACTTGGGTTCTCTCGCTACAACTTGCATCCAGTGGATCCCTTACAGAATACTTGACCTACACCCAGCAGTTGCCCTACTTTGCTTACGTCAAGGTAACAGAACTATTGAGAACTATATTTTTGAATTTTTGGAAATCTCCTACCAAGTTTACTTTAATGACGTGGCATTAAAAGACATTTTTCGTCATGGATTAACATGAACCGTTGTGCTATGAACTGCCTGGGGGAACAATTAATGTTTCCTTAGAGGAATATATCGATTATGCCGTTTTGTTAAGTGGCTCAAATTTTACTGTGGGTTTACTGATGTCCTTCACATCATGCCCGCCGAGCCGGCAGTTCACTTCCGGCCTGCAGAGGCAGTTTACGTCAGGCTCGCTGAGCCAGAGACCCCGAACAAGATGGCCGCCGCCGCCCAGCTGGTGTCTGTTCCTGACCTGTTTTCTGTTCCTGGCCATAACCCCACAACTGGGGGCAATAGGCCCCTTGATGGGACCATGGAGGCCGCACCACTATGGCCACCTGAACTGCCTGACCCCCTTTTTCCCAAGAAAATATTTTAGAGACCCCCCCCCCCCCCTTCACATTTAATGATGTTATCGCTCTTGTAAGCTTGCAGTAAGGATGACAAAATATGTTGTTTTTAAACAAACGGTATGTTTACAATAACCAGATATGTTTATGCACAAATAATTGCCCTATAATATTGAAAATACAATAACAAAAACATCAGTAGGCTCTTTGTAATTTAAAAACATAAGCAGAGAAGAAGACTATATATTGGCCCTATTTGAAATGCAAACACAAAAATATTCTCACACACACACACTCTAAAAAATGCTGGGTTGTTTTAACCCAATTTTAGGTAAAATATGGACAAACCCAAACTTTGGGTTAAAAATGTCATTTAAAATGTTAACCCAATTAGTGGGTTTTTGATCCAAATTTGGGTTGAAATAACACAGCATTTTTAGAGTGTAGGTAAAAAAGGAAAGAATATAGGCTATTGCAGATTGACTGCTGTCTGGGGCCTCAAAATGTGCAAGTTATTTGTGAGGCTTTATCAATGTGAGGCTTTAGTTTTTTGCGCTTTAGTTCTTTGCACTTTAGCGAGCGATAATAAACTTGCGTTTATCAACAGAATAATATGCGTCTTTCAGAAGAACTATGACAAGTCATGCAGGTACTGGGCTACTCCGCAGCGCCACTGCGATATCCCAAACCATAAATAGTCGAAATGGTGCACCATAGTGGTTCAGGATAAGACAAAAACACGGACTAAAGGATTGATGGATTCATGATGAACTTGCTTTATATAAATTTTTAATAGAAAAAAGTTTATAGAAAAATTAATTTTATTTAATGCTCATTGCTCAACTATTCAAACTATGATGCGACACCCCCCTATAACAAGGGGTAAGTATAAATGTATGTAAAATAATGATTGATGGGAGGCAAATCTGTGAAAAATTATAAATTGTTATAAAGTAAAGTAACAGGTGGGGCCAAAGACAGTGACAGTTCTTATGAGACTGCAGTATATGTTGTTAACATACTCTATGCCTACAAGCAGAACAAAAAAAAATATTATGTGGTAAATTGCTGTCATCACAAGTTTTTGCACAGGATGTGCAGGAACATGAGTACAAGGCATAACAGGAAAGGGGAGCATTCAGATCATAAATTTTATGTGTAATTTCTTTTTTTTTTTACCTCTATTGTTGTGTATGCTGACAGGGCAGAACCATTGCTGGGAAGAGGGAATGTTTCAATCATTTAGGAGTGATAGGTTTGACATCATCTAGATGTTCGGTAAAGAGTTATCTTACAGTACCAAAATTATTTGTGTTCCAACCTCAAATACCCAAACCAAAACTGACCAAAAAACAAAATTAAACTGACTAAGATCATTTTCGATCATTAAGAATATTTGTTCTCCTTTCCAAAGAAGCCTTGTGACGTTAGTGTTTCAACAGTTTTGAAGAAAGAGACGTGACAGGATGTAATTCTGATTGGAACAATCTGACCCATTTAAAGGGCAGGTCTGCATGAGCAAATGTGAGACTGCAGAAGACAGAGAATGACACTGGAATGAACACATGAGCAGCACAGAATATATTTTGGATCAAGATGAAAATAATAACAGTAGTTATTTTGCTTGTATTAGAACTATCAAACTGCTTTGCGCAGACAGGTATGTATTGTTTTCTTTAATCAAACTGAAAAAAAAATGAACAACAATAATCATACTTTTTCGTATTGCAAATATTACTATTTTATTGTGAAAAAAGCCATGGCACTTATACTTTTTTTCCATTTATGCTAAACTGAGAGTGAATGGCTCAACACTACATCATCTCAACCTATTTTTGTGCAGGAGGACACTTTTTAATATATAATGTGGATTATAACGCATGCTTGTCAGCCTTCCTGGAACGACTTGTCACCTGTGACACAAACAGTAACAGACAACAGTTCCGCTGGACTTCAAAGAACGGCATTTTGAACACTTACACAACGAAATGCCTTGGAGTAGGAAGTAAAGCAGTGGGCAAAAAATTGCAGTGGCTGAAATGTGAAGAGGACAATGATTTGCAGCAGTGGGAATGCCATGGTGATAAACTGCTTCGTCTAAAGAATGAGTCTCTATACCTTGATGTAAATGACAACGGTGTGCCAGTGATCTCTGCAGACACTGGAACGAAGAGCAAATGGACAATTCATGGAACAGAGAATAACATTTGCTCTCAGCCTTATGAAGGTATGTGTCTCTATTGAAAATTATCATAGAGACTGCTGTATTCCTTTCCATGCAAATGTGCGCTATTCCCTCAGGGAGCTAAATATTGCATGCTGTGAAATAGAACAATTTCCAACATGTTTTGTCCTTATTAGTAGGTGTTCCTCCTAACTAATATTGATACATTTCATTTATTCAAATCACCATTATTATCATTTAAAAAAAAAAAAAGAATTGGGTGAAGACTCTAGTTGCTTCTCCCTTTAATGAGACGGGCTTGTTGGTTTCCAACAGTTCTATGTGGTAAGTAGCCTAGTAATAAGCAGGCTAATGTACCTTGTTACATTTATTTTATTAATTTTTTATTTATTTAATTTTTAACTGAATGATTAACAAATTTGCTTACAATTAGTTAATCATCTTTTTAGCAAATTCAATGTTTTTGTTTTTTCACCAACACTAAAACATGGTGTAAACTACTGATCAACTCTTACATTATTTTAACAGAAATTTACACCGTTGATGGAAATGCATTTGGGCGGCCATGTCACTTTCCTTTTCTTTATGAGAAGAAATGGTATGCAGACTGTACCAAAGTTGATGAACAGAATCAACGTCTGTGGTGTTCCATTGAGACTGACTACAGTGTTAATCAGCTGTGGGGCTACTGTCCAACACTTGAAAGTAGGTTATTGTTTCAAGTGTTACCTGCACAATAATTAATAAATCTTTAAGACTACACTTGTTGCCTGTCCACCATCAAAAACTGAACTAATAATATATATATTCCAACAATAAAACATTGGCTTGCATGTATTGATGGGTAATTATGTTATTTAGATGCATTGTGGTCCAAACATCCTCTGACAAATGTCTATTACCAATTGAATGATAAGTCCGCCCTGACATGGTACCAGGCTAGAAAGAGCTGCCAGCAGCAAGGCGCAGAGCTTCTGAGCGTCTCTGAACCTCATGAACACAGCTTTATAGCAGGTACAGTCCCAGCAAAGAAATGGTCTAAATAGAACTGTTTTTCATTACATGCACTAATGAAATACTAATAGATATCAGAAGTATCCAAAGAACAAAATGCTAAGGAAAAGTGCTCATTCTTGCTTTGTCTAGGAATAGTTCAGAAGACACAAGTCTCCCTATGGACAGGACTAAATAAATTAGATGTGTCCAGTGGATGGCAGTGGAGCAATGGACAGCCTTTACGATATCTGAAATGGTCCAGTGGTAAGACTCAAATCAAAGGATTCAGTCTTGTTGAATCCCTGTAGTACCAACAACACTAGTTTTAGGAACAAACAAACATAAAGCAAGAAATGTGTATTTTGATAAATTAATTGAGAAAAGTTCACTATGCCTTGATTCATTGTATACTAGATGCTTTTGGCCCAAAAAAACATATAAAATCAGCTTTCATTAGCTAACTGAGCATATTAATGGACTGAAATTATCATTTCTGGTTTTTTTTAAGGATTCCCAACCACACAACCAGGCTTCAGTTGTGGTGTCCTAAAAAACATCATTGGTTCTGAATGGTGGAACGCACCTTGTTCGCAAAAGAATGGGTACATCTGCCAAAAAGGCCATTCTGTTCCTACTATTCCACCAGGTAAGCTTTCAAACCTCTTTTTTATCCCATAGCAAGCAGTGTTTCTCAAACTGCAGTGTCAAGAATGGTGCAGTTCACCATTCTTAATCTGATTTTTACTTGTTTTCCTTCTAATATATCCTAACCTATATCAGTCACTCAACAAAGTCTCTAAACCTTTCAGGCAATTTGATTTGTCTCATCCACTTTGAAGTTGTTCTGATATGGTGTATTCAGTTCTCCTGACAAAAAGCCTGAAACTGACTGGACTTGAATTGTGATCTGATCAATCTGATCGTTAAAGGAAGACTATGCCGACTGAAAATGACTTCCAAACGGTCAATCACTTTTTCCGCTGTTGTTGACTTGATGATTTCATATTCATTCATAGTACCTGCTGCAATAGTTGACAACCGAAATCGAATGTCCATCCGGTAAAGGACCAAGTAAATCTGTGGCCAGATTTGCCATGGCCCTTTAGGCATCACTGTGGGCGACAGTGGTTCAGGAACATCTGGTTTCGCTACCAACTGACAATCACGACATGTCCTCTCAAGTCTTTCTGCGGCCCTGTCCATTCCGGGCCACCAAACCTTTGTTCTCAGGTGTTTTTTTTGTTCCAACCACACCAAGATGACCCTCATGTGCCAACTGTAATGCTCTTCCTTGCAATGACTGTGGCAAAACAATCCTTGAGTATTATTTGGCCATTAACACAGCTCACCTGCAATATGTCTGTATGCAGGACAGTAATCAAAACCTGTTTGAATAGCAGTTCTCAGTTTCTGTAATTCCACATCATTTGCTGAGATCTGCTTGACTTCCTTGGTAGTCAAGGCACTGGGTGTGGCACAGAATGCTATAAACCGCACATATTCCTCTGCTTTATGTATGTGCATCTCTCCTTTGGCTGATGGGGCCCAGCAGACGTGGCAGAGGATGTGATGTGTGTTCCAGGTATGTGAATCACCCGGAAATCATGAGGCTGTAATCTTAAAACCCACATTTCGAACGTGTGCATGGTTTTGAGCGAGGGCAAAAAATTGCTTCCAATGCTTTGTGGTCTGTGACGAGATCAAACTTCCGACCATAAACGTAAGGGTGCAATCATTCACATGCCCAGACCAGAGCAAGTGCTTTGCGCGCTGTTTGCAAATACCTTTGTTCACACTCTGTCAAGCCCCTGCTCACATGCTGTACAGTAGCAGACAGGAACCATTCCTTCACTTTGGTCCTGAATTAGTACAGCTCCAACACCTTTTGGTCCAGCATCAGAAATGACTTTAGTTGGTGCGTCCTTGTCAAAGTAAGCCAGTGTTGTGGCCTCGGCCAACTTATCTTTGAGAGTTTTGAAAGCTTTCTTCTGATCAGTTCCAAAATGAAATTTGGTGTCTCTTTTTGTTAGTCATCGCAAAGGTTCTGAGATGCCTACAAACTGAGGTATTAAGCGGCTACTATAGGCAGCTAAACTGAGAAAGCTTCTCACCTCTGAAACATTTTCAGGCTCTCTTGTCTCCACAACTGCTCTCACCCTCTCTGCCGTTGGGCCCAAGCCTTTCACTGACAACGGCCTTTGCCTTTCCCATAAACGCCAATTTGTCCTTGTTAAATTGGCACTTCTCTACATTCAGAGTCAAGCCGCAGCTTTCCAGTCTCTTTAGTACTGCATGCATTCTTTGCTCATGAGCCTCTTTGTCAGGTGCATGGATGATGATGTCGTCTGATATGTTCTCTACACTTTCGATGCCAGCTAGAACACTGGTTATTTCGTGCTGGTACTGCTCAAACACCAGTCTTTTGAACCAGTTTGCATGAACAAGTTTGGGAACCTTTATAACCTTCTGTATATAGAATAATGGAAGATATTAGTGTTAATAATAGGTTATCTTTATTTTTGTTTTTTGGACAGTGGTGAACACTGGATTTTGCCATAGCCCTTGGATTCCATATTCAGGCAACTGTTATCTGCTTCATCGCAACAAACGGACATGGACAGAGGCGCGAGATTCATGTCTGCGGGAAGGAGGAGACCTGCTGAGTATCCTCAACAAAGAAGAGCAAAGCTTTGCCATCACACAGCTTGGATACTGTAAGTTTTGATCATTGGCTTTTAACTGGAATGCATTTTTAGTGTTGTTGTAGAAAAGAGCGAACTCACCCCTACTGTATAAGGTTGCTAGACAATAATCTGCATTGCTATTCTCAGCGAGGAAAGACGAGCTGTGGATTGGTTTCAATGATCGCAAAACTCAGATGCTGTTTGAGTGGAGTGACCAGTCTAGCGTCCCGTTTGCCTCATGGGAGGTGGGGGAGCCGAGTCACAATGCTGTTCATGCAGAGGACTGTGTGTTAATTAGAGGAGAGGTAAGAGCTTCATAGGCGAAAATTATTTGAAAAGTCATCTTAAATTCTAGTTGCATAGTTTTTCTCATAGAATGATCTGACGCTAAACTAAACATTTGCATGATGACTGTTTCTCTTTAAGGAGGGAAAGTGGGCCGATGATATTTGTGAGAACAAGTATGGATTCATCTGTAAGAAGAAGGCCAGCCATAAAGCCTCGAATAATGACACGGTTGTCACAAGCCCAGGATGCAAAACAGTATGTATATTCGTATAATAAGAAAATGACTGTAGAATTTTCTTCTATGTTTTAGGACATCAGGTGGTAAAATATACCTACAATTGTCTTATTTTTTTTAAAAGGGTTGGACCAGGTATGGGTACTACTGCTACATGGCAGCATCTGAGACAAAGACCTTTGCAGAAGCAAAACAGATGTGTGAAAAAGCGGATTCTCAACTGGTTGATATTTCCTCCAGGTTGGATCACTTCCTCAATTTGCTTGTAAAAGTGTAAAAGCAATTACTTGCTTTCAATAAATCTGATCTGACACTGAATTTACACTACTGTATGTTAATTAAAAAAAAAATCCTGAATTCAAATGACTATATAATTATGTGTTCTAAATAATATTTTAAAATCTATGAACAGCAGTTAAAATTGAATCTGCTCTGTCTCTCCCCCCATTAGAATAGAAAATGCATTTCTAGTTAGTCTAGTGGGAGCACGACCAGAAAAATACTTCTGGACTGGATTGTCTAATCAGAGGGATCTGCACACATTTGAATGGACCAACACCAAGCAAGTCCCATTTACTAATTTCAACGCTGGGATGCCAGGTATTATTAGGCCTACGCTAAAAATAAATAAATAAATAAATGTCAATGAAATGATAATGTTTTTGATTTTTCACAATTACATTATTACAGTTTAGAATTACTTTTTCTTTTTCTTAAAAAAAAAATATTTTAGAAAGAAAACAAGGCTGTGTTGCCATGACGACTGGAATTATTGCTGGGCTTTGGGATGTGCTTAGCTGCTCAAATAAGGAAAAATTCATCTGCAAGCAGAGAGCTGATGAACTAGTTACTACTCCAGCCCCGTCAACCCATCCTCCCCTGACCTGTTCTGAAGACTGGGTGTCAGTTTCATCTACAGACATTTGTGTCAAGGTAAAATGGACTTTATTTTTTTTAATTTTTTTTAGCTTTGAGAAATTTAGTATTTAGAAATTTGTTATTCAAACAAAATTGTACAACATTTCATGACAATATTTGCTTCTCTTTTTGGCAGTATTTTAATGTACCTTCGTATCTAATGAAGACTTGGGATGAAGCGCTTGACTTCTGCCGAGAGATTGGTGGTGATCTTCTGAGCATCCATCATGATTCTGATATTCCTTGGCAACATGGACGGTAATATCTAGCATTCCTTTTGTAAATGGACAAATTTGTTTAAAACTTGTTCATATCACATTATATAACAGGTCCTATTAATCTGTTTGAGACATGAGAATTTTCCACCATCTGACCATCAGCAGTCATAATCTGCAATTAATTATCCACAATTAAGCCACAATCCATCTCTATATAAATGCGTATACATATAAATGTGTGTAAATTAACTATATATATAATATAATATTTTGGGTATACATATAAATGCATGTTTAGAATCAACACACGCATATATACCTCATAAAAATCTCCACGAATGTTAGATTTGGCTGGCTCTCTGCCAATATGTATCTCTGTTCATGTGTTTTTATATTCATCGTCAGCGGTTGTAAATACTGTGAGTGTGCAGCAAGTCTCATGACTGAAACAGATGAATACATAAATATATAATCAAAAAAGTAAAGAAACTTCATGGTTTTGCTTGTAGTGGGTATCCAGCATGGATTGGTTATAGAATGTATGATCCCTCGGTGGGTTTTGTTTGGAGTGACGGTTCTTCGGTGAGTTCACAAAGAATATGTTAAAAGACAATTAGTGCTATAGAAATCGCATTTGATGTCATTTTGATTTTTCTTTTATTTATCCTTTAGTCATCCTATCAAAGTTGGTCCAGTGATGAACCAAACAATTTGAACAACATTGAAAATTGTGTTGAAATTGCTATTTCAATCTGGGACAGTGATGGAATGTGGAATGATGTAAATTGTCATGACAAAAAGGACTGGATATGTCAGATACCAAGAGGTACAAAATGGCAATCTGGAAAAAAAATCTAGTTCTGCCATCACTAGATTGGAAAGAAAAGTATATTTTTTTATGTTTAATTGACAGCTAACTGCTAAGCCTTCTCTTTAGGAAAGACCCCAAAGGAAGTAAATATTACAGCTCCAGGTAAGTCTTGTACTTTAAGAACTCCAGACTCAAACATTGTATTTTGACCACACTGATGAGGTAAATGAGAAACTTGAATTTAAAACATTTATTTACTTTTTATTTAAGTTTATAATGAAACGGAGGATGGCTGGACTGAATTCAGAAGTAACCAGTATTATGTGTCTCAATACTCGGCAATGTCTGTGCACGATGCACGGACATTCTGTAAGAAATCACATGGCGATCTTGCGGTTATCAATGACGAGGAAGAGCGGTTATTCCTCTGGCATAAGGTATGATGGCTGAGTGACATTTTCTGTAGCATATTTGTGGTGTGTATCACACAAAACTTGAATCAGTCTGTTATTTTGAGTATGCTTTGTAGTGCATTTATTTACTGACTTCCTCACAACTGCTGTGCTTTTTTCCGTTTTCAGGGTAAAATGATGCACAATGATTTTACCATTGGTTTGACAGTTGATCTGGACGGGTCTTACCAGTAAGTTTAAAGAACGTATAGCTCCTATATGAACTTCCAAAAGAACAACAACAAACAAATACATGTTTGCTCTTTAAAGGTGGATGGATGGTTCCCCTGTAGTATTTCATGCTTGGGAAGCAAATCAACCGGCTTTTAAAAACAGTGAGGAAAGATGTGTGAAGATGACCCTTTCTCAAGGTACATCATACAGTATCTTCTGATCTATGAGGACTTTAGGTATATGTGGAATGTTTTGACCACTGATACATTTGGTGAAGGAAATGTTTCTTTATGTATGATCACTGTGTTGATACATTTCGTACATTAAGTAAACCAATTTAAAAATCATTTTGACTGTTACAGGACTCTGGGAAACTATCAACTGTGGTGATGAATATAATTTTTTTTGTAAGCGAAGTCAGTCTCCTCCAGTTAATGCCACGGTGGCCCCTACACAAAAGCCAAAAGGAGGCTGTGCTCCTGAGTGGAAAAACTTTGATGGAAAAGTAATTATAAACGTATTCTAAAAAAAAAATAGTGTAATGCTATATTAGACGTAAAATATAACCTTCATTGTATAGTTAAACATTTTACAGTGTTAATGCAGTTTTAGTCTCTTCAGTCTAAACAGCTCAATGAATGTTTTTGTGCAAAATCACATCTTACACAGAATATAGCCTTGCTTATGAAAAGTTACAAAAAATTAGCACTGCTGTAATATGTTTTCCGGTACAATATTTAATAAAAGATCTTTAATTATATTTCTGACAATAAATGATAGGGGTAAAATAAATAATGGTAATTTATATAAAACATTATAGTGTTATGCCATGAAGGAAGACATGAAAACATGGACAGAAGCAAGAGAATACTGCAGAGAGCTTGGTGGAGATCTGTCATCTATTACGAGTAGAACCCAACAAGGTAAAAAGCTCTGTGAGAGATTTTAGAACTGCTCAAAATTATGAATGTGTAAATATCTTGTATTCTGTGGATGGAAACGTGACATTATTCTATATTATTGATTCTCTAAATGTTTGCTGTTTTGTTTTTTAGCAGTGCACTTTGATTGACTTGATTATTATCATATATTGCATGTTTAATATATATTTATCCATCTGCTGCAGCCTTTTTAACCATGATGATTAGAGATAAAACCATAGACTTCTGGATTGGATTCAACAATTTGGCAAACGGGAGGTTCAAGTGGACAGATGGGAGTACGGTTGCATTCACAGATTGGGCCAAAGGGGAACCTCAAAACTTTAGAGTATGTGCATTTTGTTGTCATTTATGAGTGAACATTATGAATTTAGGCAGCTTAAATGTAAAATTTTAGTTTTGGAGTGACAATGTTTTGTTTTCTTTTTAACTAAATGTATTCTGTTTCTCTTTCAGTGGCATTCGCACTTTTGGTCAAGATATCAGTTTACAGATGAACGGGTACTATGATAAGCTGACTAAAACTAAATATTATATTTTTTTGTGACAACAAAGGCTTCAGTAGCAGTGTTTCTTTTTCAAACAGGAATGTGCTGTTATGGGCATAGGTTCAGGCTCTAATGGCGAGTGGGTGGCAACTGACTGTAATTCTACTCATGGTTTTATCTGCAGTCGTGATGTTGGTGAGTTTAGCCAAACACTGCGGACCTGTAGAGAGATTGGTTAAATCTCTGCAGACTTTTACTATTCCTCTTTTGTTTTCATCGTCTCTTTTCACATGTTCAGATCCTGGTATTGCCCCAGTTCCAACTGAATTTCTGAAAACCTTTATCAAGCTCGGAAATTCAACTTTCAAAGTGATTCAAGAGAACCTAACATGGAGTGAGGCAAGCCGTCGCTGTGAGGCAGATGGGGGTCATCTTGCCAGCATTCGGAACTTGGTAACACAAGCTTACTTTGAGCTGCAGGTCTTCAAACTCCAACAGCCCATGTGGATTGGTCTCAACAGTGTGCAGGTACTGCACCGGAGTTAGAAAGGGAAAATCATAGCGTTACATTTTGTAGAAATATTCACCCAAAAATGTAAAGACCCCTTCATGGGTTTTTTATTGCGTGGGACAGGCTGCTAATTGCCATATAATGAAAGTAAATAATTACTGGGGATGTCAAGCTCCAAAAAGGACAATTATTAAAAGCAAATGCACAAGACCGTCATCTACAAACATTCAAAATGTGTGTGTAAATGGCATGTCTGTTTTTCTAAATTAGGCTCTATTACATGAAAAGTGAACCATATATCATACTCTGTTTGTGTGATATTTATGACTCCAACCTACTCATTATATATTTGTATTCATTAACAGTCAAATGGATATTTTGTATGGATGAATAATTGGCCCTTGAATATGGAGAAATGGGCACCTTCTGAACCACAGTCCAACCGCCCTTGTGCATACATGGGAATAGGAGGAGAATGGATAACTACTCTCTGCAATCAAACCTTCTACGGTGTCTGCGAGCAATCAACAGGTGAGATGCACATATTTTTCCTTTAGACGATTACATTTTGCCATCATGTCAACAAATAATTGGGGGTCAGTCTTAAAAGATTCCAGTGCTTGGAGACAAGATTTTTTGTAATAATTGTAATAATTCTGCTCTCTCTATTTGCTCTAAAGCCGGGAGCAATGCACAGGTTTCAGAAATTAAAACTGAGTTGTGTTTGTGTGTATTTTTGGTATTGTTGTTGTGGGCACTTCAAAATACTGTGAATAATTCTGGATAGCTTGTCCGAAATTCGAATTACATATGAAACAGCCCATTCTCACCCCCAAGGCGTCACTTAACTGACGCCTTGGGAAGCATTTGGACATCCTTCAATATCTGACGCTTTAAGCGCCCTTTAGCGTCAGTCAGATGACGCCCTAGGATCACGTGTACCCTACCCCCACCCCACACCTAAACCTAACCGTGTCCTCTAACTGACGCTTTCTTTTAGCGTCAGTTAGATGACGCCGTAGGATCGCGTCATGTAAGTGACGCTAAAGGGCGCCTAAAACGTCAAATATTGAAGCATGGTCAAAGGTGACGCCTTGGGGTGAGAATGCGTTGATATTTCGGCTATCTCCCGCCTCAGCGTTCATCCTCCCGTCTCCAAAAGCTAATCAGCTAATATCACCGTTGACAGCTTTCCTGTGAGTGGGCGTGGTTTCCACGCAGCCAGCGGACATGCCCCCAGCGTTTGAGAACAGAGATAACTGCTAATTTTTTCATGATTTTGATAGCTTATTTTACGTACTTGCCGGCTTTTTTATCATTCAAATTTGGCTGGATGGCTAATAACACATTTTTCTGTGGTGTCACAAACTCGAAACACATACTTAATTTTGACTTTACAGGGACTTTAAATATGGTGTTTATTAAAAAGTAAACTAAGTGTGTCAACTAATGAGATTGAGTGAATGATTCTTCAGAGGTAAAATTTGATCGCAATGGTCATTCATCGGCTTTCGACTTGCATGTCAATATAGCGGTCAAAGACTTCAGATTTTAGCCCAGGATCAGTGGAATCTTTTTGGATTCTCATAATTTTGTCATGTTCCCTTTGTTTCCATAGTTACTCATTTTTTTATTTATTAACTTCTTGTTTTCTCTACTGTTTATATAGCCATCGTTTTCAGTTGTTTCTTTGTTCGTTCTCATTGGTGTATCGTCGGTTGTAATTTTTCCTGCATTTCTCCTGTGCTCTTGCGTGTTCGTTGTTTTAATTACATTGCGAATAAACGTGACTTCTGCGATTAGATCCTGACTCAACTCTGCTTATCTGTTCCCGGCTGTGACAGCACCATACATCAGTGCTCTTGGAACAACGCTCCTCCAATCATTACACACTGAATGGATACTGCTTCTTAAAACAGCTGTACAGTAATCCATCACTTTCCCTTAAGCACACTTTTCCATGTGACATTTTCCTCAGACATTTCCCCGACTCTACCAGCTCAGCATCCTGGGCATTGCCCACATGAAGATGATGACGGTTCTTTGAGGTGGATACCTTTCAAAGACAGTTGCTATGCTTTTGTGACTGATTCCAAATCATGGAGCAAAGCAGCTAGACTCTGTATGACAAGGGGTAAGGTTATAGATGGATTTTGAAAGGTGTTTACCCAATTACATGACGGATGCAAAGAACAAAAAAGTAACAAAGCTTGTACTTCATTTTTCTTTCTCGTCAGGAGCATCTCTTGTCAGCATTAGGGATGTGGCGGAAGAGAAGTTCATAGAGGACAACCTTATGCTCCTTGACAGTTACAATGGAATTTGGATTGGACTTTTCTACTCCCAGAAAGGTAATGTGCCAAATATACCTTTCTCACATGAAGGAATCTCTTCTGTTCAACACCTTTCCAGTGCCCCAGAGTCTTCACACAAATAGTAAATGAACTCATGGGTCTAAAAGGGTTGGTTACAAATGAACTCACCCTGGATTGTCTAACTACACAGGACACTGGTTATGGTCAGACTACAGCGTGGTAGATTACACTAACTGGGGATCTGAAAACGATTATGAAGACGACTATGAATTTCATTCTTGGAATCCTGAATGTGCATTTCTATCTATCAAATCAAAAAAATGGAGAAAAAAACATTGTGATTACACAATCTTACCATTTATCTGCAAAACCCCCAAAGGTACGTATTGTAAATTTTCACAATAGAATATTTCGTAAAATGTTGTATCATATGAGTAGTTGTCACTTAGAGAAATGCATGTTAATGCTTTGAGTCAAATGTCCAGTGGCAAAATTGCTTTTAGCAGTGCTTACTTATATTGGTTTAAAAAATCTCTTGTGAATTCAGTCGTTCAAACTAAATTTACTGTAATTATCAGCATATTTGTGTAATGACTGTTAGGTAACACAATAATATTATACAACAAAGGTAAATAATGATAAACTGTGTTCTTATAGGATATAATAAATGGGTGTTTTTTTAGTTTGGTGTTACAATTTTATATTCACAAATAACTGAAGCTAAATCATTTCTGTTTGCCAAAACAATGTTATATTGCTGCTTTAATCTTCATTAAAAGCCATTAAATACACTATAATATATGTCTATAAGTATGTAATATATAATAAGTATCTTGTGGAAAATGCTTTTTTTCCCTTTTTACTTTAGATGTTAATATTTCATAAAACAACTTTCTGAAATTATAGTTTCAAGAAACCACATGTCCATATTGTGACAGTTTGTATCAGAATTACCTGCTCTAGTCACAAAAGGTCACTTTATAAATTTCTCTGGAAAAAAAGGTGGAAATGTTCCATGCCTTTTACAGGTAGGAATGTGTATAATCCAGAGGTTCACAAAGTAGACAAAGAAGCAACCGGGGTAAATTGTGACAACTAGCTCTAGTCTCACCTATTTTATTCATATGAACAGATATACTTATTATGATTGTTTTGAGTAAAATGGAAATGTAATAAAACTCTAAAATGTTATTACATTATCTATTTATCCTTTTTCTTTCCTGCAGTATTGATTCCAACCACTGAGGCCTCACATGCAGGTAATATGATAATTTATTTATAATGTGTTTTCTTGTGCTTTTTTTTTTTTTTTTTTTGTTAAGAAATATTCAAAAAAAAATCTCATTTTATGTCAAGAAACAAAACACTAACAGTAAAAAAAAACAGTATGTAAAATAGTAAAATTGCATATGTAAAAAATAGTAACAGTATGTAAAATAGTAAAATTATACACTCTAAAAAGAGATGTGTTAAAAAACAACACACATCATGTGTTGATGGTATTTTGACACAAGTTGTGTAGTTTTTAACACACAATGTGTGTTAAAATGTAACTGGATAGAATTTTAATGGGTGGAGGGAAGTTTGTGTTTATGAACCTAATTAGAGGTAGTATATTTTATATGGTATCCCATAACAAGCTCTAAAATAAATGAAACAATACATTACAATAAATAAATAAAATCTTAATTCATAAAAAACTTCACATTAATGAGTGTTTTTGGCAGCCAATCACATCATGCCTCGGTTTCAATGTTTTTTTCAAATGCTGATTTCACTTGTTATTAATAACTAATCTATTATAACAAACAATTTATTTCTGTCAGACGTCTACAGAAACACTTATTGAGAATTACCAGGTTTTGTGTTGACGATTCATTGAATGTTTGTTTTGAAGTCACCAGAATCGTGATTAGTGGCAGCTTTATTTGGGCTCTTGACCCTTCACTCTTTATCATTCGTTTCTCTGTTTGCTGTTTCTGTGTATTTATATTGCACATCTGAAACAGTTGAACTTATCTTGAGGAAAAAGATCATTAAATGATCATTTTTCAACATCATGTTTTTTAACATCGCAAAAGAAGTTTAATGTATCTCTTAAAAGAGATAACTTATATTTGATCACTTATTTTTGATTACAGATACTCAGTGTTTACATGATATTATGGTGTACGCTACCTTATGCTATAATTCTTTAAAAAATATGTTTAGAGACAGTTTAAAGCTGCAGCAGAAACTAGTCAAATACAGACATCAAGAATCAGCATATGGCTCTCAACAATGGTGGCAAAGCTTCATGCCTCTAGTACAAAGCTCATCCATAAGTCCCAGCATGCATTGCGGCATGGAACTTTTCGTTTGTCACCATTATTGAGATCCATACGCTGATTCTTGATATCTGTGTTTGACTGGTTTCTGCTGTAGCTTTAAACTTTTTTTGTTATTCTGCACTTTTGGATAGCTGGATGTAGTTTCACAAAACCTTAAGAACTAACAATACATCATTAAAATAAAGCACACCATCCATATACTCAAAAACTTGATCATAACTTGCTGATTATGACATCATCAAGAACCTTCTGATCATATTTTCTGTCACCATAACAGATGTATTTTATTAAAATACAGTTACAGCAGGCAGAGAAACACTAAAACAAGAGTAAAGGGTCAAGAGCCCAAATAAAGGCGCCATTAATCACGATTCTGGTGACTTGAAATAAAACTGAAATGAAACATCAAACCTCTGTTAATTCTCAATAAGAGCTTGTCTATATAGATTAATGATGTTTAAAACATCCAAATGTTCAAACAAACTCTATTAAACATCACTGGACTACATAAACACAAGTTACCAATACGTGTCAGTGTTCATCCAAACACTTTTGTAAGCACACGGGAAGTAACTCTGGCAAATACTCTCCGACTACAGTCACATGTGACGCATATCTGACACAAGTTGTGTTACTATAACACATTAGTGTGTAAAAGGTTTCAACAACACACTGCTGCTGTCTAACACATTAGTTGTGTTAAACGTAACACAAAATGTGTAATCCTTATAAACACAGAGATGTGTAAAGAAACAACACAGGTTGTGTGTTAAATTTGACACAACATGTGTTGTCCTTGAGCAAACACACTAGATGTGTTAAAATCTACAAAACGGGTTAAAATCTACACAACATGTGTTAAAATCTACACAAAATGTGTTGTCCCTGAGCACACACACTACATGTGTTAAAATCTACACAGCATGTGTTAAAATCTACACAAAATGTGTTGTCCCTAAGCACACACACTATATGTGTTAAAATCTACACAGCATGTGTCATTTTTAACATCTCTTTTTACAGGTTGTGTTATTTACAAAATCATTTTATAAGAGTGCACCAGTGTAAATAAAACTTATTTACACACAATATTTTGTCAGTTGCTACATTTTAATCTAATTCAAAGTGCAAACTTAGTGAAATCACACTCCCTGTGTTAAGAACAATAACACACTGGTTGAGTTAAAAGTAACACAAAATGTGTTGTCCTTAACTAGACACACAGGTGTGTTAAGATATAACACAGGTTGTGTTGTTTTTAACACATCCATTTTAAGAGTGTAGTTTGATATAATATGTGTAACACAACTTGAGACTAGATAGTTTCTCTTACTATTTTTATCTGTTTTCACAGGTTCTGAACTTCACAGGGTCAAAACCGGATTGGCTGTGTTCTTGAGCTTTGTAGTGGTCGGCATCTTGGGAGCTCTAGCGTATGTTTTGTACAGAAGTTCAAAAAGACTGTCATTGCCTACATTTGAAAATCCCATGTATAATAACACAGACGCTGCTTATTCAGATAGTAAAGATAACAAAACATTGCTTAGCCACATTGATATCACTGAATAGACCCGTGTTTTATAATGTCCCAGTACTTATATATATGTAAGAGATACTGTACACTCAGCCGATCTTTATCATAAAATAAACAATAACAGGGATCATCGGGTTTATTTTGTGATAATGGCTGTACTTTATCCTGCTTCGTACATGGCTACTCTGCAAATAATATTGATTTGGGAAGAAGGTATTTTATGTCAGGAAAAGAGCACAGCTATGTTGTCAGATATAGTTTAGCAGTCATTATGCAAAAACAAATCTGACTGCAGAATGGTACAAATGACTAATCAGAATCAAATATTTTAGAGTCAACCAACATGAAAGGAAACCAATAAATTAATATTTCAATGCCATTGTCCTGTATAGATTCCTGTGACGCTACTTCTACTTCTAGGCTTTTCTACAAGTTTTTGTTTTTCAAGTTGAATAAGAACTGTCTCTAAATAAACTTTAATATTTACACTGTAATATGCCGCATGTGTTTTTGAGCGAACCACCACAGTTACACTCCACCTGTGCAGTGCAAATTGGTTTAAGTATGGAAAAAGTGTCTCATCTTTTGGGGTGAGTATGGAAAAAGTGTCTCATCTTTTGGGGTGCAGTGTCAAAGAAAAACAGATGACGTAAGGTCAGCCGACTTGGCAGAATTTGGAGTATGAGGACAGTGTTGGAAAACAAATTACCTGAACTTTAAAAAAAAAAAAAAATGTTTCAGAAATATATGCCCTCTTTGAATTAAATGGCATATTTTATATAAAATAGTCAATAGCCCTTCATAATATCCTTCTTCTACGATTAATCAAAGGTAAAATCATGATGACAGACACATTTAGGAAAACAATGCACAGAGACATTAAGTGATAAATTTGACGTGTGCATTATTGGTTCAGGAGAACATTTCAATAAAGACAATATACAGTCAGTTCAACTGAATACAGATGTACATCTATATTACAGTGCAGCAGTATCTGTACTCAGTTTTATCAATCCAATATCAACAAAGGCATTTATGAGGTGTATATACAAATGCATAGAAAGAATTTTCAAGCTATAGTGTGGTCACAAACTAATGCATAGAGTACTCAGGAAACATGTATAAAATGTAAATAAAAGTCATGGTTCCAGGTGCATTAAGAGTATGTACAGATCAGCTTATATATCTTTTTCATTCCATTTTTAACATACTGTAACTGGAATCAAAACTTTTACCATGCTGTTGTACACAAGGTATTTTCTAAATCGTACTTATTTCGCTCAAGACATTTGAGTGCCTTTTTACTTTGTGAACATGAAAGTTACGATTAAGAAAACAATTTAATCCATTTAATATACATAATGTGTAGATTTAAATAAATTTAGAAAATCATAAATACATGCAGCTGGTTGGCTAAAAATTATCACATTTTATATATTATAAATATGGAAAAACAAAATTCATAAAAATTGACAGTGTTCACTTGCAATAATTTTGCATGAGCAAAGAACACATAGTATGGCTCGAGAGTTGATAGCTAAAGGTCTTCGTATTGACATACAACGTAACGTATGACATTTACTGAATACATTTTCAATGTATTTAAAACAATCTACACCTGGCCAAACTAAACACTGAACAGTGTATAAATTAAAGCCAAAATAAAATTGGTTGAAAATTGTAATTCACGCTGACTTTAAAGTTTAAGATTGTAAATGCTCTCAGGGTACGTTTACACAAAAATGATATACTAAAAACGGAGATGTTTTTCCTTTTTGTTTTTAGATGACAATGTTGTCAATACAATCCCTATTCACATGGATCCATGAAAAAAAAAATCGCTGTTTTATCCATGCAGGCCAGTAGTTAGCGTGCGATGCTATTTTGTAAAGAAACACAACAGGCCTATAGACTGAACACGCAATACGCATGCGCAAAGCATGACATCACAGTTTTCACAAATTCACGTTTTTGTAGTTTACGCAGAGCAGAGACGATAACTGTAAAAAACGGTATTGTCATGTAAATGGCAAAAACGCACAAAGGTTTCATGTTGAAAACATTGTTGTGTAAATGGACCCTTAGTGTCATCAAATGGAATTACAAAGATCGTGACTTTTCAAACAAAAATGGAAGCCTTGCACATTCAAGTTAAAATTGGCCCCAATCTCACATTAAAAATGAGGAGGATTAAATAAATAAAAATGACTAGACTATATTGTAATTGTTTTGATGTTGAAAAAAACTGACCTTTCAATCACTGAGGTGGAAACCCAACCATAAAAGGGTTTAGTTTGCCTAATTTTTATATAGCCAATGGCACATACTTAGTTTTCATACAGATTATTTGTGGGTAAATGCTAATTCTTGTAACCATTTTAAAAAGAAATAATTTTCTTAATATTTTCATACTTAACACTAGAGTAGCAGCACGTCCCTCAAAAGACCAGAAACAGAAAAAAAAATGTATTATCTTTCTCAGGGGTGAAAAATTAAGATGATAAGAGATGAGCGGTTTGCATGTGCGTTTCACAAAATTGTTTGAAAAAAAAAATGGTGTATCTGACTGATCGTTAACAACAGGGGAAATAACAAGCAAGGATGTAACCACATACTTGGAATTGGAAAGACCAAACGTGCTGAAATCATTTAAAAAACATGGTTATCACAGGCCTGATAGCAAGAGGCACATAAAGCCAAGGAAACACGGAATTATCCGAATGAAAGGCTCATAATCAAGGAAAGTTAGATTTGGACCAGAGTAGACAATAACACAGTAGAACAGATAAAGGAACAGAAACCATGTTGTCCTGAGTACACGGTAGCCAGCATTTAAACATAGCAGCATTAAAGCAATGTCCATCTCAGTGATGAATGTACATGTCTTCAGTCCACTCCTCCGCCTCCACGCACCTCTCCCTCTCCCTGTCCCGCTCCCGTCCCTGGTAGTGATAGTGGTTGTGGTGTGGGTGAGCGTAGTGGTGTGATTGTTGGTGTGAGCGCATCTGTATCGGCTGTCTCTGTTGCCTGTTGTGCTCGTTGTGCTCCAGCTCATAGTCCTGCTGCCCGTGGTGGGAATAATCCGGCTGAATGTCTGCGGTCCCGCCGCGGCGGTGGTGGTGATGTCGATGGTGATGGTTATGGTCCTTTTGAATTGTAGTCCTGTTATGGTAGACCTCGGTTTGATCCGGGTCGCCCTCACCCGGGAGTGCGCGCCTGCTCCGGGACTCTGTGTGCGAAGCGTCTTTAGTGGGAAGCTGCTCCATGTCGGTGGGCTGCTGCTGATGCATGTGGTGCTGGTGTTTGTTGTGGGGCTCGGTCGGTCGGCTGGTGCTGGAGCGGTGGTGATGATGATGATGGTGGTGATGGTGATGGCTGCGTCTCTTTGGCTCGCTACGAAGGAGCCTCTCCTCCTCCTCAGCCTCCTCCAGCACTTCCTCTTCTTCTTCCTCCTCTTCCTCCTCCTCTCTCGTCTCCTGAGCCTGGGGCAAAAGCTCCTGCTGGTTCTCTTGATTTCCTTTTCTCTTGGTGGTGGCAATCTTCTTGCTTTTCTGTTCGTCCTGTAAATGCGATACATTAAATGAAAATTAGAGATTTGTGGATTTTAGATAGCTTTGAGGCCATTTAGACAAAAAAAAAAAAAAACTCAGCCCAAAACAGTCATTGTACCATTTATTTTCTCCATAGAGGAATTTTGGGGATTTTTAATGATTACATTTAAACTGACAGACCTATATGTCTGATTTTCAAATACTTTTTTGCTTTAAATCAAATTTTGTAATGTTGGGATTCATCTTGTAGCTGATTGGTTTGATTCCTTTAACTAACTGCTGCACTCATCCTGAATGACTCATCCTTCACAACACTGATTTTTTCCAATCAGATGCTCTATAGAATCATGAAGTAACGAATAGGAACAGAGTCATAGGTTTGATTCCCAGGCAAAATAACAACTGATCAAATGTGTACCTTTAATGCAGTGTAAGTCACTTAGGATAGAAGTGTCTACCAAGCAGTGTTGGGGAAAGCTACAGGAATAATGAGTTAATGCATTACAATGTTGTGTTACTCCCTAAAAAAGCAATCATACAGGCCTACCAGTAAAAAAAAATTCAGACATCACCACCAACTCTTCGTTTATTGAAATATGTAGTAGTTCGACAAATTCCTAGGTAAACCCTCATGTAAAAAAAAACAAAAAAACACAAATAACAGCCTAATTAAAAGTACAAGTAAGCAACTGCTTGTTTAGCCTTGTGCAAAGACAATAAACTACAAAAATGGCACTAAACTGCCCTACTGTAAAGTTTACTTACGACACCTAATAAGCTATTACTAATATGAAAAAGTAGAACAAACTAGCAGGGACTGACACTAAAGGCATTTTACCTCAGAGACCACCATCTCACTCAACGAAGGTCCATTAAGCTCAAGTCTTCTTTAAATGTCCAAGAGAGTTTAGTAAGAGGTAGGGAGGAAATTGTAAATGTCAAAGAATGACACACCAATTAACAAAATTTCAGGCTCTATGGAGCCTGTAGATGTTTCCAAGCAGTCATAATTTAGGACTTGCACAGAAGAACGAACAAGACAACAAGTAAATCTAATAAAATCTGCTATAATGTGGATAAAACTGGAGAGCCATTCAATCAAATAGTAATAGAAATTAGTACTAAAACTTTAGGATACAAAAATATACAGCATTGTCAGTGAGAGCATACTTGAGATGAAATATGAGATATGTGATGTGTGAGGAAAATAAAGAAAATGGAAAATTAGGTGAAAATTATGAAAATATTATTGAACTGTGTGTATTTAGGATACATAAAATGCTAGCAATGAGATAAGCCTTTAAATGAGATGAGACAGTTGGACATTTTATTACAGAACGCTACACAATACATAATGGGAAATGTGGTAGAAATTACACTGTTTAAGATTTTATGAATATATGTACACTACCTTTCTAAAGTTTGGTGTCAGATGTTTTTTTCTTTGAAATGAATGCTTTTTAATTTAGCTAGTACATTAAATTGATCAAAAGTGACAGTATTTTAAATAAAGAGTTTATAATTTTTATAACTTTATAATTATCAAAACAATTCCACAAAAATATCAAGCAGCACAACCGTTTGAACATCTATAATAATAAGTATTTTTTAACACCAAATCAGCTGAAGGATCATGTGACACTGAAGACATTTTAAAATGTAAGGTATTTCTGTGATGGCAAAGCTGAATTTTCAGCATCATTATAGAAATCTGTAGGCTCTATCTGTATAGTTCAATCTCAGTAGTTCATCTCCTGTTTTTCCTCAGAGTGTGTCCAGTACCTTAGCAGGTGTGGGGCTGGTGGGGAGTGTGTTTTCTGCCAGTTTCTCCAGCATGGGGTTGGGAGGTTCCATTTCAGGAGGGTGTGTGGCTCTCCAGTAGGCCTCCAAGTAATCAGCGATGTGTTCACAGGCATCTGACAGCTGGTTCTCATCCAAGATGACATCGAACAGCTCCTGTGAGAGAGACCAATAATGGTGACGTCACAACAAGTGACAATGAAATGAAGCCAATAGCACTGCAGGGAGGCTAATCTATGTAAACGACTGCATTGGGTGCTTTGTAACATGATGCAGTGTACAAATAACAGTCTCTCGATAATCATATCCGTTTGTGATCAGGCCTTAGTTAGACTTGAATTATAAATAAGGGGAGTGTTGAAAGAAGGCTATCAAAGAGGTTTGTAATGTGGGTGTTCATATTGATTTTCTAAAAAAAAACTGACCCTAAATTTGTTAGAAGTTATATATCAAGAGCATAACAGGGTGACATTTTGTATCACGATTATAAATATAATGATCTGGATTTTAGCAAAGAGTCAACTGCTATCATATTTAAGTATTTGGATGGCACACTTACATTCGGACACTGGGCCAGTTTGTCTGCGGCCACCATCTGGACATTCAAATGTTTAGTCTGAGATTTGCCCCTGGTCTTTATCAGTCTTGTGAGAACCTGAACAGCAGATGAAAAAAGGAAGGAAAAAGGGACAGGAAGGATGAGTGGGAGGCATATGGGTGTGAAAGTACGGTGGACGTTAGGTCATATTGGGTCACAAGAGAAAGGTTAGTGTTTTTTTTCTGTAACTGGTCTTCTTTCAACGAAGCGTTTCCTGTGTGAATGTATTAGCTACACATTCAAATGCTTGACAGTGAATAAAAAAATGCTTTCTGTAGCCTAGTGACAGACAGATAGATCTTATTCATTTCACAGAAATTTATCATTTTGAACAATGTAGTACACTTTGAAAGGAAATAAATAAAAAGACAGGTGGTTATCAGAAAAACGACAGGTTTATCAAACAAGCTGATTTATAGTACCAGATCAGATATCGCTGTTCTGACAGAATGATCTTGTTTCTGCCTCCTAGTGGCTTAAATTCATTTTTATTCCATTATAAAACTGACTGAATTCTTGAACATATTAGCAAACATGCCATTTTTGAGCATTTTCTCAAACTAGGAAAATGACAGAAACCAGCTGGAACTGGTTGGTACACTGAATTAAAGCTGAATGATGTTTTTTTTTCTGATCTAGATATTTAATGGATGACTTTGATGGAATTATTGAACATTATTAAAGGGGTGATGAACTGAGAAATCAAATTTTCCTTGAGCTTTTGATATCTAAGAGGTCATCATATTATAAGAATATCCTGTAAGTTTCAGAACTGAAAACGTCCTTGTTAGTCCAATAAAAGCTTTTATTTACACCAGCCTCTGAAAACGTCTCGTTTTGAAAAGTGGGAAACTACGTATGACGTCGAAGGGGTTAAAACACCACCCCCCGCAGAAGAAGATCAACACCTACTTCAACACGGCCGGTGTTCTGACAATTCATGCTACCCATCGAGATTTCCTACTTACCGGTTAAGCGCATGTGCAGACTCACAGTTTTTTTTTTTTTTTTTTTTTTTTTTTTTTTTTACAAAAGGTACATTTTCCTGTTATAATGTATAATTTCCCTTTAAAAAATGCTTACTACCATATGAATATTTGTACGGTCAGCCAGCTGAAAAGGAATAACTGAAAGTTTCAGTTACTATAAGAAAAGGTGTACTTTGACAAGTCAAAGATGAATATTTTATGATAATTTTTACTTTTCACACCGTTTTAAAAATAAAAACAGTAGTCTACAGTATACAGTAGCTACTCCTAACTTAGAATTGTATTAGAATTGTATTTCATACGACTTTAATCGGCATTCTGTGATCAATTCGCACTACGGTAGCATTTTTCGACAAGGCAGCAAAAATCGACAGAACACCGGTTTAGCCCCGCCCACCGATTCGCGCATTACACGCATAGCTAAGTAGCCTACATGCCTACCTCGTGATGACAAACCGGATCGTTCTACCGAGCAATACAGAATATTTTGCAGTGCCTGGTTGTGGAAGAAAGCTTCCTCTGGATTCCAATAGGACTTCATGGATAAACTTTATTTTTAATGACGTTCCAGCTGATGAGGGTAAAACATCGTCGTCTGTTCGCTTAATTTCACTGAGGATTGTTTTGTAAACAAGACTGGATTTGGAGACCGATTAAGAGTAAAGAACGGTGCTGTGCCGTCTATATTGGATCTGACAGGAATTGTGCAACACACGGACTGGGTCGAACATGTATGGGCGAATCCGGTTGCCATTTGACAACATTGGACGTTTTCCCCCACATACACCGACGGGTGAGTGAAACTCATTATAATATGCAAAACTGTTATCCACTCACAGCAGTGGGCGTTTATTTCCAAGTCTTCAGTGCGACACGCCCATAAAAACCGACCGTTTTTCAGGAAGGCTCACAACTTGGGTACAAAATAGCCTATTACTTATTCATTTTGATGTTTTTGAATGCAAAAACCAAGCGAACGTCTTAAGTTGACCTCAGACAACAATATAATAACATTTTAAAAGCCAGTTCATGACCCCTTTAAGTTCATAATAAGGGTTGAACATAGTAATTCACATTGAATAAGTCCTGTTTTGTCATTTAACTCTTTAAAACCTACAATAAATTGTTTTATAGATTATAAGTCTACTGCAGAATGTGGTGCATCTTTATGCAGTGTTAACTAATCACCAACACAACCGCATCCATACATATTCATTCATTTCCTACAGATTAAATGAACGATATGTATTAGGAATTACATCATATAAAATGAAAAAAAAAACAAAACTTATTTTTCATTTAAATGCTGTTCTTTGTTTATTTTTTAACAAAGAATTCAGAAAAAAAGTATCACGGATTCCCCAAAATCTTCAGCAGTGCAACTGTTTTAAACATTGATAATAATCAGTTCTTGAGCACCAAATCGACAGAGGAATAAAGTATTATTATAATAAATTATCATAAAATAAATTGAGACTGAAAAAGCATGAGAGATTTCGGTAACAGTTAACATGAACTAACAATGAATAATGCTTACAGCATTATTAATCTTAGTTGATGTTCATTTTAACAGTTATTAATACATGCTTAAAATCAACAGTTAATGCACCGTGAACAAACAATTAACTATTTTACATTAATAATACATCTTACCGACCCACATTTTTAAACAACAGTATCTGTTTCATTAGTAAGCAAATGATTGTTGTGAGAAATGTTTGCAAGTTCTGTGAACAGAATTTCTGACCTTAGGTGATGAAATCTTGACATACACCAGGATAGGGGCCAATGAGGTCTTGCTTAGTTGGATAGGGTGGTTAATGGTGTCAGCATCCAGAACCACAAGCTGTAGGCTGCGTGCTAACTCAAAAATTCTCTCAACCTCTCCTTGGATTTGAGCTGTAGGGACAGATAAAGAAATAAATTAGGCTAGTCGTCAACCTAAAAATCATTATACCATCTTATTATTACAAATATTATTCTATCAAAGTAAAATATTAATGTAAATATTATAAAAATAATATTATAAAAATATTATTCTATCAAAGTACAAATGTACAAATACTGCTGAATGGCAGCCAAAAGCACTTAAAATGGAATGGAATGGGAAGCTTTGTTTTGTCCAGTTCCACTAATACAAGTAGAAAGAAAAGAAGAAATAAAGCTTTTTGCTTTAAGTGTCAGGTGAAAGTCCCATCTTTAAAACTAAACACATTCCATTCTCAGGTCATGCAATATGTTTTTGAAAATAGAGATGATCTATGCTGACAGAACAGTTCCTCATCCACAGGAAGTAAAAGAACAATGAAGGTTTAAAACTTGCTCTTTGCTCTAAATTGAGCAAACTTTAATGATAAAAAAACATCACAAGTGAGTTCAAAATCAGCTCAGACGGTGCTCAATGTTTTCTTTCACATTTTTCTTTTTTTAAATTTAAATCATGAGGGGAAAAATCTAAACTATTTTAGTCTTTTCTTGCATGATTTATATCTTGTTTTAAAGATGTTTAGATGTTGTTTTTTTCTCAGAAAAACAAACAAAAAAAATACTTCTTAAGCAGCGCAAAACTTACACTTACACATACACTCCATACTTTGGCTTGCATTTATTTGACCGAAAAAAGAAAAAAAAAATCACAAATTATGGAGATTTTGTGGTGTCTAACACAAGCCGAAGCTTTTAGGTGCAGTGACCACCATCACTAAAAGTATCAGGGTTCTTTGACACTTATAGTGTTCTCTAAAAGAGGTAAAGCAGTTTTACACCAACAGGAATGAGTCGGGGAACATAGACAAGCTACTGCTGTAATACATACCAGCGGCATCTGAGTAGAGAGCAATATGAGGAACAGAGTGGAGAGAACCAGAACCAATCAGATCCTGTCAGCTAACCAAAGCTAGCTACACACCTCAGATCCACACCCACTAATGTTAAACAGCTACTTAAAATTCACCAAAAAAATGAAAATCATGCCATCATTTACTCACGCTTGAGTTGTTCCAATCGTGTATGAGTTTCTTTCTTCTGCTGAACTCAAAAGAAGATATTTTGAAGAATGTTGGTAACCAATCTGGTGGGCCCCATTCACTTACATATTCTCATTCCACTCGTTCTTACATATTCTCGTTCCACTCATATTCTTCAAAATATCTTCTTTTGAGTCCAGCACAAGAAAGAAACTAATGCAGGCTGCATGGGAACAACTTGAGGGTGAGTAAATTATGACATTTTTTTTTTTTTTTCATTTTTGGTTTAACCATCTCTTTAATAATTAAAATGACAAGATACAAATTTTTGTGTTGTGAGAATTGCACTAATTTAAAAGCAGTGGGAGTTTATCTGCAAGTGGGATCTTTTTTTATTGCACAAACAGCAAAAATAGTTTTATTAATCAGTATTTCAGTATTTCTGTCTTGTTTTCCTATTAAATACATAGAACTAAATAAATATAGGCTACTTAATGAAAAATGTTATTTAATATTTTGTGCAGTTTTGTTTATCAGGTACATTTATCTCGTTTTAAAATATGAAATTATGATTTTTTTTTTTCACATTGAACTATCAATAATCTCTGGTCCTTTTATCCCAGCTTTTTAAATACATGATCTGAAGTAGCCTTAGCCTATATGCATTTGTTTGGGTGCAAGGACTAATATGTTCTTAAGACTCTCTCTGATTCCGAATTAGACAGAATTAATATTAACTCAATACATTCAGAATATATTATGTATTTGGTATAGAATGACATAAAAGACCAAGTAGTGATTACCTAAACTAGAGCGGGTGTTGGAGCGATCCATGATGGCGTGCTTGCTGGGGTTGTTGAGGATCGACCGCTTGGCAAGTGCAATATCTGCCGTCACCCGGGTGATAGTTATTCTAATGACGGATTAACAGATTAGAAACAACATTCTATCTACACACAATTATTACAATAGCAAATATTCACTGTGATAAGTCAACAGTCCATTAACTCCTTAATCATGTGTGCCATACCTTCCTTCAAATCTGTGTTTTAAAAAATCAAAGAGTGCTTTTTGCATCATGTCCGTAACCTGTCCATTCAAATACAAGAGAGTAAATATGCAATTCATTAATAACACTTCATGAAAAAAAATGTAGGTTCAGTTACGTACAGCAGAGGGCAGTACACATTTTTACATAATAAGTGTGGAATAACGAGAACATAAGAACATTATCCTCTGCTATAAGATACATTATACACAATTTAAATTGAGAATGATACTTTGTTTTAAAGGGATACTCCACTTTTTTTGGAAATAGGCTCATTTTATAACTCCCTTAGAGTTAAACAGTTGAGTTTTACTGTTTTCGAATCCATTCAGCCGATTTTCTGATATTTAGAAGCCTATCAGTAACCAGACAGTTTCTGGTCTCATTGACTATAAGTAAAACGGTAAAACTCAACTGTGTAACTCTGGGGGAGTTGTAAAATCAGCCTATTTCTAAAAAAAGTGGAGTATCCCTTTAAGAGTAAAATATTGTCTGCTGAGCCTCTGGGTCCTTTAAAACAGAAATGTTATATGGAGAGGAGACAGTGGCAAACGGCCCTCACCTCATAGCCCTTGAGCGAAGGCCCCATGAGCACCACAGGACGCATGGAAGGCACAACATCATATGCAGCCAGTTGCTCTCCCTGCATTTAAAGACACTTGTTGAAAATATGCTTATAAGCAGGCACAATATAAATATATTAACATAAATGTGTATGTTGGGGTCATATTAAAACAATTATGTATTTGCTCACCGATTTCTTCTTCACTTGCTGAACTAAAGATAAACATTTTGAAAAATTAGAAATTTAATTACACACACAGACACTTAAAATGGTAACATTATTTATGTTCCACATACATTCTAATTAAAAGCACTGATGAAATCCCAGTTTAGTGGATGATAACAATTTAGCAATGACAAACATTCTAAATTCAGTAGTTTGTCTAATTGCTAATAAATACTGTGAATAATAACACACGCACATGTAAATAAAGACAGAAAGAAATAATAAGCGCACCTGTTGGAGGTGGAGCCGTTTTCTTTGCATTCAAATCATCTTTGGCAGCACTAGCCGCTTTACTGTGACAAAAAAAAGCATTTTTTTTTTTTTTTCATAATGAATGTTGGAGTGATAGGCCTATTAAGGGTGATTTCACACTATCCTTTTGGTGCACATCCAGGTTTGATTGACATCAGTGTTTGATTCATTTGGATGATGTTAACACCGTTTTCCGAACTGTTTTCCATGTCCGCATAAAAAGGGGTACGGTTCACTTTTCATATGAACACAATTGTACTAAATCGCGAAAGTGAACCGACATCTCATGACATGTGATTTTATAAAACTGTGTTTAAAGGGGTCCTATTATGCCTTTTTTTAAGAAGTCTTGATTTTGTTTTGGGGTGTATTAGAATACATTCATGCTTGATTGTTCAAAAAACGCATTATTTTTCACATATTTTACATTATTACAACACCTCTCTCCCCAGTCTGGCTCGAACACGCCGATTTCGATGAACCCCCTTCTTCCGAAATATGCTGTGCTAATGTTGGCCGCATACATCATAAAGGATGTCTTATTTCAGAACAGTAACAATTATAAAATTGACGGTTATTCCTAGTGAAGCGTAAATTGTTGTAATTTCTTAATGACTTTAGAATGTAGTGGTCAGTTTACTGAAATGAAGCAGCCTCAATGACGTATGCAACACTCCAGAGGAGAGGACACAGCCTTCGAAATGAGACACAGCTAATGTATATCTCATTTGAAATGGACCGCATTTTTTTAAAAATATTTGTAGTAGGCCTACATTTGTGGCAGATAGACGCAAGTGCCTTTACGTGCTTTGAAAACAAAACTCATACCAGTTCAGACCAGGCAATCAGAAGTGTGAAAGCACCCTAAATGTCTGATTCATTCATGCAATGAGAACACAAAGATACAAAACGAAGACCCCACACTGCTTTAAATGAGATTTGTTTACTTGGCCAGCGCTTTGGCGGCCTTCCTGGCCTGCACCTCTCTCCTGATCAGAATCATCTCCAGGTTCACTGGGCTGGGGATAAAACCAACCTCTCCCCCTTCTTTTACAGGCCGTCCAATCCACCAGTCATTGTTAAACTTCTGTAAACACCAACAACAAAACAATACCATATATTAAAAATGTTTATATTTACTTAATGTAATGGTTGTGCAGGTGATCTGTGAACACACTGACCTCTTTGATATGTAGGAAGTCTTTTGCTTCAAAGGAAACCCCATGCCCTGGTATGGGGACGTTGTCATCATCTGCAGGAGTGTAGGTGAAGTTTGTGCGAACGGCGAAAGCAACCGGCTTATACTGAATAATAGCAGCAAAAAGTTAAGATTTTGAAAAAACACATGAATGTGACAAATTTCAGGATCCATCATATGAACTGTTGGTGTAAAAAAAATCTCTGTCATTGAGGTTGTGTACGAGTGTGTGAATGAGAGCAGACAGATACTTTGAGAAGAGTTCTGCAACTGGAAACACTGCTGATTTGAAAAACGGCACATGTGCTGCATTGCCCCAAGCAAGTTACTAATAATAGCTTTCATCCATTTACCTTCAAACCAATTGCAATGCACAAATTCATTCTTGAAGAGCTCCATATCAGCCCAGTGAAGGGTAATGCAGTCTAATGGCATCTACATGAGGCTTGAGGACAGTGCCGGTTTGAATAGATATGATGAGACTGAATGTACTTGAGATCAATAGAATTGAGTCTGCACAGCTCTATAACTTGTCCTTCAAGTGCTGTAAAATTTGCAAGTATAATTTATTTGGAGTGCAGCAGGGTAAGCAACATGCGAACATCAGATCTGATTCGTACATATTTACTTACCTTTACAGTAAAAGGACAAAAGGACAATTGTTTCATTTTTTGTTAGCAACTGAGATTTTGTGATAAACAGTTGGTTTGTTTGGGTAGTGATTGCCAACTAGGCTTGTGTGTAAAAAATGTGGGAATTCAGTTTTGTGGATTTCAACTTTGCTTTGTTAAATCTATAAAAAAAAAAAAAAAAAATTAAAACATGAAAGGATTTTAGGATAAAAATGTCTTAATAAATCACAATCTCAATCACATGCTTTTTTGTTTGTGTATTTATTTAAAATTTATTAATTTTGAGAATGTCTTAACAAGAAAATCTGGTATAAATAAAAACCTTACTGAGCCTTAATAAAGACACAAACATTTTTTCTACCTTTAAAAAAAACAATGCTCCAATGGACAATATATAAAACAATATACAAAATAATAAAGAAATCAAACTAAATATTAATTCAAACGTGAATTCATTATATTATTTTTTGGATTCAAAAGGAAGTAAAATGTCAGCTCAATGGCAGTCTGTCTGTTTATAGGCTGGTTTAAAGAGCCGATGCTCTTTGGGAGATGGCGGACTGAAGAAGCACGTGATGCTGTCTGCTCAGTACCTTAATTAAAAAGGACCTCAGGGAGCTCATTCACACAGGCAAGGGGGTTTCATTCAGTTTTTAGAGCCTAGCTAATCTGGACCGGTGATAAAACACCAAAGCATTTGTCGTTGCATTTACAATTAACTATGGAGCTTCTTATCAGTTTTTGGACTGTGTAAAGAATCAGAAAAGGTACAAGTGATTTGCGTTTGTCAGTTGTGTGTAGACCATTGATTTGGTAGAGTACAAGATTTAACACTGACGTACTATATCAACCAGGGCATTTGCTAATTAGCTTTTTCGACACAGCTACCTTGTTACTTTGACAGAGGAAAAAGGGCCGTGCAAAATTTATGAGCACATCTAAAAAACGTGATATATATTTCAGTCCTTGTGGCCAACGTCACCGGTAGCAGGAAATTAGCAGCCGAGAGAATTATGGACTTGCAATCTACCTTGGCCTTGTCGAGCTGGACTTGTGCATTCTTCTCCTTCTCCTCAGTGGCCCCTGTGTCCTGACGCTCCGCCGAACCCTACCACAGTCAAACAAGAGTAAGAACTACCATTATTATTATTATTATTATTATTTATTATTGCATACAGGCTCACTCTCTTTAACAAGACATTTCTCTCCATTCCGTCTCATTCTGAGCAGCAAGCACTTGCCTGTGCTTCATAGTGTCGAATACATAGTGTCGAATGTATTATGCTGAAACTATGCCGTCTTTGATTATATAATAAAATAATAAAATGAGGCATATGCTCTGATATGTTGTTTTCAGCAGAGATCACTCCACTATATGATGACAGTGCCATCAAAGACACAAATAATCCAAAGCTTTCTCCTTCGGGGCTCCTTCATCAAATTTTATTAGCAACTCCTCACAAGGGGCACTGTTCAAAGTCAATGTCAGGCAATTAGAACTCAACGTAAAACCGTTTAGTTCTGTGAAATTGAGCTTGTAAATTGATATGACCATAATACTCCCTATTATTTTTTAAAACTAATGTATGACAAAGTGCTACCACAAAGCAAAGACTATACACTCTTAGAAGAAAAGGTTCTATATAGAACCTTAAAAGATTCTATCAGCGCTACGTATTTGGAACCCCTAAAAGGTTCTATACACAACCCTTATTAAGAGTTCAATAAGAAAAAAGTTCTATGTGGAATGAACGTATTAATGAATGCATGTGATGTGAATGATCACAAAATTCAAGATATGGGGGTTAGAAAATGTATATATTTATATCATTTTATTTAGTTAATCAATATCACACGAAGAGTGCCATTTAATTTTTTTTCTCCTCTAAAAATGTGATACATTGTAATATATGTAATATAGAATAATGTAATATATGAATGAATAATAGCCTAAAGAACCTTTGTGCCCAAAGGGGTCTTTCTTGTCATTATAGAACCTTTATAGCATAAAAGGTTCTTTGGAGTTGAGTAAAGAACCCTATGCTTCATCTACAGAACCCCAATGAACCCTTTTTTCTAAGTGTGTAGGTTTATAAAATTCCATAACACAAATGTCCATAATGTTTTCAACCCAGTGATGTGAAAATAAGTTGATACTAAATATATTTTATAAGTCCTGCTGACCACATGGAAGGGTTTGATATTACATAATATAACATTGGTACCTTCACAACAAAAAACAAAGCTGTAGAAATGTGAATTCATCATCACATTGCAAATTATTTTGGAGGTCTCCAACAAAAGGTTTACATGCATCCAAGGTTAAAAAGAAACACTTTAGTTTTCTCATAATATACATCGCACATCTTTCACAGTGTCTAAAACAGTTCGATCAAGGGTCCAGTCTCGCTCTAAACCCATCCTTTCTAAGAGCATAATCTGCTCTGATTGGTCAGATAGTCCAGTCTGTTGTGATTGGTTGACCAATGACAGCCTGAAGCTAAACCCATTTCCATTTCTGAATTTCAGCTCCAGAAGCTCCCACACAGTGATACAAACAGTAACAAGTCCACATCCGAGTGTATGCAAAGTGGATTTGCTTATACAGCGCAAAAAAAACAGCATCATCTCAACATGTCGACGAAAACACAAACCAAACTCTTCCAGGTCTCAGCTAAAACTACAGCGTTTTGAGGGCGGGTCAGAGTAGACATTGTTTGCAAGCAGCCAATGAGGCTAGCTTAATGCAAATTTGTAACAAACCAGGTTTGAGCAGGAAGTATTGTTAAGAAGGTTTCAGCCAATCAGAGAGTCGTTTAATGGATGACGTCAGTCAGTGCCTAGTAGTCAGTAAGAGACGAACGAAATATGAATGCACCGATGCAGAAGATTAATCTCAATCTTTCCTTCAGTAGTGGTTTTATGTGAGCGAGTTAATGACAAGAATGTAAGTTGTTTATTTCTTTTTATCTTGTGATGTTATGCGTTTAAAGCAGATTTGTGTACTTTACTGAGTTATCACGAGCTCGTTCGCTCACCATCGTGGCAGCTCACGCTAGCGCCTAAGCGCCAAAGTTCATCCTTTACGTTTAATGTAAGTAACGTTAATGCATGAGTACTTTCATAGTGTGAGAGATATCCGGATGGTGATTTATATGGTTATTTGCCTATATTTGTGTAAATGTTGTGTTATGTGCTGTTTGTTTCATAAATGTTACTGCCTGAAATGACACTGTAATTGCGTCCCACATAACAACTAACTCCATGTGCGTCCCTTGAACGCCACCTTGTCGATAATCTAGGAACTGCAATAACTTTAATAATGTTACCAGTTCTATTGCCTTGGTGAATGTTATTGATTTAGCTGTATCTCTAATATTATTGTTATTCTGTATTATTTTCAGACCAATACTGTTATCAGTCACTGTTCCTATTCAACCTGAGTAAACTACAAAGTAACTCTGCTTCAAACTCTGAGTCGTATGTGTTTTTACCGATACAAATCCACCTACTCCAGTAATATACAGTCCTTAATTAATCCCCAAAAACAAGTATAGCTCGAATTACTGACAACTCTTTCAGACAGTTCAGAATCGGTTCTTTATTTTGTGAGACAATAACTCCATTTATCATGCATTTTGATCTTTGAAACTTTGCAGACCTTTTACATTTACAAAAAAAAAAAAACTATATTACACACGACAAGAAAGCTAATATCCGAATATCCGAAAAAGCATAACAAGGGAACTTTAATTTGTCCTAACCTACTTCTTGTATTCTATTTGTCTTTAATCAGAATACTAGTTTACGCAAAAACGGCAAAAAAAATATATTATTACGCAAAAACGGCAAAAAAAATATTATGATATATATAAATATGCAATCCTCTAGCCTAATTAACTTAACTTAAGCATATTATGTCACTAGATATGTGCCTCTGAGAATGACATTTTAGATTCCTATAAGAATCAGTCCATTTCTCGAATAAGAGTTCAAATTTGAATTTGAAAACAGTTTCACAAAGTCAGCAGAAGTCATGATGAGCCTTACTCTAGCACACTCTCCCAAAGGCACACCTACACATGCTCACATGCACACTAACATGCTGACAGTAATGGCACAGTGACAAGCCCCTCGAGAGACACTGGTGCTACACAGTCTGACAACGTCATATTGACCTTAATATAAGGCTGATGACCTTGCTGACAAGACCAGCATGTGTTGTGTTTTGGATGCTGGAGTGCTGATAAACAGCATGCCTATACCATTTTACTAGTTTGACTAGCACCAAACCAGCCTGATCCAGCATGGAAATATGTGCTTTTGTAAATCAGTGTCTTCTTTAGGGAAAGGAGGACAAAATGCGATCGCACATGAAATGATCACATCAAAGCAAAATTTTAATTAAAGTTGCAAATGATGTATTTCAATAAGTCTGTCAAGAACATCAACGTGAGCTTGAATGTTATTATTAATGAATATTGTGAGTGTTTAAAACAAACAGGCTTGGATAAACTGACTCAAGGGCATGCAGCAGCTGGAAGATATGAGGCTAATTAACAGCGAATGTGGTGAAACAAGATTGAGAAAAGGAGCGAATAAAATAAGGAATTGAGGGATAATTGGGTTCCTATAGGCACAGTCAGGTAGAGGTGCTCGCTTTTGTTTACTCATGTCTGCCATAGACATCTGTTCGCTCAGCGCCGCCTCTCCTGCAAGTCAATGTCATGGAGAGAGCAGTACAAAACGCTGCTGAATTATTAACCAATGCCACGCTCACCAAGATGCTCTTTTCCGACCGCAGGGTTTAGTGGTGGATTCAAATCGTCTCCATAATACTGAAAGGGAATAGCTGATTTTTCTGAGCTGGCGATCAGACCGTCTCTTTGCTATCTAGTCATTGTTCGAATCTACAAAGCAACTGCTGAGACATTTTGTGACAAGAACTTTTTGGACAAAAAATTCTAGACTTCAGTGTTCCTTTATCTTAGGCCTACTTTACAGATTTTAGAGCTGATTTTGTGTTTTGGGTCATTGTCCTGCTGCATCACCCAAATAGGCTTTAGATTCAGCTCATGCACAGATGGTTAGACAATCTCTTTAAAAAGTGTCTGGCATGTTGCAAATTATCCAGTTCCTAATGTAGCAAAACCTGAACTGAGCTGGGTGATGACATCACTGTTTTCTCATAGGCTGCTGTTTAGATAATAATAAAATAATAATTCGTTACATTTATATAGCGCTTTTCTGGACACTCAAAGCGCTTCACATAGAAGGGGGAATCTCCTCAACCACCACCAATGTGCAGCATCCACCTGGATGATGCGACGGCAGCCATATTGCGCCAGAACGCTCACCACACACCAGCTTACTGGTGGAGAGGAGACAGTGATGAAGCCAATTGGTGTATATGGGGATGATTAGGAGGCCATGATGGACAGAGGCTACTGGGCAAATTTGGCCAGGATGCCGGGGTTACACCCCTACTCTTTCGAAAGACATCCTGGGATTTTTTATGACCACAGAGAGTCAAGACCTCGGTTTAACGTCTCATCCGAAGGACGGTGCTCTTTTTGACAGCATAGTGTCCCCATCACTTTACTGGGGCGTTAGGACCCACACAGACCACAGGGTGAGCACCCCCTGCTGGCCTCACTAACACCTCTACCAGCAGCAACCTGGCTTTCTCAGAAGGTCTCCCATCTAGGTACTAAACAGGCTCAGCCCTGCTTAGCTTTAATGGGCAACCAGTCTTGGGCTGCTGGCCATATCACCCTGTAGTGATAGATAAATGAACAAAATTTATAACTAATTAATTTTTACAACCAGAATGAATCAACACTGTACTTACTGTACTTATGCTGGACAATAACACTATTTTCTTACAGATCTGCTGTACAGCCCAAACAAACTTTATTGCATTATTTTCCTGTTATCACTGAATCTGTTTAGTAAAAAGCGCTATATAAACAAAGGTGACTTAACTTGACTCGACTTAATGTAAATTCCTACTACACCTTGTTTAATACTGGACTGATTGAACAGACTAGACAGTTATCATTTTCATTACTGTATTTTAACTAAATAATACATTTCCTAAAACACCAAGTCACAGCATTGTATCTTAAAGTAAATTCAATGATTGTCTGAATTGCACTCAAACATGACAAAGAAAATTAGTTCAAACGCACTGCGGCAGCAAATTATTGCTTAAAATAGAGATCAAAGGACAGATTACCAATTATCGTACTAACTTAACTATATTATTAACTTCCAAACAAGTATAACACCTTATAATTGTGTTGTTGTTGAAGCTACAATTCATGCAATTGGATAAAACTTACAAACATAATTTTCTTAAAAATTACAAACATTTACTATAAACGTAATTCAGATTGATGATATTATGAAATAAAAATGAGCAAAATTCCTTCTATCAGTTATTTATCAATGCAACCGAGGACTGTGTGTGTGCCTGCATTAAAAGCTGTAAGGGATTGAGGCGAGAACAGACGTTGCTATGGAAACCTCAAGAAAAGAAAATGTGCTGGCTATGCAGTAAATTTCTTATGAGGTGAATGATTTTTAAAATCTAGATTTCCCATTAAAGTACAATATATTGTTCTAATCATTAAAATAAGTAGTAACGAAAGTTTTTTTATTCATACACATAAATTAATTAATTGTGTTGTGTTTTGTTTTTTTATATATTTAGATTAGATTATTACAGCATCACACTGGTGGATTTTGTTTAGTCTAGTGCTATAACGGTTTGAGTCCTGGGCCGAACTCCAACATTCACCTACTGCAACCTGTGTGACTCCTGCTACCGCACCACAGAACATGTCATAGGATTTGGGTCAGATCCATTTAGTGAGTCATCACCTTTTACTTCAACACTTGGAGTAAAGCTGGAGCCACAAATGTAGTGAAAAATATTATCCCAGACAGTAACACTATGCTGTATTACAACTGAGAGTTTAATTAAATAGATTCAAGGCTAAGTTCAGCCTCAGGTGAATGTATGGGTGAGGATTTCCAGAGCTCTGAGTAGACAATACTGAGGACAAATCTGTGGATGATGGAGCAGCACACTTTCTTATTCAAAACTGAGTCCTAATCTAATTAAGACTATAAGATTAAGATGTCCTGACTGTTGCTAAATGAACTCTGGCTTGTCGCCCAGATATTCACTGATGTAGTCATAGCTATGCCAAATATTTCTGTTTGTGCACTATAAAGTAACGACTGAAAAAAAAAAAAAATATATATATATATATATAGAGAGAGAGAGAGCCTATATAAATATATATATATATATAAAATTACAATTTATACTTGTTATTTGTAAGTAAGTGATGCTATCATCTAGAAATAGATAAACATTCAAGTACAAACAAAAAATGTCTTATCAATTGTAATTCTTTAATACTAAAAATGCCATCTTTCCACTTTAAAGGGTTAGTTCACCCAAAAATGAAAATGATGTCATTAATTACTCAACTTCCTGTTGTTCCAAACCTGTAAGACCTTCGTTCATCTTCAGATCACAAATGAAGACATTTTTTATGAAATCTGAGAGCTTTCTGTTCCTCCATTGACAGCAACGTCATTGCAATTTTCAAAGCCCAGATAGGTGGTAAAAAAAAACACTCTGCTAAGAAAATTGGTCGCTATGTTAAATGATATAAGGTATTTATCACATTTATCAGTTTCAAGAGATGATTTTAGTGTTTTATAATAAAACATATTACCAAATCATTCAATAAAACTCACTTCAAAGATATAAATATCAATGTTAAATAAAAACAGAAAATCGCTCTACGGCTTTTTTGACTCAATCCCATAGATCATTTCTTCTTACCCTGGTGAACAATCACGATGCCAACCTGTATTTCTTATATCGTTTAACACTAGTTAGGGGCAATGTATAGCAGGTACAGATATGGTTTTATGGTTTTATACGAAACACAAAAAACAGCCCACTATGATAACTGTGGGAGAGACGTTAGGCCAAGCTACACTCGTGGACAGTACGTCTCTCTTTCTGGCTGTTGCTCCTGGTCATGATTGCTTCTCTGTAAGGAGATTAAGATGGCATGCGTCAATCCAGGATTTGGAGAGAAAGAGACAAATACAAACTCGTCCTGTCCAGCGGACAACACAGCAGACAGAGGCAGTTTCACACGCACTCCAACCTGCAGCTACAAAACATGAACTTTGCAACTCAATTTTGATTGTTTTCTGACAACAAAAGTTATTGAACTTCAATTTTTCCTAATCGATCTTGTTTTCTAGAAAAAAGATCTATGACAACTATCTACGTATAAATTTATATAACATGACAAACTAAATTGAATTAGACATTAGGAACTGGTTTCATAAAAAAAAAATATCTTGAGTTTATTTTTGCAAATGGGGGAAGAAAAATAAACCTTATTTAACATTAAATCAAAAAACAACTTTTTATCTTATCATCTTTTTATCTTGTCCACTTAATGTGTATTATTTTTACACGCACACACAAATATATATATATATATAATATACTGTATATATGCATCAGAAACCAACAAGGGGGTTTAATACCCCTTTGTCAAGTGTTTTAGGCATCTAGTAAAGCAAAGCAGTTATCCAGGTATTTCCCAAAAAAATATACACACAAAACCCCACACCTGTTCTATATTTAGAGATCATTTGAGAAACAGCTGAGTTTTGTAATCCTGACAATTGGAAAAGGATTACGTTCATAACACTGCTCAGCACAATTCCATCACTTTTCAGCATTGCAATGATTGCGCAACCCGTCACGTGGAGGTTACATTTCAGGACTAACCTATTTTTCTTTTGACAGAAAACATCCAGCATAGACCACTCTGTACCCCAATACTGCACAGGAAGTATATTCTCCATGGTACATAAAAGCAATGGAGCAGCTCAAGCTCGCATGGATTACAGCTGAAAGCAACAGATGGCACTCTGCTCGAATGACACTCTCATGTCTACCTCATCATCACTCCCTCACACACACAAATGCACTGAAGAACACAGAAGACGTTTTACCTTTTTCTTGGGTGGCATGCCCACTTGCTCGTTTTGCTTTTCGTCTCTCCACGATTAACAGCTTAAATAGTGGTCAATGTTGTGCTCTCGCAGCCAAGATTGACCAACGACTGAGAAATATCCATGTACTATCCCCTTTAATCTGTTCCGTCCCAGGACAGCGAGCCAACTTTGTCAGATGAACCCTAAGCGGGTTTTACTGCATGTTTTGCGCGTTGTGAAATTCATGACGTCGCGAGCCTCAGGTTTATCTGATTGTCGCAAACGATGAAGACCGAAAGTCTTTCCATGAGTGGACACACAAGAAGAGTGAGAGTCTCTTGCTGTGAGTGGAGTGTGGAGTTTGCCACACTACTCCTCCACCCTCCCCCGCTCTGAAGGGCTTTATTCCACATAGTGGCATCTGTTGCTCCGAGCATGAACTGCAAACCCGCGCGATTAGCAAAATTGATATTCTGTAGTCCTATACAAGGAAGGTAGGGTATATATTCGTAAGTACAACCCGTAGACATAACGTTTTCTACAAGGAGAATAGGGATAATTAAAGGGTTCACCCAAAAATGACGCCTCAATTAAGCCAGGTGAATGGCATTTTTCTTTCAGACCAATACAATTGGAGTTATATATATATATATCTTTTTTTATAGTTGTATAATTTTTTGTCTTCCCTGATAGCACACGTACATCACAGAGGTCTATTTGATGTGTGTAATGTTTGCATATTTTTTTGAGTGTTAACTCATCTGCAATACATCTATAGGATGTTTCCTGTCAGATATCAAATAGATGTTTAGAAGATATGATGTAATGATTTAGAATGTATAAAACTGACATCTTAAAGATGTCATCTTGCAGACGTACGTGTGCTATCTGGGTTTGGCAGTGAATGGCGTTTCTTATTTAAAGTCCATTAAAGTGCGTCCATCCATGATTAAGTCCCTCATGGGGGTATTGGGTTTGGGAGCGAAACGATGCGTATTTATTAGTATATCTAAAATAGTGGGTGAATTTAGGTTAAAGGGGAAGTATCATAGAATTATGTCAAATTGCAGTTCGTGTTTCTCGCTCGTTCTCGCTTTTCGACTTACTATTTCTCAGGGAAGGTCCCAATTTACTAAATCATGATATGATTTTCAAATGTTGGAGGCCGCTTCAAGAAGTCGATTTTCGTCATGTTTTATTATATTAGGGAGTAGGCAACACAAATGTGGTTTTCAAGAATAAAATAGTCCCAAAAGGCTACTAGCCTTCAGAATTAAATGCTTTGTGCCTCCAAGCTACACAGCAGTTTGAATCAGGAAACGATTCAATTACTAAATTATGAAGACATTGGCTGAATTCGAAATTGCTTACTAGATCACTAATTTGACCATTTCTGCCATAATGCTATTCCAATTATTCCTGAATGAAAGGTTTTTTTTTTTTTTTTTTGCCTGACTGAAGGTGTTGGAACAAATCGGATAATGGATTGATTCACTCATATTGCAGTCACTTGTCGTATATATATTATTATATAATAATAATATTAATAATAATAATTCCACAGTGAAAAGGCCCATTGTTCATGGTCTGTAATTTCAGCATAATAATTGCCACATGAACAATCAAATTTGACCGAAACCAACAGTTGTGTTTATTGTACAAAAGTATCAAAATGTTCTTTAAATCAAATAATTTACAAAACAAATCATAACAGATAATTGGACATTTTAAATGCATAAACAACAGCAGGAGTATGATTCACCAGTATGACACATGGAGCAAACACTGGGCCAAATATTACATAGCCATTATACCAAGTAAAAGGTGAATTTGCACCAAAATACTGCAGTCTGACTGGAATACACAGGTTTTGGAAATACTGTAGACACTATTATTTTATATACAATCAATTATAATGACTATAGACTAACATTATAGCCCACTAAAGACCACTACATCTTTCTAGATGACCTATATGGCACTAATCAGATGAGAGTATTAAAGGTGTATGTGAGTAAGAGACGGTGATCCTATGTGTGTGTGTGTGTGTGTGTGTGTGTGTGTGTGTGTGTGTGTGTGTGTGTGTGTGTGTGTGTGTGAGAGAGAGAGACTCTTATAGGATGTGCATTTCTCTTCAATGTTTGCATGTATCTTGTAAACTTGTTTTGATAGAAGTAAGGAAACACTCTAGATAGCATCCTATAAAGAAGTCAAATCCAAAAAAGTGAGAAAGTGGATCAGAACCATTCATACAGAACACTAAATATTCTGCCTCCAGTTATTGATATTTTGACATAAATAGTTTATTTGGATCACCTTGAATGGTTTGCTATTTTGGATGCAAGTTTTATTGTCTTCTGTTTATAGGCTATGCATATTTATCAAACATATTAGGCAATTAAATAGTTATGAAAATCATAATGGAATTGGTCATAAGTAATTCAGTCTGTCAAAAGTCTTTTGATTATAATTTATAATTTATGATAATACATTGATTATTAAACAATATTTAATTCAAATGCTTGATTCTAAAGTAAAAGGATTATTTTGATTTCTTTAGATTCTTATAAAATTACATTTTTATCATCTAACCTAAAATAAAAATAAATGTGTAGTAGCCAAGAGTATGAACAATACAACTATCCTTTTTTTTTGTGAATGTTTCTCTCTTTGAAATGTCATCAACCCACACACATAGGCAGTCAAGATAATTCCATGAGTACAGATCCATTTACTAAATTACTAGTTGACAAATCTTAGCGTGAGACACTTTACATCAGTCACACTAACTGAATTTCTGTGGAGTGTCCATTGACCATAAAAATGTCTGCTACATTGTCTAAGTGTAGATGGCCTTAGCCTACAATGCAATCAAAATAAGGACAGAGCTCTTTGCCTGTTTAAAATGATCTTTTAGACCAGCACATTTAGCCATGTGCATAAATATTACACACAATGAGCATGCATTGATATGCATGTGAAAGCACATGCAGTTGGATTACGCTTTTCACACACACACACACACACACACACACACACACACACACACACACACACACTGAATCTATAAGCCTCTTACAGAGGGGTGTGTGCACTGTAAAGCCACACTCAGTAATACACTTCTCAGAAGGGCACAACTAGGCAGACACACGCACTGCTGGAGTTCCAGCTTCAGCACCTTTCTCCTCTGGTCCATTCAACCTCACACACACCAACACATCCAGCTGGAAGACAAACATCTGTCTGACCTTACAATCACACCAGAAATGATCAGCCTTTCGGTGAGAGACTACAAAACCCTAACCCTGATCCTTAGTTGGTGACAAGACTTCATCCCAATATAAGAATTCTGTCATCATTTACCCTCATGTCATCTCAAACCTGTTTGATTATATTCTATCTTCCTTCCTTCCTTCCTTCATTTCAAAAAAACCCAAAACCCCCCCAAAAAACCCATCTTGAAGCACGCATGTTTCAACTATATCCATTTAATGAAAAAAAAAAAATCTAAATAAAACTAAAAAATCTTCTTTTGTGTCATACAGGACCTAGTGAACAATCCTTTTTAAAAATCAGAGTTTGTAAGTTTATATGATCCTTCCGGGATTCAATTTGGTTATTGCTGACTTTAATGATGCATCAAATTTTGTTCAACTAGAATATTTGCCTATTTTTTTTACCTAAAATATTGGCTATGTGACTGTCTACTTACAATTCTCCAGAAGGGCTTATTTTCTGTTTCTGGGAGGTTTTTTTTCCCCCCCTTGGTAATCCTTGTTCTTAACAGCATCCAGGTCACTCATTATGCCTGTTTGAAATGTGTCCTGGCATGAAAGCATCTTTCCCTGCACATCTGTTTGAATATGGCATTATAAATCAAATTTATAGGGTCTTCAGGGACCATGGAGCAATTTTTAGTCTCGCTGAGCAGCGTTTTCAAACATCAAACCACTTTCACAAGATCATTGTGGTAATAATGACAAAATAAATTATATTCTACATAAGGCTAATGTTGTGGCATTCGATGGGCTGCTCCCTTTATATGCTATTGAGGACCTTGTTTTAAATACATTTTTGACAGTCACATCATTATAACCACAAATTGCCCCTCACACACTGTCAACAAAGAGCTCAGTTCCATCTAAAGCCAAATGTCCCAACGAAATCCATGTGCCTTAAATGACAATTTAACTAGAAACACACTTGCAATGAACCTTAGGGCTGCCCCTTTTAGTTTCAGACAGTACTCACCCAAGAGACGTTTTTATTCTTAAGAGTTCTAGGCATTTCTGCAAAGAGAAGGAGAACCGGTGACTGATGCCCTCAATTTCCAAATTCACCTCAGAGATCTGTGGCCCATTTGCGCTGGTGTCTGGTCCCACCGAAGTTAGGCTTTAATATGATACACAGTGGCCATTGGCCACCACCTACATGATGTGTAGAGCAACTGACATGACCAAGGCATAACGAAAACTACAAAGTTTGATCTTCTTGTCTCTATCATTTTCTCCCACTTCAGCCCCTCTGCCCGGCAATGCATTAAAATACTGCATGGATATGCAACGTAACATCTGGATGATGCTCCGCCCCATAGTACTGGAGGCAGGAACTCATGTGCGGCCAATCCAGCCCACCCAACAGCTGGGAGAGGAGATTTAAAATGATGGAAAGAATAAGGTGGAGCACAGGGCACGTCCTGCCCAGTGTTGTCAGACAGATTGTATGTCTCTCTAAAACAGTATGAGCAATGCTCATAATCCTCCGGCACTGTTCAAACACTCCCTGTCCAGCCTCTGGAATAGGTCAAAGCATCCTGCAAAACAGCACGGCATGCTTTTCATAACCATTAACTAATACCAGCCTTCTCTCTGTAAATATGATAGGTTAGTTTGGTAGTAACAACAACAAATCAAACAGATCTGGAAAAAAATTGTGAAAACACTATAAGCCTAATGTATTTTAATGGAAAAATGTGTAAATGGCGCTCTCGGCAGGGTTTTTGAACAGCTCTTCACTTCTATTACAGGGTGCAACCTTCTATATACTTAATCTTATGTATCTTGCAGTTTATGTAAATTTTTTCTCTTAATACTCACCGTTGATATGAACAACAGGTACAATTACATTTCAATCAGCATCGAACTGTCAGTATAGCAAATTAAATTTTGGGGTGGACAATGTCAAGGCACCCTCAGGCTCCATCACTGTATCATATTGCAATGGCTGATTATTGGGATTATTTTGTACATTGCAATGGGCTATTTTTTTTTATCACATAATTTAAGATAACAGGTAAATATAATGACCAAAACTAGCAAATAAAACTCTAACCATGAAACGAAAACAAAAAATTAAAAAGCAGAAGTTTCCAAAAG